AGACCTTTGCTGCGTTCATTCGCATCAATAGTGGGTAGAGATCACGATGGAGTTATGTCAATTTCTGAAAGAAGTGTAAGATCATCTGAGGAAGATGTTAATATTGATAATGAGTCAATTCCCTCCAGACCAGTATCAGAAATCAAATTTGACGATTTTAATAAAGAAAATGAACGTCAATCGCACTCAAATGAGAAAATTTGTGATAATATAATATCTTCGGACGCTCCAATAGATTATTCAGGAATATCACAAGTGGATAGCATACATCCAACTCATATAATTCAAATTCCACAAAAACCTTTGCTACGCTCGTATGCATCTATAGTTGGAACACATCCTGACGATATTTTACAAAACAAAAATCAAGCTGCGAATATTTCAACTGTTATTCCTTTAGAAAAATCCAATCGTAATATTCACAAGACAATCCAACAACAACTTATTTTGCCGCAACCCGTTGAAAGTAATGTTTTGTTTGAATCACTACATGAAGGTGACAATATTTCAGCCGAAAAACATTTGAAAGAACAAATACCAAGTCCCGATCCGATACAAATCACGCAAAATACAGAAATCGATACTTGGTCTAGTATATTGGAAGAAAATTCGCCAACACACATATGTTATCGTTATGTAACACCTACGAAGACATTCACATCAAACTTATCGATCGATGCTCCAGAATTCACACCGCGTTCAGTAATGGAAGTCACTCCACAATTGAAATTTATTTCTGTTGAACCGGTCATACAGAAAGTTGAAAAGCCTTCAATAATGTTTACTGCGCATACAACTTATATTGAAGAAAGCACACTTGAAAAGAAATGTGAAGTGGAAAAGCCAATCTCTCAAGATCAAATTATCTGGAAACATTTGGATGAGAAATCTATTGCCAATATTTCATCTATTGATAATCTATCAAAAAATACTTCAAAAATACAGCACATACAGGAAGAAGATTATACCATGAATAAAACAGAAAAGGTTCTTAGTAATATCAAGTTTTCAGAAGATGTTTCTAGCGCGTTTGAACCACAACCATTGAGAAAGAACGGAAGACATTTATTCGTGTCAGACTCTGAGCAAATTGACCTGAATAAACCAACATGGGCTAATATTGTCGGATCAGTTAAAGTTGAAACTTATAAACTCGCAAAAAACGCACGAAGTAAAAAGCAGAAGCTAAAGAAGAAGTCGATATCATCAAGTACACCTTATCAAGAAAAGAATACTGAAAAATGTGATAATGCCGATCATGATAAAATGAAATTATTTGAAAGTGAAGTCGCATTAAATGCAGCATGTGTAAAATGCCATACCTCATCAGAAAATTTGATAAATCTTGATGCTTCTAAGACCAGAATAGTTCCGTTTCATGATGATTCAAAGATAGATTCAATAAATGTAATGAGTTGGGCTAATGTGGTGAGGTCTGCTATACCACATGAGCTACACGAAGTGTCGACTGTTGATAAACAACCCAATCAAAATCTTGCGAATAAAGAGGGTGGGGAAAGAAATTTGAATTTTGATAGAGACGGATTAAGTGAATTGACAAAAACCAATAAGAAACGAGTGTCAGAGAATACACAGACTAATTCAATAAAACCTAAAAGAAAAAAGAAATCAAATGTCCACACAAAAGAAAAAACTATGTTAGAATCCATTCAATTCAGCCCAATCGAAAAACAAATATTCGATGTAAAAGAACCACAAACTGTGAATATAAGTAAAACAGACATCCAAGATGCTACGCTTTTGCGATCATATTCCTCTGTAGGCAGTGATAACGTGACTGTGATTCAAAGTCCAAAAGATGCAGGTACTAAAATCTCAACTGAATTAACAAAGGAACTTGTTGAAAATCTGGCTCATATATCAAAAATCGACAAAAGAAAATTAGATGAAAGTCAAAATAAGTCACCGCTTCCAATATTGAAAGAACAAGCTCGCGAAGAGAGCAACAAAGACGAAGGAACTGAACAAGTTAAAGTGATAAATGAGCTTGAAGTTGAATCACAGAAGTTCTATGAGATTCCAATAAGTTCCATGAGAATAACTGGAACTGGACCAATAGATAATCTCACAACTCTACCAAAATTAATCGAGTCAGATATTGTGTCTCAGGAAGAATTAGAAATTACCAAACAATCGCTAGCAGAAACAACAGAAAATATATCAAAACATAATATAATCATAGTGCGCGGGAACAGCACCCAGAAAACAAGACAATTCAATGTTTGTTTGCAAAATGAAACTTCGATAAATGTTGAATATTTAATGAACCTCGGAAACGATTTTTGTCCAATTAGTTACGATTATAAGATTGCTGAAAGGAATCACCATATATTGTTATCAAAAATACGTTCTGCAAATAGAAATACTTTAACACAATGCGTGGTATCTATTAACGAACTTGCACGTCAGTTAAGCAAAGGAACTGAAAGCAATGGAAATAATATAACAACAAAATTAAATGCACCAAATCCTCCTCCCATTGGCCACAATTTATTATGCTACGACACCCGTGATATGCCACAACAGGCTATGTTTATTAGTTCAAGACCTTTAGTAAACACTAATGAATGTGTGGTAACTAATTTTAAAACTAATAATATGACCAGAGATAAATCTCCATTGCAAAGTGCATGTGACACTCTAACTTTAGCTATTCAAACATCGATAACTGAGCAAACATCAAAACCAGATCCTGTGGTGATTTATGGAGGTGGCGTTGATATTGACAGACAAGAAAAGAAGGTGAATTGCTTCGTATTTAATTAAAACATGGTTTTTCTTCCGTTAACCATAATTGCTACTGGTTTGACATCATCCCCATATTATTTCATTTACTTTATAAAGTGTTTGAAAAAACGTATAAAATGTCATTTTTTATCAAATTGGTGTTTAGTTTGCAATGATAAAAAATAATGACATTTGAATAGGTTTGGCACAAAAATAATTTACATCAAAACATTTCATAATTAGTTTTAAATTTTCTGTAGCACTTACAATCACAAAAATTATTCCACTATTGTCGACTAATTTGCCTATTACAAAATGAGGAAATTGAATTGTATGTTCCATACTAAAAGTTAATTAAAACACTGTGTGTCACTCAAAATCTGACAGAAACGAGACCAGTCGGTTTTACATAATTCGGGGGCGTTAATTCCAATGGCATCATTCGTTCTCCTCCATCACGTCAGGATTTTCCACAATTTTCCTCAGAAGTTTAACGGAAAACCCAAATTGGCTGTTTATACTCTAGTAACATTTTGAATTCATGCAATATCCTAGAGGCGGGACCTATCAGGCGTTGTAGTACGGTTCAAGTATAGTTAAGCCACATAATTCGTTTTAAAAAAAATTGGATCATTTAAAAAAAAAAATGATTTGGTTAGTCCCCTCTGAAGTCACATTTTGAAGTAAAATTGGTTTCCATTCAAACGCTCTGAAAATGAGTATTTGGAGGTTTTTGGCATGAAAAGACCGAATATGACGCTGTTTTTGCTATAAAATAAAATTTGAATACACTCACCACGCAAAAAGTATCCAAAATGGTCAAAAATGACCAAAATTGTCAAATTGTGGTAAGTGTATTCAAACCGAATTATGTAAGCCGACTGGTCTCGTTTCTGTCAGAAATTTGAAGTTGAAAAATGACGCACAGTGAAATTAAACAAAAACATTCTTGATCTGCCAGTGGCAGACTACCACTAATGGAAACTAAAAGAAACGCTATAAACATAAGTTATATTTCTTTTCAGTTAATACATATAAGGTCGATCATTTATGAAAAGAATATAGTATTATGAACATTTTCAAGTTCCAAGTTTTGGCTTCTTATTCGTAGCGCATTTTTTTTACATATATTTTCCGTATTGAAATTGATTGATGTTGCATGACTTTTTCCCTTCAATCCTTCATTAATATGAACATTCAAAACATTTTAAAACCCAATTATAAATGTTCAATAATTTTTTTTAATTTTTCATCATTAGATACAAGATAAAACTAACCTTGAGTTGGATAGATTCTTGGAATTAATGGCAGATTCTGAACAAAGTCTCTCTAATTTACCAAGCGACAGTCTCGAGGAAATGCTGTCATCACTTCAAGTCAGTACCAATAATAATTATATTTCATTATTGTTTTTATATTTATGAAATATTAATATATCTTTTTTAATTTCAGCTTATTCTTCTAAATTTGAAGCAACAGGAGAAAGATATCAATATTCTAGAAATGAATGTAGCTGAAAGCTGTCTTGTATCTGAAACAAAAGAAACAATTAAACAGCTGAAGCAAAAAATACTAGATTTGATATCTAGATCAAAGAGTGGAATTGCATTAATAACAGTCAGTTTTTTTAAAATTAATATCAATTTTAATATAGTTCACATATATAACTTAATTCATTGTACTTTTAGGATACAATACAAAAACAAACACAACGAAAGGCAGAAATCGAAAGCTATCAGCTACTTTTGATTGAAGTTGAAGCTTGGTTAAGGGATATAGATTTGAATGATGTAATCACTTCAAATGACGACGAAGCAAATGCAATTGAAAATATAAACAGATGTCAGACTGACATTAAAGAGCTAATAAAAAAACAGAAAACATTGGCTGCAATTAAGGCAAAATGTGACAGCTTAAGTGATTACGAGGACATTAAAATTTTGAACACAGCACTATCAAACCAATTGGCACATACAATCGAAGTTATTCGTCTACAGTTAAATAAGTCAAATGAAAAACTTCAGATATTGAAAACACATTTAATTGAGTTACGTAGAAAAACTTCTCATGCATTGTCAACTCTATCTGAGCCCACAATTGATTCAAGCGCTTCAATGCCAGAACATGCTGAACCATCTCAATTGATGAATCCACATTCAAATGAAGTTGAAACACAAACTAGTGAAAGTCTACAAGTTCAATTCAAACCACCTATGATCGAAAGCGCTGCACAGACCATTAGAGACACAAAGTCAACAGAAAACATTTGCGTGACACAGACACAGTCTGAAGGACATGAAACGATTAAAATCGAATCTACTCCCAATCCACGTACAACTAATGAACACATGGAAGACGTTTTTGTAGACGCAAGATATAAGCAGCCAGGCGAAGAAATGAAGAAATCAACCGAATTAATATTACGTAATGTACCGCAAACAGCAGCATTCGAGACGACATTTGTTGAACCAGATAATACAACAACGGAGGTAGTAGTTGACGCAGATGGTAGAAAACAAATTATCGTACGAAAAGTAACACGAACGTTGATTCAACATCAGAAAGTTGAGCAGAAACATCAACTAACAAAAATATCGTCGGTTGTTGGACCAAACAATGAGCCCATTGAACAGAGTGTTTCTCAAACGAGTACAGAAAAACAATCAGTCATTAGTAGCATCGCAGATGATAACGGATCGACAACAACAAAAATAACAAAATCTAAAGCAGAACATACTCTCGGTGATTCAGCAGATAGTTTAGTTGTACAAGCAGTGGTAGAAAATCCAGCTACTACAGAGGAAATAGTTATATCAAATGTACCTCTAACACAACAATCACATGATCTGGATAGAAATATACCTTTGAAGCAATCTTGTGTTCAAACCATTACGCATCATTTGACACAGCGTATAATTCGACGTAAGAAAAAAATTATTCGTAAAGTGACTATAGTTAATGGTGTCGAACATGTAACTGAGGAGGTAATTGAAGAACCAGAAGAAGTTGAAATTACCGAAGATCAAGCACCAGGCGTTAAAATAAATGTAATGCAAATGATTGATAGTCAAGATGTTTCTCTGCCAATCGTTGAATTACCAGCTGACGATGAAGATACTATACGACCAGATGAGGAAATTGTAAATGAACCAATGGAACCGGTAATAATTTGTGAAAATAAAGAAATGGAAAGACAAAATAAAGGTAAAAAAGAACGTGAGCCTAAAAACGTTGAAGAAGATGATGAAGAAAAAGACTCTCAGGTATTCACTGATTTTGAACAACCCGCACAAGTAGATTTGGTTGACAATGCACAAGTAGATGCTGATTTGACAATCACGGCTATAAGTGATGTAAACTTGGTTAACCTTGCAGCAAAAAATATTGAAATCCAATCCAGCTCAAACATAAAACAACTAGGAGATGATGAAATAATAAATATTGACGAAATATGGCCAGCAGTTCAGCCATCTCACATTTTTGTACCACCTCGTACCTACATCCAAGACACAATACATAAAGAACCATATCATGATTCTATTCGTTGTGAATATATATGGCCTTTCAATACAAAAACTGGACATGAAGTATTATTAGAATCATATATTTTTGAGCAACCACCAGTAGTAACTCAACAAACCAATGAACTTGAGCCAAGTTATGCAACAGATTTTAAATCAGATAAAGAAATCTCAAGCACTCAACAATCCAACAACCAATTGGAATCGAAAATATCACAACTGGAAATGGAAAGCTTATCTTCAAAAAATATTGTTGGAATAAATCCAGAAATGCAATCATCTGAATCAGAGAAATCATCTCAAGGCACTTATTCTATTAAAATGAAAAAAGAGGACTTATCAACATGTTTGGAACAAGAAATTGGAATAATTGAAAATCTTGAAAATGAACCACAAGTACAACTAATCGAACAAGTTCCACAACTTGGAGCTACAATTGACGAATTATCGCTACCATCCAAAAGTAATATCGACCAAACTGAATCAGAGAAAACATACTCGATTGGGAAAAATAAGCGAAAAAATAAAAAGAGTAAAAAACCTGACATTGAGATCAAAAGTGAAGAAGTATCAGTACCACAAGCTCCTCCACTGTTGCAGCAATTTGAAGTGTTCGCGAAAACTGAAGTGACTGAAAACGCGGAACGTATGACAACTTCTGAAAAATCAGATGTGAACTTGATCAATATAGCTGTACCAAATGATCCCGTCATATTTATCGAAAAATGTGACTCACAAAAAATTGAAGAAAATTTAGTAAAACCAAAAACAATAGACATTCGTTCGGCCACTCAACTTTTCATTGATCATGAGCTTAATGTTTCAGATGGAACCACACGGACAGTTAAGTTAATAATGTCACCAAAAGAACCATCATCGCCTGGTAGTGTTACAGTAAAAATGAAACTTGACTCGTCCGAGCAACCGAAGTTAAATGTGAATTTAGTTGAAGAACGATTGCAATCAATAGAGTCGAGTGAACCATTGAATACAGATCTTAAAACAACGGACTTGCATATTAGTGACGACAACACAATATCAGATGAAATGGAAATGCCTGAAATTGAAACAACGCCGATTTCATCGAACAACAATGCAAAACTTATCACAAGTACTGAACAAGTGTTGAGTCTAAGCTCTGAAGAATCTTATAAATCAATTTCGAAACTGGAAAATCCAATTAAAATAGTTGAGGAAAGTGTTATATCATCGTCATCTAGTTCACCAAAACCATTAACGCCCGACATTATAATAGCTTCAGAAGTCTATGAAGAAATTACAGATGTTGCACAAACTACAGATGCTGAACAACAAACCGATTTATTATTTGAAAATATCGCAAGTGAACAGATAATTGTCCAAAAGCAAGTTGATTCAAGGTCAATGCAAACCACACCAGAACAGAAAAAAGAATTGATCGATGAAAAACTACAGACTTCCCCGATAAAACAAGAGGTAATCACAAATGACATCGAAGCGCAAACTAGCCCAGTTGTATTTGCATTCGATGATGACATCAAATCTGTAAAGCCAACTCAAAGTATATGTGAAGAGGTAAGTTTTATTTTAAAACTCAAAAACTTCAATAATTATTATGATATTTTGAACTTTATTATTAGTCATTCAATACCAATATTAAAATGGGGTTTTTATGTAATGAAGATAAAACCTTTGCAAAAAAAAAAAAATATTTGATGTTAGTTAATAATGTTATATAAAACTTTACTACTGATATATACATACGTAATTTTTGTTTATTGTTTTTTATTTTTAAAGGTACAAACGGAAAGCATACCCAAAGTAGAGAAATCTATGCAAGTGGAGCTGTCTGTTAGAGACGAAAGTTTGCAAACTTCACCACGTAATGAAGATTTAGGAAGTGCGGAAATTGTACCACATGTAACCGATAACCTTGTATCTGACATTATTCATGATCTTCCGATTAAATTATCAACTGAAACACAGGGAACATCAACTAGCATTACTGAAACTATTGAACAGGTCACTCAAACGTCACCACGTATTGTAGATATATCACCGGAAGTTGAAACGTCTAGTGATGAGCCGTACGAAATCCATATCCAAACATCATTCATAGTTCCTGAAGTAGAAAACACGACAACTATTTCCGAGGGTGAAATTGCACCTGTAGTCCTCGAAATTCAAAAAACATATGTGATTGATGAAACACAACCAGGTCTAGTACGGGAAATTGAATCAACATCTCATGAAAATGTGAAAAAACCAAAATCGAAGAAGAAAAAAAACAATAAGAAGAATATTCAAATAGATGATACGGAAAAGCCAGATCAAAGTACAGATATCAAACAAAATTTGGTAGAATCCATAAATCCCAAATATGCTACGCTACAAATAACAAAGACAACAGTTTATAATACATCAAATGTGATAAGCAAGGAAGTTCAACCCAACGACGATTCTTCTGTGACAATTGGAGACCTAGCTTTAGATGGGAATTCCGACGGTAAAAATATAATTTTTTTTATTCAGAAAACAAAAAACAATAAGATTGTATTTTAACGAATTTCAGATATTCACTTAAATGAATCTCAAGGCAGAACTTTGGAAATACAAGCGCCAAAACCTACAAATGATGAAGTAACCATTTCTGAACATTCACAAGAAAAGCTTTTGCTACATACAAATCAAGTTATTGCTGAACGCATAAAAAACACACTAAATGTTCAAAATGTGCACTTGGGCACAATGTTAACATCAGTTGTAACACCAGAGTCAATAAGACAACATACACAGTTGATAGAAAATAACATGTCTAAAATACAAAATGCAAAAAATGCGGAAGGTACTGTGGAAATTCGCGAAACTATAATTCACATAATTGAGGAGATATCAATATGGCTAGAAAAGATTGAGCATCGAGTATATTTAAACCGTCAAAATTCAAGTGAGGGACCAACTGAACAAAAAGTTCAAGAGCATTGCAAACTGCTAAGTGAATTAGATCACATTTCAGCAACCATTAAAAATCTTTCCAAACATCTTGATAAAACTGTAAAAATAAATGATCCAAACGAACGAGTTCAGATGCAGAACTGCTTGAAAAATCTAAAGCAACAAGTGAATGCTGTGTCAAATATAACAAAAGAGAGCAGTAATGAGGTTTACAACGATTTGAATCGACTGAAAGAATTTATTGAGCTCGTTGAATCGATCCAAACAAAAATTTCTGAATCACAAAATCGATTCGAATCTATACAAGCAACTGAAGATGATGATACTGTAATAAGCAAACGTTTAGAGAATTTAGATAATCTAGATCTTTTGCTTGCATCGCATATGGATGAAATTTCATGTGCAATGCAAAATGCGCGTGAAATAATACGTGATTTTCCAAATGTTTCGTTGCCAATCGATATCTATTCACTTTACGAAAATGCAAGGAATTTTGAAAATGCCATAATACTCGAAAAAAATCGATTATTACAATTACAAGATTTATCCGAAGAATATGTACAAACTCTCAACCAATTCGCACAAATAATCGTACTCACGGAATCGCTTGTTGATCAACCAATTAGTGCAAGTAGTTTCGACGAGTTACAACAAGAAATGCAAAAACATCGTAAATGCTTTGTTAATTTGAGCCATTGCCGAATGATTTTACAATCCTTGGGACAAAATATCGATAGTGAATCTCGAAAAAAGCATGAAGCATTGCACATGTCATTAACAGATAAAGCCGCACAAATATTGGAAAAGGCGTCTGAACGAGCACAACGGATTTCTTTGGCGGCTTCACGATGGACAGTATTAGAAAAAAGCTTGGCCGATGAAAAACAGTGGCTACAAGTGGCACAACAACGTGTTCCAGACTTATCAGAGGTTTCAACTGTTGATCATGAACGTTATATTACAATGTATAGATCAATTTCCACTGATATCAATCAACATCATGCACGAATTGTACATTTAACCAACCTTTCCACTCAACTACAAGATTCAATTAGTGCCCCCAAACTTCAAGAAGAAGCAAACGATTGTTTAGCTGGACTTTTGAAACTCAGAGAAGTTCTCTCAATATATCTAAAACGTCTATCGATGTTCCGTGAATCTTGGACAACATACGAAACTTTGACAGATCGACTTGAACAATGGATGCTTAGAACTGAACGAGAGTTAGCTCAAATTGAAATTCCATCTGATTTGCGATTACAATCTAGCGAAAACACTAGACACTTTTGGGAAATTCGTGTGCATTATGAAGTAAGTGAAATATATTATATTTTTTATCAAAAACTTAAATCTTTTATTATACTTTATAATTCACAGGTAAATAATAAAATTCGAAAACAAATTGAAAATTCATTGGAAAAATCCATTGAAATACTTCCAATTCGTGATGAATTATTGCAAAGACAATTTCATCAACAGTTGGAAGAACGTTGGGCAAATATAACCAATAAAATTGAAAAAATTCAAAATATAATCGTCAGTACTTTATTTGATGAAAATATTCCAATGGATGAAAAGTTGGATATTTTGAGGCGAGAATTAAATGAAGTGCAATTACTTGCAACATCTGTAAAAGGAGTGATTAAGAACGAAGATGAACTGAATATATACATCGAACGGATGCAAGTTTTGAATAATCGATTAAATATAGCATTCAATGAATTGGGACGCTTGAGTTTATTACCTTCGTATGATCCTGAGCAGATTGGAGAAATTTTTGCCTTGGCTCACAGCATCAGTACACCTGTCACTAAAGAAATTGAAGATGCACAAAATCTGAAGGAATTATTGATGGCTCTACAAAATGGAATCAAAAAGTTACATCAATTACAGCAAAACAATGATGTTGTCTTAGATTCTTGTGAATCAAGCGAAAAATTGGACCAAGCAAAACTTGAATTAGCAATTAATGATGCAGAACATTTAATAAGCGAATTGGAAATTCAGTGGCAGGAAAATATGCGATTGCGACAAATGCTACACACATTACCCATGCGACTTAAAGTTTCTATATCACCAATTAAATTGGAACGCAATCTATCACAGTTACAAGACAAACATGACAAACAAGAGTCACGCTGTACACACATTTTGAATTTGCTGAAAAACCGCCTTGCATTATGGCGAAGGTTCGAACGACAATTGGAAATTGTGCAACAAACAAACAATGAAAACGAATTCATGATTGATCTGTTGAAATTAAATGGCCAAATGGATTATGATCGATTGAAAAGAACAACTGAGCGATTAGAGGTATGAACTTTTAATTTTTAGATTCTCGTTTATATTTTCATCTGCTTTTTTAAAAACTTCATTATATATTTATTTTTTGTAAAGCGTTTCTAAATATGATGTTGTTTTAAAAGCTAACAACAAATTCATTACACTATTCTATTCAAGTAAATCGTCTATAAAAAAAAGTAGGTCAAACGAAACAAATTGTGTGAAAGAGATTTCAAATATGCTCATTAGGAAAAAAAATCCTTACAAATGATATCAGTTGCTATTTAGCCCGTTGATACGCTGAGCTACCGCGAAACATAGACGCACACTACGATTTCACCTTGTGTAATACACTATTCGTAGTTATGGAATGAGAGCGAGATAACAGTATATGTGATAATCGACTGAGCCAATGTTGATAATAGAGTACACTCCATTCATGTTCACAAAAATACAGGCCACAGTCAAGAAACAAACTTTCTACTCATGTGAAATAAATAAATAAAAAAAGTTTTTGAAATATCGAATCAATACACATTTGCTTGGCGCTAAGAGAGAAATGAAATAAAAACGCACAAGAATTTAAAAATAAAAGCAAAGTAAAATAGAACATAGGGATTTAGTGTTCATGTGAAATTTGTTTTACACGTACGCATTCGGCTGAAATCAGCAATTTTTGTGATTAGATTTAAGTACTTGCATATTTAATTTGATTATAATTATTCAAATTTTTACAGGCATTGACAGATAATGTGAATGAAAAGCAATTGGAAGAGTTGCACGTTTCAGCAAAACCATTAATTGAAACGTGTAGTCCAGATATTATACACAAAATCAATGAATCTGTCCATCAAGCTGAAAGTGAATGGAAAAATACAAACGATAACATACGAAATTTACGAAATAAGTACGAACGAGCTCTTGATTTATGGAAAAGATATAGAAACAGCAGTGATGTTATTAAAAATTGGGCTGCCGATCGAATGGGTACTATTAACGTGATCAAACCACTAGACACAAGTATTATTGAGGTAATTTTTGAGATTCATAAATTTACACACTTAACAAACAGCGTGTTTTCGGTAAACGTTAGTATAAGGTTAAAAGCAAGTTATCTATAAAAAAAACATAGTTGTTTGTTTTGTTGTTCCCTTTATTATGTATGGTATGCAAACGCTAAATGTGACAAAAAAATTAAGTGACAAAAAATGGTTGCTTTGGTGTGACATAAGTTTGTTTATTTTGTTTGTTGTGTTGTATTGTGAATATATGTATATTTAACACAATGTTTGTGAATGAAATAATGCAAAGTAAACTGAAAATTTTCATTATTTTTAATAGGCATGCAAGAGAGACTTATTAAAACACACTGAGCAAGTAGAGAATCTACGTAAAATGGCTTTTGAAATAGCAACTGAAATGGAACTGAGTACATCCGACCTCCTACAAGATGAAGTTGATGAATTGGGTAACCGTCTAGAAAGTGTACGACAATCTATTTCACTATTGGCTGATATTGCCGATGCACGAAGTAACAACGAAAGCGAGTGCAACCAGAACATTAAAGACGTTAAAGGAAATTTGAACGATATGAAAGCTGTAAGTTTTGATTTCAACCAAATTTATGTGATAACACGTGATTTTTTAACTTAATCATTTAATTTTTTTTAATTTGCCCAGGCAATTGACCAACCTGAGGAGTGTGAATTTGAAGAACGTTTAATTACACTCCGTTCGCAGCTATTGGCATTAGGCCGTACGGAAGGGGAACTGAATGAATTAAGAAATCGTGTGATTGACAGTACATCAGAAACAGAATCATCAATTATTGAAGTATTAGAACTGTGGCAACAAATATTCCGTGACACGTTCCAGCAATATCATCGTTTATCAACGCGATTAGTGCAAAGTGAAAATCGAGCATCCGCATTAAACTTGTGGCATGATTATTTGTTACATGTCCAGCTATTTCTCTCCGAAGTACTTCCTGAAAATTATGTATGTCTAAATGAATATCGAAATTTGTGCGAAATTCATCAAAATTGTTTGACCAGTCAACAAGCAATTTTATCCACCAGAACCAAAGATAGTGTCGATATTGATTCAAATTTGACTGAGAAATTTCAACAGCTATTAAAATTACACAGTGAAACCCTGTTACGCATTATTGATCGACATTCTGAAATCGATCTAAGACTTAAGCTATGGAATAAATATAAAAATGATCAAAGTAATCTTTTGATTTGGCTCAAGGAGAAAGAGCGAGAAAAATCCCGTTTGCATCTTAGATATATTCATCCTCAACGAATACCTCACATTTTACGAGTTATACAAAATATTTTGGAACAAATGGAACATGCGCAGAGCAATTGTAACGATTTAAAATCACAACAAGTTCAATTAATTATTCATGACAGTGCAATGATAACATCAATGCGAATGGAGGTTGGTGCCATTATGCAGCGCATCGAAAATTTAAAAGCTTCACTAGAAACATGGAGAGATTTTCTACATAGAATACAATCTTTGGCTACCACATACAATCAAAGGGTTAATGTGTTACAATCACAATTTCAACAAACACAACATATAATTTGCACTGATTCAAGAGCCACACCGCAAAATGTAGCTCAAATCGAGAACACACTAAGTCAATTGCGTGATCAAAAGGTCATAATCAATAACTTAACACCGGAATTAGAAGCCATCACTGTTATTCAGGAGGAACTCAAAGAATGTTTATATCCAAGCAACATAAAAATCATTCGACGTACAACACATGGACTATGGCAACAGCAGGCTGACCTTGAGCAACAACTAACACATTTGATTGCAAATATTGATGAACGTTTGACGATATCCGAAACATTCTTTAGAAAATATGAACGATTTATACAGTGGATGGATGACATTGGACATCGTATGAATGTACACGACAATGAATCTTGTTGCGTATTGTACGATTCCGAAGATCTCTTACGCCGGCTTGAAAAAGATTTGCAATCTGAATTAGCATTACGTGAGCGAGAAAAGGATTGGCTGCTTATAACAGGCCGCGAGTTATTAACATTCTATGCAACGCCTAATGATAATGACAAATATCATCGTGTCGATATCAAGAAAAAACTTGATGTAATTGTTGATCGGTGGGAACAATTAAAAGCCTTATCAAAAATGAGATCAAATAAAATACAAGAGCTCAAGAGCACAATTATTCGTATGGAAGAAAAAATTGCATCTCTTCGAACAAAGTTGCATAATTTCGATATAAAATTGAACAAACCAATTAGTTTTGAGTCTTCAGAAAATATTTCATTTGAAAAAATGATTCGTGAACATGAAGACCTTCAGCGATCGATTGAACAGGAGAGCGCCAATATTGGTGATGTTCTTAATTTGTGTGAAATGATGTTAACTGATGTGGAGACGTGGAAATCACATGTCGATACAAATGCACTTCAAATAGCAATTGAATCAATAGATCATAAATGGAAACATATTTGCAATGCATCAGTTGAACGAAAGCAACGAATTCATACAATTTGGTCATTAATTGTGGATTCTTTATCATTAACAAATGAGTTAAATTCATGGACCAGCAATCAAGAAAATGAATTGAATGAACTAGAGAGAGACATTGATAAACTTACAAAAGATCAAATAAATCAGCGTATAGTAGTACTCGAGAAACAAATTAAAGAAATTGAATACCAGCAACCACAGTTTGAATGCTTGTCTCATTCATATTCGAAATTAGTCAAATCAAATGGCATCGACCCATTAAATATTCAAGAGTTAGTAAATCCATGTAAAGAATTGTTAAGCCGTTATGATAGATTGGTACCACGAACTCTCGATATAATAGGTAGATTAAATGAAGATACAAAAGAGCACCAACAGTTCCGTAATTTACATGGAAAGTCAGTTGTGGCACTAACTCGAATCGATGCAGAATTAACAAAAACTGAACATCTCATAAAAATGGACCCAGAAGAGAAACTTCAATCAATTCGAATATTAGAACATGAATTGAAACTATGTGAAAATGATTTAGCATCAGCAGATGAATTAGGTTTGATAATTATGCGTAAATCTAATCAAAGTGATGTAGATGACATTCAGTGTATGATTGACGAATATCAATTACTTTGGAAAGATGTAATAACTAGAATTTCAGTTATAAAAACCAAATTGGCAACCACAATTACTCAAAATAAACAATTTGCACAAAAAGAAACGAACACAAGTGCAGTACAAGTCAACACTCTTTCTCGGTCATTGAATCGGACTACATCAATTACACCGAAAGATGCATATATACACGAGCTTCATGCTGCACTTAAAGAGTGTAATGACAATTTGGATGCATTAGAAAAGGAAATTAACAATTCAAAGAGAAAACCAGGCTCACAGGTTGTTCAGAAATTGTGCTCAAACAGTCAATCATCAGTAGAACTATTACAACATTTAAGTAATATTCTGATTACTGAATGTTTTTGTACTGATGAAGAGGCTTCGGTAGAAGAAGTAGCCAATATAGCAGCCAGATATGATGCACTACTAATAACATGGAAATCAAAAGAGCGACAACTTGAAAACAGGTATTTGTGTATTTTATTCTAGTTGCCGTTTTTTTTAAAAAAATAGTTCTATAGTTATTGGTCTTTGGATTGTAGTGTTGATCTTTTTTCAAATATCTTATTGCTTTCTTCTGTTCTACTTAAACTTTAATGGTTTGATTTTTCTGCTTTCTAATAATCAATATTAATTGAATCATATCTCTCATGCGCTTCAATACATGGATAAACAGGTCATTTACTGCCTCTTACATTTTTAATTGCCCACAGTAAGTATACATTTCTACCCTATAATCTTTTTTTCCCTATAATACTAACACCTCACCATGAGGGAGATTTTCATTTTTAAAAAAATTATTTTGATTGTGCTGATTTTTTTTTGTGTTTTTCAAACTAAGTTCTAAATAAATATTATTCAACTTGTTATTTCAGCGAAAGTGGACGTTTGACTTGTCCCTTATGCTCGGAACGTAACTGGAGTCAAATTGATAATGATTTATGGCGTCTTGAACAATGGCTCCAGGTAATGTCATTAACTTTTTGCGCAGGGGATTCTCGTAAATAGGAATTCCATGATATAGAATTGATATTTTTACAGTGTCAAAACTACTTATTAAAACAACAATATAATAATATGTTTTTCAGTTTGCTGAAGGAACTCAAAAATTACAAACAACTCCTCCCAAAAATATCGAAGCTTTAGAAGATGTTATCACTGATCATCGTGAATTTTTGCTCGACTTAGAAAGCCATAAATCGATAGTTAAGTCACTAAATGTTGTTGGTTCACATCTCTTTACGCACACCCTCGATACCGAAAGAGCAAAGCAGTTGCGTGAACGATTACAAAGTGATAATGATCGTTGGGAAAATATTTGTAAGCAAACAGCGAAATGGCAAGCATTATTACAATCATCGTTGATGAGCAATTCCCAATTTCATCAAATCATCGATGAATTGTGCGAATGGTTGCAACACACTGAAAGTACCATTCATGCATCTGAACCGGTTGATTTGACTGTTAATCGAAGTATTTTGGAAGCAAAATTTTCCAAATTCCGCGAACTACGTAACGAACTTGAGAGGTGTGAGCCACGAGTAATCGGTCTTCAAGAAGCTGCCGACCAAATTCTCAAGTCTGATGAGTCACAAACATTTGTGTACAATAGGTTAGGCAATTTCTTTTCTTTTTGCCCTTTTTCAAATAATTTTTGGAGAAAAAAAAACTTATTTTATTGGATTTTATGCCTAGTTTAACATTCGAGTGTACTATGCATATAATAAGAGAAAAAATGATAAGTTTATCATTATTAACAATAATTTTCAATCCAATTTCACTAGATTGACAGATCTTCGTTTGCGTTTACAATCTTTACGACGATTAACCGGAGTCTATATTGTAAAATTGGGAGCCGTACTCGGATATGACTCAAGTCAGCTGGGCATCACCTTAACAAGCACTTCCACTGGAACAACACCACTCCATATACTTTCACAAGAGGTATAAACAATTAACTTCACATTTTTTTTTAAATTTACTTCAAATAATTACTTAGTTATTAGATATAGTAAGTTTTAAATTCAATTTTACTACCAGAAGCCAGTAGTTTTGTTTTTTAATGGATCGCTTAGTTGAAATTTGGCAAATTTTGAACTTTTTTAGATTATGTTATTTTTCTTTTTTATTTATTTTGCAAAACAGCTGTTGGATACCTACCAATCTCCGTCACAAATGGCCTCCGCACATTCCACACATATTAATGCAAAGTATGATATTTTTTATTTTTTTAAAAGTAACACAAACTTCTCTAATTCCAATAGCATAATCAATTATGACAATTTGTCTGCTATGTAAAAGCTAAGATCTTTCTTATTCACATTGAGTTCTTAATTCACAAAGATTATTAAGTATGCTATTGTAACTGGAAAACTTTAAAGTATATTCCATATATAAGTATATATTATATATAAATGCTGTGTTTTATGGGGTATTTAATCTATTAGCACAATTTTATTATTCACTTTGTATTTCACAGATTTTATGTCAATTTGATAACTTTATTTTAAATTGCGTTTTACAGTGCCGATGGAAGATCAGACGAGATCAATACAACAACTCTTTCCAGAGGTTATCGATTCTTAGGTCGAGTTCTGCGTGCTTCACTTCCAATACAAGCTTTAATGCTACTCCTTTTGGGTGTTGCTTCCCTTGTGCCCCACGGTGATGATTATTCCTGCATTTTCAGCAACAATTTTGCATACAGTCTAGAACCGATGCTACGACACCAGGAACCTCCACCAATTTAAAATACGAAATAAGTAAATAAATCAATAATTTTTTAAACGAATTACCGAATCAAAACGAACGACATAGCAATAGCAAATATGTATTTCGAAGCTTACACGATGTCGATGCAACACTTCTAAAAAAACGAATTACTTTTCACGAAAAAAAAAACATTTGATAGGAAATGGATTAATTCTAGTTGTTCTCCCAAATATTACTAGTGGCAATCCAGTGAATATCAAAAAAAAATATACTATCTACTCTACAAAAGTGAACGAAAAACCATTATATTATATATCTTTGCAATATTATATTGTTGAAAAATAACTAAGTATAATGGATCTTTTTCACTATACCGATTCGAAAAATTGCATAGAAGAAATTATTATTAATACTAAATTAGTAAAATAAACTCAATGAAAAAAAAATGATCTACTTTTTTTTTTTTTAATTAATTCTATTTTTGCAGGTTTGATCATGAAATCCTAAAAATATTCATTTTCGACATTTTCGAATCTCTCATGAAAACTGGACAGTAATTTACATAATTTGTGTGAATTAGAACATTTGGCAACATTTTTTTCTTAACAAAAACTTACCCTTAAAGCTTATGTTTCATCATTTTTTAGGGTAAATGTCGAGATTTTTTTATTTTCTCAAATGAAGCTCTTTCGTTCATTTTTCCGTAAACAAAAACATTTGATTTTAATAACATTCTCTTTTATTTCTACATACATGTATAAAGCGATCATTGTTTTTATAGTTAAATATTTGTCAGTTTTTAATTGCATTCGCTCAAATAAGAATGTATGTCGATCACCATTTGATTTCGTATTTTAAGTTGTTTTTCTTAAGGTAAATGAGAATTCAAACTGTCAGAAAAATTATAAACATATGAACGAAAAAGAAAATTTCATTCTTTTAGAAGTATAAACTTTTCATAATTCATCTGTTATTCAACCATAATTGCTGATCTCTTATGATTGTCAAGTGAAAACTATTTTCAGCATTGATAAAACGAAAAATAAGTGAAAAATAAAACGAAATATATCTATAAATAAATATAAAAATTCAAAAGAACGTTAGAGAATATATATTGTATAGTAGGAAAACAAAGTGGAACACAATTTAATCTTCGCAATTAACTTGTTTTTTAATAGAAGGAGAGAGTTGGCATTTTGAAAAGTAAAGAAAAACTTTGTCTTTGGTGCTAGGGGCTAGACACAAGGTGAACAAACTATTCGGTTTTTAGACCGAAGATTCCTGCGATTCCACGAATTCAAGATGGCGGAAATCATTGAAATTTCGACTTCATTATAAAATTAACAATTCTCGACGACTCTAAAGTAATCTAAGATTACACAGATTATGATTTACAGTATCTAACCCCTGGCGTAAAGGTCTATTTTATAATTTTGTACCTTGAATCAATAATTTAAGTATTGTCCATAAGCTTTTCAGCATCAACGTTTCTTCTGTTTTTTTCAGCATACAAATTTGAAATAAAAAAAAAAAACAACTTTTCGGAAAACAATTCTTCGTATTTGAACTATTGGCCTAACTTTGCTGGGCTAAGAACAAGCTCTGGCTCAAAATTACCGACATTGTTCGAAAAAGAAGTGATTGCAGATTGTACCGTAGATGGTTTTGAATCTACAGTAGATTTTACTGCATCCATTCTATTCAACGGTAACAAATGTCCCCCCTCATCTTGAATTTCATCACGTGATGAAATAAATGAAAAGTTTGTGCTTGTATAATTTAATTCACGTTCTTCACATTCAATCAAATTCATTGGTGGTACGTCCAACATATTTTTGCTACAAACAGAATCTTTAATGCATTTTTGTTGATTCAAAGGTGCTCGAAATCTGGATAACTTATTCGGTTTGAGCTGCTCCTCTCGCACTGGTTCTAGTATAAATGATGTGTCTGGTGTTTTTATTGCTGTATCTAGTATAGAGCATGCTGTGTGTTCTCTGATTTTTGAAGTATTCTTTTCAAAGCCATTTTTTATGTTTACTAACGTTCCAATATCTTCTTCATCGCTAACGCTTACAACTTCCAAATCATCTACTTTTTTTTCGAGGCTCGGTGCTATATTTGCTATAAACAGAGTAAATAAAAAATAAATGTAAAACCATGCAATAATCTGGTATCATTTTAGAATACCTGATGAAAAGTTGTTTTTTTCACTTTGTAAAAATAATGAAGTGGTTGCAATTTGCCGTAGCGTCTCCATTCCTATGGGAGAATCATATAAGATTAGAAAAAATAGTAAAAATTAATTGAGTTAATTCAAATATGATCTTAATCTAATGCAGATTACAATAAGTGAACGAATATTTTATAAAAAAGGTTAATGGAAAAAAAACCTTCATACCCTCGTTCATTTTGCTATTGGGATGTGTCTTCATGAAATTTAAAGCTTCTTGTGGATATTTTGTCTAAAAATAAAATAATGTATAGTATATTTATCAAATTAAAATTAAGAGTTAATCATACCTGTGTCGATTGTGCTATTAACACACGCTTATTATCAGAACAAAGCAATGACGTTGTATGATCAACATCTATTTTTCCATTTTTCTGCTTTATTTTCCGTCGATTGGACGATATACAGTTTGATGGACATATGCAGAAGAAGATTCGAAGGATACAACATAGTAGTCCAATACCTGAGTAAAATAATGTAGTGTTCATACTTTTGATGTTAATTCTACACATTGTATCTTACCAATTAACGACGGCCCAATTAATCTTAGTTCAACAGTTTTGAAACCTATTAAAAAAAGTATAAATATAAAATTAAAAAAAAAATTAATTTTTAAAACGTAAACATACCTTTTTCACCGGTACCAACAAAAACAATAACTAAACCAAGTGCAACTGTTCCCAGGCCCACATAAAGAAAAGCATTTGCAAATGAACTGGGCCCTCTTAGCGCCCCCAAAAAGTCATCATCATCTGAGGAACCACCCAGTGACGAATCGTGTATCTGAAATAATCGATCAAAAGTTATAATGGTAAAATATTAATCCCATTAAATTAAAGATCCATTTCCATAAAATGATATACAACAGTTTTATAACTGATGAACAATGTTTTATTAAATCTCGTATGCGGCCTACTTACGCGATTACGTTTTACCCAGCGTCGATGACAAGAAGCTGGATTTTCAGAAATGTCAACACGACCGCGTTCCTGCGTCCATGCTGCACGTCCTTGTGCACACTTTACAAAACACAATTCGAAAATAATTAATGAAAGTAAGTATAAATGCATGTGAAAATAATAAAAGTCAGAACACTTATTTACATCACAATCAATTTAGATAAATTGTGTCTCTTTTTATACATCCTTGAAATTTGAACTTCAAACTCAAAAAAAAAAAAACTAAATTTACAAATTGCAAAATATTTATATACAAAAATGGAATGGGTGTGTCTTATATATAGATACATGAAAATATGCCAGTAAACAAATTTGTAATGTTTTTAGTACATTCTAACGTTGAAAAATGTAACGTGGCCCATTCTGGTGGTCATTTTTGTGTCAAATGGAACGGAGATTATGTGCATGGTTTCCAATTAAAATTACGAATTCCAATGGATTAGATTCACTTGTTTCTTTCACTTCCAATAATATTTCGTTTGACAACATAATGTGAACACAACCCAATACATAAAGTTTTAAATTGAAAATCTAAATCTTACGCTCAAATAAAAAAATAAACAATTTATTTGGAAAGAGATTGGCATAATTTAATTTAAAACTCTGCAGAAGAACTATTGACGTATAAACATTTATTGAATTTAATTTTTATTTAAATGGAAATTTAAATAAAATTTATTTGTGGAATTATTATTTTGAATTTTTGAAATGTAACTGACTGTGATTTGAATGAGAAAAATTTTTTCGCGAAAATTATTCGAATTTGCTAGGATTTTTCACGAAAAAAGTGAAGACCTTTTTTTTTTGAGGAGAATTCTTTCAATTTGCTAGGGTTTTTGGTTTCGAGAGATTTTTTTCCGATTTGCTAGGGTTTTTCGCGGAGAAAATTCTCTCGATTTGCTAGGGATTTTCGCCTCAAAAAGTGACTTCCAAAAAAAAAAAAAAAAAACGGAAATTTGTCTGATTTGCTAGAGAATTTTTTGTTTTTGAAAAATCACCCCCTCCTGTAAAATGTAGCTCGCACATTACCGATTTATATGTATTAAAAATGTGCTCGCATCGTGTGACAGTATTGTTAGTATAAACAACTTCCATCACTTTGAAACAACTATCGCACCAACCGATTTTGTTTACAATAAAATTTTGTTTTGTTTTTAAGAGGATTTCTTGAGAATTTTAAGTGAGTGTTTGTAGCGTGGTTCGGGCGATCAATTGATTTTATTGTCTTTTTAATTTCAACGATTTTGTGTATTCGATGTGGAATGGATATATTCACAGTTGGTTTTGTGTTCATTTTTGTTTTAATTTCGAAATAACATACATAGTGTTGATAAAATTTGCTGTGAATATTCCAACAACATTTCGATCGGGAAAATATTTGATGTCACATTGGAAATAAATTTCACCATTCGATTTAGAACACAGAGTCACTTTGTTGAGGTAAGACGTGATATTTATGATGCGTTCTTCGTTACTGTTTCATTTGATTTGTGATAGAAGTGTTTATATCTTATTGTGTTTGTGATCTATGCTACATTTGGTGCATTTTTTTCTAAATTTGTGTCCATTTTTTATTTTCATTTATTTGTATCAGTTCTTCAAGAATGAAAAGAAAAAGAGATAACAACGATTCGCCGGTATACGATGACGAAAGAGAAGAAGAAAATTCCAATAAAATGTGGCTTGCAAACAATACTTCGACCAGAAGTGTTTGAGTGCAGTCTTCAAATGACGGAAGTTGCCTCATTGGCCTCACTTTTGATTTTATTCAAGATGGATGAAGCGCTCGATAATGAAGATCGTCAGTTCTTTTTGCGATGGGATCGTCGACAGTTCTTCTTCGATTGCTTCAATGCGGTATTGGCCAAAAATGTTTACAATAATAATAGCTGAAATCCCATACCGCCAGAGTTCGGGTTCATGGTTGAAAACTTCAGTGATGAACAGTTCGAATGGCCAAGCAAGGAAAAGTTGGAGAATGGTTTTCGTTATTTTGTCAAACAGCACATCGCAAATACGAAAACTGCTCTCACCACTTGGTGCGAAGTTCGACTTGAGTCATTCTTTGAAATGCGATACTGGTCGCAATCACAACATCAATGGACCGAGATTTGATGGCATCGACATCAGAAATGCAAAAATGTTAGTACATCGATCCAACGAATTGACAAATGGTAATGTGGAAAGAGTAGAAAAGCCCAACATTTTATTGGATGATCTGGTTGCAATTTGATGGCGACGCCAAAAATGCATGAAATTTTTTGTAGTAAAGGATCATTGGTTTGAATCGTTGTGGTTGTTCGGAAAAATGCAACGTCAATTAGCAGCTTGTCAGAGTGATGCCGCACAATTGTATACCATTCATGAAATATTCCATGACAATCCTAACTTTCAACAGCCAACAAACAATCGCCCACCGAAAAATAAACAGTTTTGCTCTTGTACCGTTATGCGATTATCATTTGAAGAGCGTGCGATTGGATATAAGAGACGTATATAGACGATTAGCAAGCGTGCTAAAATTGGTTCCCAAATTCCGCAATCCGTACACCAACCGGCTAAATAAAAACTCCGAAGAATACTACAGAGATCATGATCGAGATGGACTATGGAAATTGTTGTTCGACGTCGATAAAATCAAGCAATTAGGCAAACGATCCAAACAATTCCATCATCAAATCGTGACCAATAGTGTTTCCGTATCGGCACTGTACATCAAACTAGAGCAGGCGTGCAACGAAAATATGCATTTACAGGCGTACAATCTTGTAGGCAAGAAATACGTTATTGGCATCGATCCGAATGAAAAAACGTGGTTTGCTATAACGCGTCGCAACATCCGGAAAACACCTGATGAACCGGCCGTTGAGGTGAGATATTTTGAAATCTAACTTGAAATTTGTTTGAATCGAAACTAATTGTTTTAATGATTTTGAATTTTTAAGGAAAACATCACAATACCAAACACGCGATTCTACTGGGAAACTCGGCAGAAACGAAGAGAAAAAGAGACAAAAAAATTGGCTGGATGGTTTGATATTGAAGAAAAGGATCATCTGAAGACATACCCATTCGGTCCACCATCACCGCGTAATTCAACATGGCAATGGTACATTGAGTATCGCATCAAAATGCTACGAAAAGGAATGTCAGCATATGCTACACGCAAATATTCACGACTGGATTTTGATCATTACATGAAGTCGAACCAAGTAAATGATAACATCGTCGTGACAGTGACCAACAACCTGCCGTCAATGATTATCTTTGGTGCATCGGAGACGCCACCCAATCGGCCATTTGGTTTGAAGAGACGGAAAAGATGTCCAGCATCGCGGAAATTTTTGGTGAGCGTCAAGAAACTTGGCCATTCAGTGGTGAAAATGGAAGATGAATGGGGAACATCACAAACATACGCGAATTGCCAAGAACGATTTCCAGCGAACACAAAACCGCATCGATTCAAAGTGTGCTACGGTTGCAAAGCGAAACCGATTGCTGGACTTCCGGACTCAGTCGCTAGTCTACCAGATATAATTGTGGCAACGGTTAGCAAACGTGCTTTGCAAAAGGGACGGAAGGAAACTAAGCGTAGAGTTTGCAATGGCAATTATCAGAATATGGGCGAAATAAATTATTAGATAAAACAAATATTATAACGATTAGTTAGCGTAGCTAGGCTTGACACCATTTGTGTTACACAAATCTTGTGGCCTTGTTGTGCGTTCATAAGAACGGTATAACGGTAGTACGGAGGAGTTTTTAATTAGAAAATAGATATTCTATTTACAATTCAATTGATACTAATCATTGTCGTTCTTCTTTTCAATGTATTCACACCTGAATTTTACGTTCTGGCAACCGTAAAAATAACTGAAACTACATACAAATCCGTATCCAAATTTGACCGTGAATTTGTGCCTGGTAATGGGTGAATTTGCATTACAAATTGTTCCTTTGTCATAAAAAATCAAATTGTTCATACATATGCCAGTAAAGCTGCGAGAAAGTTGGTGAATAAAAGGAAAGTGGTGCAAAAAATTTGTGCATGCAAAAATTAGTCGCGCTATCAGACGAAACAAGTATACCAAAATCCTTCGTCGATTTTACTTATATTTGTATTTCTTATTAGTATAATTTTTGAGACATGTAATCATTTAATCTCAATTTATACCAACAACTTACCTTCCTATTTTTTTGATAATGAGAAAAGACTGTGTCTCTATGGTGCTTTTTAAGATAGATGCAGTATTTGAACAAATACATTTTATATAAATTTGATGAGATTACTTATTTGTGTCTGACAATGAAATATTTACATTTTTCAATTGGGGGTCAACTATACAAGCCCGTACAAATTTCAAAATAAATAATTTAAACTTCCTATTCTATTCCTTCTTTATTGGATGCATGCTTCAGTATGCATGCTTTTTTATCAAAAGTTTAAACTGTGTCTTCTTCAACTTGAAGATATATTATCAAATAGCTATTTGAACTGGAAAAGATCCATTTTGGCTTTTTTTCCCAAAAAAATTTTTTTCAAGCACTTCCAATTAGACAATTCATGTGACATTTTAGCGTTTTTCAATTATTATGAGTGTTACAGAACTATGAAAGCACATTTTATATTTCTTTGTACCGTAGACATTGAAGCTTCAGTGTTTATCAACGCCAAGATTACGGATGTTTCTGAAAAATGTATTAAAGATCATTGATCTCCCTTGTTTTATGATATGTTGTGACTCATCAAGAGTCTTTGGTTGACTTTTTCTGGTGGATTTTTGGACACTTCATTGTATTGTTTTCATTAGAATTCAAAACTCCAGAATGCGTAATTTAAAAAATTAAGATTTTTTGTGTATTATTTTTCTGATCAACAAAAATTATAGAGGAATAGTAATATTTCATTCATTTTTGAGCCATAATAAATTTTATATCACCTGATATTCGGAATATTATATCGAAGTTTTGAAAATCTTTCAACTTGTTAGGGGTTTTTTCTGGAAAAGTGAAGACACTTTTTTAGCGCTACATGAAGTTTGGAGCTATTGGATTTTTTTTCAGTAACCATTTCGTACTGGCCGATTTCAATGAAATTTTAATAGTGAATGTTGATGTATTTTGGACAAGATTGGAAAAGTACATCATGGTATTTCTATCAAAATTAGGGGGAAGTGATAATTTCGAAATGAGGTTTTTCTCCTGGTTCGAATGGAATAGCTATTGTGGTAGATTATAATATGGCTTTTTATTTTAATAAACACGATGTACAACGGTTATTAAGGTCGAACATCATGGTCCGTGCAATACAGGTAACATCATTTAATATGGTTATCGTGTCAGAACATGATGGTCCTTGACGACCAATAAACGATCGATATTTTCAGATATTAAACCGATATAAGCCAATAAACAGGCAGAAAAGTTCGTGTCACAGAGTAGTTTAAATGAAATATTGATTATTTGTTTATTTCGGAATTTGTTAAACAATATTTCGATGTCGTAGCGTTAAATAAATAGAAACAAAACTAAAAAACGTTGACAAAACATAAATGAGAAACCTTCTTAGCGAACGAAGCGAGCTGCCTCTTGTTTAGCTCTTCACTTTTTCCGAGAATTTCTTTTTTTCACAATTACTATTTTAGTTCGCACAGTATTTAAACATATATTAACTTTTCTAATAAAATCTACAAAAATTGACATAAAATAACGAGAATCCTACCTAAAAACTTACGAAAATCAGATTAAAATTCAACGAATATTGTCATAAAATTGAACGAAAATTATAATAAAATTGGACAACTATCGTCAGAAAATTTACAATTTATGGTAATAAATTTTCTGAAAATCTTCATAAAATTTCGTATTTTCGTAATAAATAGTCCTGTGTCCTGAGTTATGCCTTTGTGGTAGCTTAATGACGTGAAACTTTGCACAAGCTGTTTTTTCCACCAAAAAATGAAATTTTAAGAAATTTTTATGCAAATTAGCATTACCTCCCATACAAAATTTTCGGTTATGAGCCAAAAATCGAAAATTTTGTATGGGGGAACCTATATTATTGATTGAAATTTCTTTAAACTTTGTGAGATTATTTATTTTGATAAGAAAATAATATTCACAAGTATTCACGGCGATTTAAGTTACTGCAACCAAACATAGACCATAATTTCAGTTTATTCCCAAAATTTCGGTTCCATGCTTTATTTTTATTCAAAAACGGTAACGAAAACGGTGCGCAAATGAAATGACGAACCTCGGACTATTTATTACGAAAATACGAAATTTTATGAAGATTTTCAGTGAATTTATTAACATAAATTGTAAATTTTCTGGCGATATTTGTCCAATTTTATTATATTTTTCGTTCTATTTTATTCTGATTTTCGTAAGTTTTTAGGTAGGATTTTCGTTATTTTATGTCAATTTTTGTATATTTTATGACGAATTTCGGAGATTTTATGACGAATTTCTATTTATCCTTAACTTTTATCTAAAATGTCATTCATTTTTAAATCGATTTCACATTTACTGTAATAAATTCTTATGCTTCCTTTGGTCACTTTGGCATAACCGGAGATTTTTTATCAAAATGAACTTAAATTAATTTTTATAGTCGATAATATTCCCAATGATTGATGAAAGATAAATAATAAATCTGTATTTTAATGTGCACATACTTGATTTGATTGTGTTTTTTCTATTTTTAGTGACTTATATCGAAAAGTGCATTTTTCAGTATATTTTTCACTATATAAAAAGTTCTGTTCATAGCAGAAACTTATAGAAGCATTCTATGTGTTAAGTCGCCTATCGTTCCCCTAGAAGTATTTAATTGAGATAATATAAACAAGTCTTGATCTAGATATAGGCAGAGGAAGCTGAAAGCGAGAATAAAAAAAATAAAAAAAATCGTTAAAATTGATTAATAGTAAAATACTAAATAAATTCTCACTACATAAAATTCGAATATTGCGTTCATTTTGTCTGCCAGTATGGAAAAAATAGTCATCATTTTATTGATAAATTATAGAGTTCAGGGACTAACTAGGAAAGGGACTCCACAAATTCTTCTGCTTCAAGTATTTCCAAATTTTAATCCAATATACTGTATGCACAGACTAAAAAAGAGTAATATTTTGTAGTGTCGTGTGATAAGTCAGGAAATTTCGACCGAAGATGTTCGATGGGGAAGAAATTTGAAAAAATTACTCGTTATATAATGGTATTTGTGGCCTCTTTCACTCCTCTAGGCCTAAGAATTTGTGGTAGGTAATTTTGATAATAATATTCATATGTATCACCTTGTATATTTTTGGAAAACTTTACTTTGAATATATATAGTTTATATATACGATAGAAGAAGGTGAGAATTTAAAATATGTTTTTTATTTACAAAATTGTTCCAAAAATTGTTCTTTCAATTGGCGATGCAGAGCTCTTAAGTTTTTTTTAATAGAAATTATTATAAATGTCTGAATTGAAAATAAGTTGATTTCAAAATCGCACATAAAATTTGTTGACTATTCTTATCAGGGGCAATATTTGAATTCTAGTTCGTGATCGATTCTTAGTGATAGATATGTTTTGATTGGTTCTAGTGAATATATTTTAATCATAGAATAAAGTTTAATTTCAAATTGTGTTTTTATCTGGCAATCAGAACGTCTTCATTATTTTTTATTGCATATGGTTGTTGTTTATTGTAGTTTTGAATCAAATTTGATCATAATAGAAAAATCATCATAGTAAATCATAAACCACAAACCAGAATGCAATAAGTCATAAATAATATTCAATGCAATACGACATTACATTTAAAATAACGAAATTATCTTTATGAAATGAAGGTTGGAATTTGTTTTTGTACACTTAGAAAAAATGTTTAGAATTTTCGTTGAAGCGATTACCAAATTTCAAAGAAAAGAAGTTTCGATCTTACCAAAAAACAACACTTTCTTCTTTTTATGTAAATTTATAGGTATTATTCTATTAATTTTAATTTTTCCAAAAACAAAAACAGAATATAATTTGTGTACAAAGCTATAGTACTATCTTACAATTTATGTATATTTATGATGAAGAAATCTTTTGAGTTTTGACTACTTTGTTGGAATCTTCGTGATTGCCTTTAAAAACACAATGTCAAATTGAACTGTTGTGTTTCAATTTGTGTTAAAACACTAAAGTCATGATCAAAGTGTATTTTTCTTTCTAAAAAGTGTCAATTAAGCGATGCATCTCTATAGTATTTATATCGTGTTTTAAATATCTATAAAAACAAGTAAAACACCTTTCGTACGCTTGTGTCAAGATCTCCGACCCACTGATCGGGTGGGTACTGCGGAAACGGCTGCAATTGTTTTACAGATACATTGCTTGGTAAATCGTATAAGCGTCCTTCTCTGCGCATGCGTCTTCTTTTAGCAATTCGCTTCTAATAATTCGAAGAATTAATAAATTAATGATTCGTAGTATTAGAATCGAATTACCTAGTAATAAATAACAATTCGACCTCACTAGTAAAGTCTGTATTAAAAGTATACATAAGGTGGCAAGATGTCGTTCTTTTGGAAGCTGTTCTCGTCCCCTCAATTCCGCATAAAATTTGGAAGATAGCTCAAAGGTCGTTAAGATTATTGCCAAATATGGACATATACAGTGAATCTAATTTTTTTGATAGGCAAAATAACAAGCAAAGTAAGCAGAGAAACTCTCCACTAACATAGGATTCATATACGAATGGCGTGTGAGTGGAGTGTGTCATGCAAAATGTTGTCTACCAAAAATATTAGATTCACTGTATTATACGGAAAGTGATGCAAATGAAAGCACTACTTTATTTTATCTATCCAAAAAAAATTGACAACGCGTTTATAAAAATCCTTTAATTTTACATGACTGATTATGCACAATAACGCCACAATCGATTCATCGTTCAGCAAATGCAACTAAGCTTCAGATAAATCATCAAGGCGAAGGAATGCTGTTCGGTGCAGTTATTATAATTATTATTTATTAAACTTTCACATACAAGATTGTATCGCAGCAAACCGTGTACAACAGAAACAACTGCTTGTGTTAAAGCGCTGTTTTTAAACGTCACCGTGTATTATTGTTTGTGACGTTACTGTACATTTGAATCGTTGCGGAGAAAAAGTAGCTCTTATTTTTCTCCAAATAATACTGCAACATGAAGTTTTTTTCACACGGTTTATTTGTTGTAATACAACATCTTCAACATCTGGCCACCTTAGTTATACCTACTAAGCCCGGTCCGGTTCATTTTTAGTCGATGGTTTTCCATTGTCATTGGTTTTCCACCAATGATAATGCGTTGCATAATAATATAATATGAACCGTTTTAAAACTAAAATGAACTTCACGGCTCACCTTACTCCGTATCATTAGTGCTGCTTGCATTGTTATTATCAATTTTTTGCAACTTTTCCAGAAGAAATCAAGTTTGTCTCATACGTTGAGCATCAGTATTTAGTGTTAATCCATGTTATAGTTCATATCCACTTATAAAAATAATCTTCATCACGTTTAATCAGTTCCACTTTATTTGTATATAGTTTGGAGTCACTTAAACTTTAGAAAGCGCATTATCTACTGCAGTTTATCTAAGTATCGCCATATTTTGATATATAACACTGTGCCCGAATTTGAAACTTTTTTTGTAACAAACGGGAGACATATCCATTCTGCCTAGGTAGAAATGATATGTATCCCGTTTGTTACATTTTACAACTAACACAGTATATATACTCAAATAAATCTTATAAAAGCTCAAATAAAAAAATGCAAAAACATTTTTTTCGTTGAGTAACTAGTACACTTGATTTTACCTTTATTTCAGTTTAAAGGGCAACCATGATTAATTATATTATTAAATTCTATTAAAACTCCATCATTGAAAAAATTACGTACGGATGTAAATTTTTGCTACACCATAATGAATCGCCGTAATGCCAATGCATTAATGGAAAAAAATAACCCAGATATGAATATAAATGAATGTCCGAGAATGAATGTGAGACTTCTCCTGTGATTTTATTGAAATGTACCAATTTTGTTGACTAGTGAGTACTTTTTACATTCTAATAAAATTTGATTACAAGTCTCACATTCATTCTTGGGCAAATATAGACATTATGTCCTGTATAGAGCACATCTGATTCACTGATTCATTCGATCTGATGGGGTGTGCTGTTTTCAAAATGTCAGATATATTCCACGTGCTTGTTCTTTGCATTCTTTGTTAGAAACAGTATCTGAATTAGGTTATATGTATTATTACCGACAATGGCATCAGCCTTCTAAATATTACTTGATTGAATTTGCTCGATATACAATATATCTCTCAAAAGATAACCAAATCTTTTTTACACGCTTTTAATGGTTACTCATACCAAACTGTTTGACCATATTTTCTTAAATACTGCTGTAGAGCGGTACACATACTTTTTTGAATCTATTGACATACACTCCGCGAAAAAAGGATAGACGCAATAACATTTTTCCAAAAATCTTATTTAAAAAGCATAGATTTCTTTGTGATTTTTTTGTCAATTTATTTAGCAACTATTTATGCACACATCACAAAAAGATTTATCAAAAATAATTTTAAGAAATTTATTTTTTTTTTCAAGTTTTTCGAAATTTTGTACTCAAAAAGTGCGAAATAAGGATAAACGCAATCACTGTTTTGCTTCTAATAAACAATGTTGTTTACATTTTTATGATGTGTGTTGATGTGATTTACCGTTATGCACCGTCTACAGTCAGTGCATGCAATTTCACAATATTTGTGACGCAGTTGTCATTTGAATTACAATCGAAAAACAATGGGACGTGCAAATCAATTAACTGAAGCGGAAAAATTATCTGCACATGTCAAACCGTCAGATACATACGTCCTCAAGGGAAAAATTTAAGGGGAGAAGCAAAAAGTGAAAGATAAATTATTGGAACATTTTCAAGGAAATGAACAGCCTATACTTTTACTGACGCAATTTTTTAGCATTACCAAATGCCAAATCACAAACATTTTGAAAACGCAATTGCATGTTTCAGTCAAACCTACGAACTGATTGATTTCGCTGTATACAGCTCGTCAGTGCAATATTTTTGATAAATCTTTTTGTGATGTGTGCATGTGAATAAATAGATGCTACATAAATTGACAAAAAATCACAAAGAAATCTATGCTTTTTAAATAAGATTTTTGGAAAAATGTTATTGCGTCTATCCTTTTTTCGTGGAGTGTATAATATCTTATAGACTGTGCAAGTGGTACCATATTTTGATTCTTTCTTTAGCTATGTTTCTGTTGTATTTGAAAGAGTATAATAGAGAATAAGGAATTAGAAAGAAAGAGAAAGGGTAGGAAACAATAGAAAAGAGAAGAACATATTTTCTTCATTGCTAACAGTTTATGCAAAAAAATACTTTTTATTTTAGTTTAACAATTTCAAACTGTAAATCTAACACTGGTTTACTTCGAAAAAGTTCCCAAATGAAAATAAAATTTATTTTTAAAGGCGAGACTTTATTTCCAAAGTATTCACATGAACCATGAACTTTTTTATGTGAATCATTTCTGAGTTATCAAATCAATCGTAAATATATAATTTGATCTTGAGCAAGGTATATCTAACAGTTTGAATGATTTTATTTATATTATCAAATTTTGAAATACTTGTATAGGTTTGTGGGCTAAATTGAACGCCTGAGAATACATGCATGGATTTTAAATTCGTAACTCGAGAAAAAAGGCATTTGCTACTCTGCAAGAGATAAATATAAACTAGTTATCTATTGACAGATTCTTACTGCACGCTTGTATGTAACAAAACGAGATAATCAATTTTGCATAATACAATTTATTTTGCGATTCAATTTTATCCTTTTAAGCTGCTGTGTTTGTGTCACATATAAACAAATCAAAATGTACCGATACAAAAACCACATTCATTGAACAAAAACCGAAGTCAAATACAGCCACTTATAAGAATACATTTGAATGAACAACAAGTGATATGACTTCGTATAGAGAATTCGTCGCACGCAAAAATGATTATCTCATTTTCTTATTTTTGGTGAGAGTTGAGTATAAATCATCCGTTAACTTGTTTATACTTCTTTGTTACAACAAATTAATAGTAAGTATTTTTTTCTTGCGATAAATACAAAATCCACTATTTTGTTAAAGACAAACAATTGTAACATAACAGATCTTGATTCAAGCTTACAATAATAAAGATATATAAAAACAAAAATTATAATCACGAAAACACAACGCGGTATTAACCTGATTCTATTCATTGGACTCAGAAAGCATAGGATAACTTTTTCAGTCTTTTGCCATGACAAATACAATTATTTTTATTCTTAATTAATGTGTAAAATATTTTCAATTTTTTTGCCAGCTTCATTGGCACTTTCAATTGTATTCTGAATAACATATTTTAGTTGAAGTAGACGTAATTTTTGATCGTAAGCAATTCCACCTGGAATATTAGTTAAAACTGATTTCTGTTTTGAAACTTCAGCATCACTTTCTTTCAAAGATACTGGATTTTCGATGATTTGGCTTTCGTCGTTTGATTTGCATGGAATGCCCTTTATGTTTTCGGTATTTTTCGTTGAATCGATTGAGTCGAGTGCAATGCCATTACTTTCAAGGTACTTTATAATCGATGCTAAGTGTTGACAAGACCAATTATTTTGCGATATACTCATTTTCGAAAGTGCTGGGAATATTTTTCGTAATTCTGTTGCATCGATTTTGGTAAGATTGTTACCATCTAAATGCAATTTCAATAAACTCGTCATAGAAACGAACATTTGAAAATCGATATTACCCAAATTATTGTAAGATATGTCAAGTATTTTCAATTTAGATTTATGTGAAAAAAGTCCAAAATAAATTTTAGAAAGTCCACTGTTTTGCAGATTTAAGATTTCCAATCGATGCATATTTGCAAATGAATTAAGACCAATGTCATCCATCGTATTATTCATCAAATCGAGATGGATTAAACTTTCGAATCGTGTCAAATTCAAAATTTTCTGTAATTGATTGTTTGCCAAATCAACATACTCCAAATTCGTCGATATTGCATCATAACTATCAATATAGGATATGTGGTTGTTGTTAGCAACTACTCGTCTAGTACGTGATCCAATATAACATCCAATTGAATTTGTGTTTCGAATGTCAATACTCTGTGCATTTATAACGCAGCAACCTAAGTTTGCATTTGGGTTATTATGTAAATCAAATTCATTTACACGAGTTAAATGTCTAAATGTTAGCTCACCATATAGCCATTCAATTGCATTGTCATTCAAGTATATACCATGTAAGTATATATTTTGCTCAAATAATTCAGTCGGTATCATTTTAATCAAATTATGACTCAAACGAATAGTTTGCAATTGAATTAATGGTTTGAAACAATTTGCTGGGATTAATTGAAGTTTGTTGTTGTCCAAGTTTAACATTTTTAATTGCTCAAGTCCAGTAAAGGCATCGGTATGGATTATTTGAATTTGGTTTCGAGACAAGTCCAATTGATTCAAGCTTTTCGCCAAATGAAATGTATTCGTGTCAAGAACGCCAATATTGTTTTTAGAAAAATCCAAAACGAAAAGCTCTTTGCTGTTACGAAACACTTCTTTTGTTAAATTCTTCAATTTAATATTCCAGCCGTATAACGTTTTGATGTTTGGAAAATTTGTGAATATTCCCAATGGCAAAAAGTGCAGAGTACAATTATCAAAAATAAGCTCTCGTTTTTCATCGGCAATCGGATTTGGTTTGAATGTGACATTTTGTATAATTCCATCATTTATGTGACGAATGAAACAAAATCTTCGTCCAAAATCTGTATTACTTATAGGATCACATTCAATTTGAGTACTTTTTATCGTTTTGAACGAATACACACAGTATACGCAAATATATGAAAATAAATGCTTCAAAAACATCACGTCTTGATATTTAGTTTTACTCCTGTAATCTTCAAACGTTCGAGTAACACTATAAAATAACAACGCTTCAAGAAATTTAAATTATGTTTTGAAGTAACTGATAAATATTGAAATGCGAACTAATCTGCAATTTTATCATAAGTTTATAACAATATATGTTTATATTTCTACGTACTTCCTGAATGGTTATAGTAAAAAACACTATCATTATCAACGTTATGTTTCATTGTATTTCCTGCAAATGCTTTATACAACAAAATCATATCCTTCATTTGTTCCGATAGTCAATAGTAGTTTAATATACAGGGTGGGACAGAATAACTGAAGGGTTTTTACTTAACATTCTTACGACTGTACAATGACTTTTGATTCACCTGGTCTTGCACCGCTATGTTTCTTGATCCTTATGATAGTGCGCATTCCGATTCATTGTTTATTTGAGACGCAATAACAATGGATGTGAAACGTCAACTCATCTTAAATTTGCACAAATGTGGTTTTCGGAATATTGATATTTTCCAGTAACTACAAAATGAACAGGTTTGCATGACATTTATTGAACGTACTATCAAACGATACAAGGAACGTGGAACTGTCGACATACAAAAGAAAACCGGGAGAAAGAGATCAGTTCGTACTCATCAAACAAGTCAAAGCCAAAATTCGCCGAGATCGCCAAAGATTCTTCCGGCAAAGAAGTGCCAGAAAGCTGGCTCAAAAGCACAATCTTATCCGGTCTTCGATGCGACGTGTTTTAAAAGAAAACTTAACCTGACACCTTTCAAAAAAGCCGTCGACATGGTCTTACGATCAAAAATATGCAAGCCAGAAAACAAAAATGCAAAGAACTGTTGCGCCCGCACGCCAATTCAAATATCGTTTTTTCGGATGAAAACTTGTTCTTGCTACAGCCAAGTCTCAATGCACAAAATGATCGTGTGTACGCAGTGTCTGCAATAGACATTCCTGCATACGAAAAGACCGTTGAACGATTGAACGATTTCAGAATGTTCTAAAAGTGATAGTTTGAGGCTCATTTTTGGCCGATCGAAAATTTTCTCTGGTTTTCATCGAAAAAGACGTAAAAATCAACGCTAGATTTTATAAACAAGAAATATTGTGCAAAAACTTGTTGCCACAAGCGAAGAAATTGTTTCGAAACGAGCCATGGGTGTTTCAGCAGGATGTCGCACTTGCACACCGAGCTAAGACAGTGCGACAATGGTTACGAACAAATTTGGCAGATTTCATTGACAAAGATTCATGGCCACCATCGTCTCCCGAATTAAGCCCATTGGATTTTTTTTGCTTGGGGCTACATGACAACGAAGCTCAATAGTCTTAAGACCACGAAGGTTACCAATTTGAACACATTCAAAAAGAAAATCGTAAAGATTTGGGACGAAATTCCCATGAAATTCCATGAGTGACTCGTTTTCAACACCTCTGAGGCTGGTAATCAAACAAAACGGTGCCAGAATCAAATCCAAAGGCTAAATCTAAAATTTTATGTTAAATTCTACTAGAAAAAAAATATATATTCCATTTTATTCAAAAATGTGTTTTTTAGAGTCAAAAATAAAGCCTCCAGTTATTCTGGCCCACCCTGTAAGTATAAAAATGATCTTGTTGGTGTGACAAAAGAAAGTTTCAAAAAGATTCTATTCTCATTGAAGTATTTTTTTTTATTTTTTTTTTTTCACTTGTATTTCATTGATTTTTATCTGAATATTCAAAATTCATTTTTAACTACGGAAAAGAATATCAACGATTGAAATTTTCCCAGAAATGCTTGCAAAAAATTGAAGGAATGCAAAGAGACATCTTCAATTTTGTTGAAGGTATTCCTTTGCATATTACCACAGCTACAGCTAATTTACGAATCAAGAAGGCGTATAATTGTACCAAAGAACAAATAAATTTATTGCTATATATGCAACTTTTGATAACAATAATTTTTTGCTCTTTATTTTAATGCAACATACTAATATAAATGATCTGAGTTGGATCGCATTTGAGAAGTATATAGTAACTAATAAAAATAAAACTAACTTTCAAACATGTACAATGTACATTGAGCACTTTTGTTATGACTAACATGAATTTAATAGAAAGTAACATATTACCGTTATTATTAATTTGTTTACAGTAAAGATAACTACATTTTGTATTTTTGTAAGCCAGTGCAAGCAATCTTCTTGATTTGAAAAAAGAAATAATGTTTTCTTTTTTCAATCATCAAGGAAAAAAAGTCAATTAAACTATAATCAAAACATGCTTTTCAAAAAATAGAAAGAAAATATATTGTGAGATTTACCTTTCGAAAAAGTTTTTAACATCAGTATGAAATAAATTATTTCAAATTACAATATTGTTTAATTTGATTGAAACAACATATTTAAAACTTTTTCAAAATATGTAAGACTGGTTTAAAAATAATGTCATGTACGTAAATTTGATTGTATATTTCATGAGAAGCAACGTCAGTATATTATATACTATGAATACAATTCCAAAGTGGTGCATTTTGAAATTGATTTAAATCTCTATGTGTTTAGTGTTAGGTTTGCAGTGGATATTGGACACTGATAGCACACTTACCATAAATAAGTGGTATACAAAAACATTCTTTAAATGGGATAAATAATTGTATTATACATAAAAAAATAGCACTCTATTTTTTTTAAACAACAGAAACACATATCACACATTAAATACGGTTAAAAACGATTAAAATTTTGGCTCAAATGAACGGGAAAATTTAGTTTGGAATATTTTGGACATATTTACTGTAAAAATAAGAAAAATCTTCCACAAAAACGGTAAATTTTGCATGATATATGTTTATAACTGTGCATTGTCACTTTACCTCAATGTGTTCACATGTGCAAATACTCTGGTGCTCCGAGTCATAACATTCCGAATCAGTCCATCTTTCCAATAGACCTGATTGCTTGAGCGTCTTTTTTATTGGATAATCGTCGTCATAGTCTGTATCGTCTTTCCTTAAATGATCGTCACATTTTCTTCCTCGGTAGAAGCTACATTTGCGTTCCAATTGTTCAGGTGTGTGTGGCACTGGCGAAGCCGGTATAACAATGCACGGAACATTTATTTTATTAAATGCATCTCCATTATCATCATCATAATCGACTGTGGATATATGAGGCTTTAATGATGGACTGTCCGGTGGTGTGAATTCATATTGTGATACAAGTGGTATCGAAGCAGTTGCTGATTTTATTAGCCGTTGAGTGCTCAAGTGGTGAGCAGAAGTGGGCCGAGGTGAAACTGGCCGATGGTGATGATGATGTTCATGTGCTAGGGAAGGATGTTCATGTTCGTGTGTATGATAGTGATGGTGATTATGGAAATGTGCAAAGTACTGATTGTTCGATTCATTTATTGGTACTAAGATTTTATTTTGTGTCGTATAACCGGCACTGAGCTTTCGCACATGTGCTTGTGGAGCACGAAGATATGAGGATGGTAGATTATGAAACTGTCGACTTTGTGCTTTTGGTGTTAAATTCGAAGCTCTTGAAGCAGCAAGTTTATCTTTCAATCCTTGCTGCAGTAAAGCTTTGTTTTTAACATTTTGGGCCTGTTGGACTTTTCTTTTTTGCCTGGCACTAACTGAGTGTCCAGCAGCTGCTGCATACATGCTTATTTATCTTTTTTTTTTTGAAAAAAGTCCCTTTAACCTTTTATAAACTTTAACTGTAGCTCTATATATAATACATATAAATTTATTATCATAACTCACGATTCAAACAATGTATCAAGTACAAACGATATAACAACTTGCATTCAATAATCAAGACATTTTCACTAAATTAAACGCATAACAATATATTTTATATATGCTTCTTAATAGAAAAACTATCATAAGAACTAATATACAAACTAGGCCAAGGGACTTTGTATTCTTATATTGACCACAGCACAATAGCAGCTCTATTGACGGTTATTTCGATAAGTATTCTTGATTATATTTATGTTCCTCTTTCCAAAGGTTTACCAATGAATAAATGAACACTTTGACCATATGAAAGGTGAATGATGAACTATATGCCACTCAACTTGATTTAGCATAAATTTACCATCCATTTAATTAAATGAACCTTAACATTTCAATTCATCTTTACACTTCATAAATTTATGGCAGCAATAACAAAAAAAAAACTAATGTTCTACCGTTTATTCATATAAAAACTGTCGTAAAATAAATTAGCTATATTTTAGTAGTCGCTATCAGCTATATATCCTAAATGCATTTGTTACTGTATTAATGCTTATCTTAGTTTGCATTGAATTTCCGGAATGTAGAATGAAAAAAAAAACTAGTTTATGGTTTGTGCATTATATATCATAGAAGACAGTCAGTGAACACGAAATTGTGTCAAAACTATGATATTTATTTAACTTTTTTCAACTTTTGGAAGTTTTGTAGTAATCTACATGATTTTTATCTCATTCTCATGATTGAAATGCTACTCTACAATACAAATGAAACTATATTTATTTTTAATATAAATATTTTGTAAACAAATTGGCTGAACATTATAAATTCAAGTGATCAAAAACACTTCATATACATTTATCATAATCTTTTGAGTACATATGTTGCATAAGTGTATGAATATGGACATACTAATTTATCTTATCAATAGCTAATCTTATAATACTATGTACTATTACTATTGTCTGATTGTGTAAATACCCCTTTATCGAAAATATTTCAAATGCTTAATAGAACAGCTACTTATCATTTTGTAAATTCTTGGTGAATAATTCCTTTTTCAGAATTTAAACAATTCAATTTTAACATGCAAAGAATGATTTTCTATAAAGCAGAAATTATTTGGAAAAACGCCAACGCCTTATATATCATTAAATAATAATGATTCCAATTTCAAAGTCTAAGAGCATACATAAAAATAAAGAAAATGTAATGTGGTGTGGTGTGATATATAGATTTGTATACAATGTGCACATATAGTGGGAAAATGTGGGATAGTTTTGATACAGGAAGTTTGATGTGTTTTTATTTATTTTAATTTAGTCATTTTCCGGCGTAACAGCTGAAATAAAAGTAAATTTCTCATTTAATTGTATTAGTTGTATAAAAATGTCTGATTTTGCTGTGATGGTGATGCGATTAAAAAGAAATTAAATGTGAACTAGAATAAAAGTTAATTGTTCGAAACTAAAGCATTTATACACAATTCGAACTATGAAAAAATAAATAAAATGAAAATACAAAAAAAAAATCAGCATTTCAGGTGGAAAACGCAAGGAGTGCGCTGTGTTATGATTGAAAAGGTGGTTGAAAATATTTCAAAGATTTATGCAAATGCTGAAATAAATCAAGAGTTTTTCTATTGTGAAACGGTAATAATCTGGTCGCTATCTTTTTTCTTTATACATGTTTCCTATGAGAAGTTTTATTTAATCCCCTAAAAGCATATACTTCAATGTGTGTGTGTGTGTGTGTGTGTGTGTGTGTACATGTACATGTACCATAAATAGTCACATTTTGCTTTATTGTGATAACATCACACCAGTGCAAAATACATAGTTAGGGTGGTTGGAATATATTTAATAATGGTCATTAATATTTATTAATGGTCAATTATTCTACTGTGTACACTTTGTTATACACACTAAAGCTAAAGAGAGAATTAAATGTAATAATATAAAAGTTATATGAAATCAAAAACCAAATTGCAACTATTGCCGAATTTATTTTATCAAAGTTGTTTCACAAAAAAATACATGTGGCCATTCTGTGTTTGTTAGTTGCAAACTGAATATGTGCAAACAAATAGAAACCTTCTGATCAATAACATGATAAGCACCTTACACCACACCCAACAAAGAACTATTCGAAAAAGTTCCTTTTATTGCTTCAACCATTTATGTAATTACGTCATTTATTTCATTTTGTATGCAAAACACTTGACTAACAAGCTTCTTTTTTCGTATTTTTTACTTTTTTTAAATTTTCTTTGTTTAACATCAAGCAAAGGAACACTTTTGAGTGAAATTTCATTAACATACATACACAGATATTGGAAAATCCTTAATATGTCATAAACAAAAAAATATGGAATGGTATTTTCTTTTCATAATTTAGTTTTCATGAATGGTATGGACATAATGTTTTTTATCGACTAGGTGGGAAAATCTATGCAATATGTCATGATTAAATATTTAATAATTAATCTGTGAGTTTTTCCACAGATTCGGTATTTCACTCAACATACACGGACAAGGATAATTTGATTTCAAATAGGTATAAAAAAAATATCTGCACGATATTCCATGAATGCCATTGTCTGTGAATATTGAAAGTAGAATATGTGTACAAACAGGTTTGATCAGTTAACTGTTTAAATAAATCATTTGTGTAATGTATACAGGCCATACCAGGAGAAAATTACGGAGAAAATCATTGAACATTGAATAATATAAAAGTAAATAATGTTATTAGTTAATATTATATTATTACAAAATTGCAATAAAAAATACAATTTCTAAGAAAATATTTTTCAATTGTATGGAATCATGCATTATTATTTTTCTCCTATACAAAATTCGATGCAATAAATCAACAGAAAGGTTAACCCAAATCAGATAATTTCTTCAAAGTCGACAAAAATATTCAATTTAAGTATGAATATTTTTTAAATCTATTCAACATAATAATATCACTATCATCTATTAATATTTTTTTCCTTATTTAAACTGCAGTAGATTTTTTTTCGAATAAACTTGAATGGAATCCATTGTATTCACACATTATACACATTCATGTATTATTTTGATGAATAATCCAAAATATTGAACTAAATGTATTTATAGTTCTCAATCACTTTGTAGTAAATTCTAACATTTGGCATTTATTTTACTTTAGCTTTTCTCTCACTTTTAACCACAACACATAGTATTTTTGTTGAAAATCTGTGAAACTGTGTAGTTACACACCATTTTAAACTGTCGGCCACACAGGATAAAAACAACCAAAACTATAAGTTTCTGTTAAAAAGAAATCAGAATTTTGAGGAATAGAATGCTACAAATGAAACGAAAACGGATAGTTTTGCGAGACTATTCGCGACGATGTCTGAAAAAATACTGGAAAACAAAATTACACCATAAACTTTGAAACTTTGAAGGTGAGTTGATTTCACTATGTTAGTGCTATTGGAGAAAATGTAGATTTCCCTACCCAATTTACTCTGTGTTTATTTCAAACCAATTCTTATACTATCCACACTAATGTAGGTGTATGAGAGCTTGTCTCTGTGTTTGGAATATTATTGTGGGTGGACATTCCTATATAATACATGTCATGTATATACTATAAATGTATAAATATATAATTTTTTTATGAGACCAATCTTTTGCAAATGTATTTCGATAAATACATAACTTATTATTTTTGATTAGTTCCAAGATGAAAAAAGTCTTCATTTTCAACCACCTTTGTTTTCAAACTTTCAATAATTATCGTATTGAGAAAGGTTGCTGATGAAAAGAATGAAATTTTTCCAAACATATATAGAGTCATAAATATTCGTGCACACAATGAATCCTTTTTGCACTAAACAACAAAAATATATTTTAAAAATGCATACCTTAAAAGCCAATGGAATTGTGTATTAATTTTAACACTTCGCCAATTTCACTGTATATTGTTGTATCAATTGATGTAAATTCTTCAGTTACACTTGTTGTAATGAATAATACTTATTTGAAGGAATCTAAATATTTTGAAAATTGTGCGTGGTTTAAATACGTTGAGTGCCAAATAAATTTCGGGCACTATTGTTATCTTGACATTTTTTAATATATTTAACTACATGGTTCCATTGAACAAGAATAAAAATCCACACATCTGTTAGATAAAAACAAAACAAAATGAGTGGTGTGAAAGTACATAAGTAATATGAATTGATTCAATAAAAAATTGACTTCTTAACTATTTTTTGGATACATATCATGTAATATTCCTTTCTGAATTTTTCTTTCTTAGATAATTCTGCGCACTTTTAAACATTTGCAAATGGAAATCCAGAATACATACATTTAATATACCTCATAACACTCACGTAACGTTATAGTGAAAATTTTGTCTTTTCTATGAATAAATTCGACAGCACTTATATGTTTATTTAAATATTTCCATTTACAATAATTGTACTTTTTTTTTCTTTAATTATAGTTATATTCGTGATTATAAACTTTTCATTTATTTTGAAAAAAATAAGAAAATTTATAGTGTTTTTAATTTTGATTCAAGGAAGAATGTACTCTTTTCTCTGTCTTATGTAGATGACCATATTCACTATATATTTTGTTAATGAAGTATTTTAAGAGAAAATATTGGTCTGAATTTCGTGTGCAGAAATTTTGAGTTTGTGTAGAAAGTTGTTACGAATGAATCACAAAATTGGAAGCATTGGTACTGCTATGTCTAATATGAAAGCTGTATAAAGCGAATGACTATTGTGACACATTTATTTGGCTAAATGTCGCGTGCGAGGGTTTTCTAGACACAGACGGAAAATATGCACACATGTGAAATGTGTAAAAGCTACACAACACACACACACACACACACACACGCCCATTTACTTGATATGATATAAATTCGAATATATGTTCTATATGTCCTCACAACACTACAAATCTCGAAAAAAAAAATTCTCTATTAAAAAAATATAAATTTTCTAATTCACACATCTTTTAAACTGATGAACAAATGAAATGGAATATCTTACGCTTTTGTTCACATAATTTTGTTTTCCAGCATTTTTTTAAACAACTGATTCACAATGCTCAATCAACTCCTATACTCTTCCAGTATGCGCTGAAATTCTGCGCTAAAGATATAATTTCATCGTATGTGTTTGTCAAACAAAGGTTCATTTTTTATCAATCTCTTAATATTTATTTATTTTTTTTATGACAATGGACAATATTATGAAACCTCTTTTTTGCAAACGATGCAAAAAAAATGTTCAATAAACAATCATAGTACACAAATATGTATTTTATAGTTGACATTATTGTTTAGGTAAGCATAAATTATGAAATAATGAAAAAATATTATTTAATTGTGGGATACGTGCTCTTCCAGCTCACGATTTGTTCCGCGATGTTGATTAATTTTTGCATTATTCTCTACTACATGTTCTCCAATTCCTTCGACAACTGAAACATTGCATCCGCAGTTGATTTTGTCGTCAGAATGGGACTCGTCTGAATCGTTGTTCTCAAAGTGAATAGCGCGTTTCTTAATTTTTGATATGAAATCGATTATTGTTGGCCGAACTGTAGTTGTTATGTTAATTTTGACTTTTTTTGAAACATGTTCATGCATTTTTCCGATTAAAACACCTGCTGTTCCTAAAATATATAATGTTTATAACACAATAACATATATTTATATGATATAATATCATTTTTTACCTGTCAAAAGACTTGTCGGCATTAAAATATGCTGGTGTTTATCATCGAAGGCCTTGGTGTCAAAAACCCATTGCCTGATTATAAAAAAAAATGAGTTATTCAAAATTTAACTTACATTTTACAATCAACAATACTTACTTTTGTGGATAACTATTAACAATTTCAAAAGCAACTTGAAAAAATATAAGTTGAATGAAGATGAAGATAAAACGGCCGGTTACTCTCATTTTGACTTCTTGTTTGAGACTGCATTAATTATCTGTGTTCTTTCTATTTATAGTCTTCCAAGTTTAATAAAAACGTGATTTTCGCTCATTTGAACACTTGTATAGACGAATGTTTATTTTTTTTTAAACAGTTATATTGATTCAAAGTGCAATGTTAAATGTGTGCTGAATTTCATAGTTTTTTTCGACATTCATCATAACTGAATCATTCGACCGAATCCAAAGATAAGACTATGTTCTGTCTTAATGAAACTTTCAAACATATTGATCATCATTTTGGAAGTATTCAAAAGTTAGTTTATTATTCATAGTGACGATATTGGACATCTACTCAATTTGTAGAAACTTGGTATTTGAGTTTCCAGTTTTCTAAAACCTTAAGAAACGATTTTTTTCGATTAGATAAAATTAAGACTTGCATGTAATACATTACAGCAACTAATTTATGTGGAACGGTGATACTATTCACTGTTGAAGTCAAGATAAATCTGTAGCTCGCAATATGGAAACTATTGGGCTTTTGTTTAATTTATTGCACTTAGTAGCTATTCTAATAGTAATTTTATAGTAAATATATATTTTAAAAAAAACGAAGATAAATTATACCAATATTTTTAATTATATCATATAAACAATAATCTGAATGATATTTTATGATAAAGACCTTGAAATAATAAATAGTAAACAAACAGAAATGAAATAATCAGAATTAAACGACAACGTTAAGCACGTATGTAAACAAACAGAATAATGTATGGATGTCTCTTTCTATATTTCAACAGATGGCAGTAGGTATGAGTAACATCATTCGTTTGGCGTTTGACGTTTGGATTTTTCGCGGTCACAAATAATTGTTGACTAAAATCGAATAAAATTTATTTACCAAATTAAAGATGGAAAAATTAACGAGTAAACAACGTACAAAACCTACTTTTGTTTGTCAGTATGGTAAAAATTGTTATCGCAAGAACCCGCATCATTTCATGGAATACACTCACGAACATCTGGAGAAAATAATGAAACAAAATACAACGCATCATCTCGAACAATTCAAGATTCCAGACGAATTGATTTCACACAAAGAACTAATTATAGATCAAATAAAGATAATCGAAGAATTATTTCCAACGAATAAATCAAATGAAGAACCACTTGCAAAGAAAAATAAACCCGATAAAGCGCTGGCAATCTCATCACATTCCAATGAATCTAATGGAGTAGATAAGATTTCGTTGAATTCTGCCTCAACATCACAACAAAGTGCTTCAGTGTCTAAATTTGACATCCATCAATATATCAAAGTCGTTACGCCCAAAGGAAAAATGAAAGAGAAATTAGACGCAGCGCAACCATTTAATTTCTTTCTCACTTCAATTACATCATCGCCACCGACACATAATGAGCCGCTTTCAATTACTTTTCAAGAAATTCTAGATTCTTCACTCGGTGAACTTGAGTCTAGTGTGCAAATTAATTTTATGGTGGAGATTGGTTGGTTGCTTGGGCAATACTATTTTGCAGGTTGGTTTTTATGAAATAAATATCAGTGATAAGTCGGTAAGAATTTCACTATTTTCAGGGTGCTTGTCTAAAAAATTGCTAATATTGTATGGAACTAAGTCACCTGACTTAGAGAACATCCACAAAACCAAACCACAAGTTACTGCAATAGAAATCAAAATGCCCACACCGTTTGCTACTCATCATACAAAAATGATGCTACTGGGTTACAAAGATGGATCGATGCGTGTAGTTATCTCAACCGCTAATCTATACGAAGATGATTGGCATAATCGAACACAGGTATAGAGGATAGAGTATATCTATGAAGTATTTTTGTGTGTCTGTGTGAGAGAATTATTTACATGTAACATGTTCATTTTTTTGTTCATAAAGGGAATTTGGATTTCTCATGCATTACATCCATTACACGAAGGCAGTGATACGGCTGCTGGTGAAAGTCCAACTGAATTCAGAAACGAACTTTTAAAATATCTTTCGTCTTACAAATTGCCCCAACTACAGCCTTGGCTAGTTCGCATTCGTAAAACAAACTTTTCGGAGGTAAACGTATTTTTAGTGACATCTATACCAGGTGCATATCAGTCAACCAATGGACACTTCGCTCACGGTAATTATTATAAGAAATAAGAGATTATTAAAAATCAATTTTCACATATTCTATTATATTATATTATAGGGCATGGTAAAGTTTCTTGGTTACTATCAAAGCACGCTGCACCGATTGAAGATAGTTCACCTATTGTTGCACAAAGCTCTTCACTTGGAAGCTTTGGTGCGAGCCCAGATTCATGGCTGACATCTGAGTTTGTAAATAGTTTTCGGCGAGATACAAGGGAAATTGGATTAAGAAAAATACCGAGCGTTCGAATTATTTATCCTTCATTTAACAATGTTGCAAATTCTCATGACCACCTCATTGGTGGTGGATGTAGGTTCAATTAAAATATTATTAAATTATATGATTATTAAACTGAATATTCAATTATCAGGTTTACCTTATGGAAATCAAACACATCAGAAACAACTATGGTTGAACGATTTTTTTTACCAATGGCGAGGTTTGTTTGTACAAGTTTAACAATAATATATCAACCAGTGATGATCTAAAAGTTCTTTTTTTATTTTGTTATAGCTGATTGTCGTTATAGAACAAAAGCAATGCCGCACATTAAAACATATTGTCGATGGACAGATAAAAAATTATTTTGGTTTATTTTGACATCAGCTAACCTCTCCAAAGCAGCATGGGGACAAAAAAATAAGTCATTAACTAACCCAAGTCTACGAATCAGTAACTACGAAGCCGGTGTTTTGTTTCTTCCAAAATTTGTTACGAATACACGCTATTTTTCAATGGATGAATCTGATTGCAGTACACCAATGTTTCCACCAGTTTATGATGTTCCTCTCACAAAGTTTGTTGTAGATGACACTCCTTTTTTGAGTGATATTTTGTTTCCAACCAATTAATTTACAATTGTTAATAGTTCTTATTATGAAGTCTGGCCATTTGGCGTGGACTTTCGTATTATCTAACCGATATTTTGTTTTCAAAGTAATAAATCTTTTTCGAATGATATCCGTTTATTTTTTATAAAGCATTTATTTTAAATAGGGCGTTTTTATTTACGCTGTGAAGAAATATTTTTTAACCTTTACCATGCGATGAGATTCATGAAAGTCAAAGTCCGAAACCATAATACTATTCGCACCTCGTACTCCTACTTGACAATCAAATTGTTCATTATTCAGTGCATAAATAATTGTCACAAATGTCTTTGTATTTGAAACATATCCACGGTTGACAATGTGGAATTACAAAAATGCATCGATTATCATTTTCAATTACACAATTTTAACGAAAGTTATGCGTTTCGAAATTTCAATTTCACTTCACTCATTTTCGATCATCTAGTGTATGTGTTCGTTTAGAATCTATTCCTTTGGCTTTCATATATGTTTCTTTTGCGGCAAAATATGCAGTTGCTCTCTTTTGTCCATAGTCCTATACATAAAATATTAAAAATACGATGATGTAAATCAATGTGATCGTTACAGTTATCTGATCTTGAACATATGAACAATATTTACCCAATATCCGAATTCAATATCTTGATGAACATTAACAAATGACCATAGTGTCCAGAGAAAATGAGATGCCATAGTGAAGCATAAGACTTCATTTATTAGCTCATCGATTTCAGACGCAGCTGGTATGTAATCGGGATTTGAAGACAGTTCAATTAAGTATGCTCTTAAAAATCGCTCCTGAATGAAAAAAGAGAGAAAAGAAGGAATGAATGAAAGTTTGTGTCACTTGAATGGAAAAATGAATTAATATTTCATTGTGTGTTAATTACCTGTTGCTCTTTGTTTGGATACATATCGCTTTCATATGAAAAAAATGGATACTCTTTAATCGTATAATCCATCATCCACTCAATGAAATGATTTGCCAAATCAAATCCTCGATAATTGTAGGCACAATACTCAAAATCAATTATCATTAATTCTGGTTCATTGTTTGTTTCAGCAGAGAACTGTGATTGGTCACTGAGTAATGAGTCTCGCGTATTATCCAAGTCTTCATCTTGGCTGTCACTTAATGAGCGCTTTCTACAAGAAAAAAAAGGAATATTTAAATTACTTAACCAGGAACAAATCAAATATACATTAGTTTACCTTGAATGCATTTTGTTGATTGGATTTAAATTTCCATTGAAATTATCATGTCGATCAAAGTGTCCATCTAATATGGTTGTGTCATCGAAAAATGAACTGAAAACGAAAAAAATTTGTTGCAAATGAATTGATTAAACAATGAGAGAGACATAAAAGTAATTAAAATGCACTTAACCGCATGCGGCTCTGTCTTAGGTTGTTGGTTTTTGTGTGAATTTTTATGATTGCAGTTTTATGAAAGAATTGAGTGAATATTTTTGGTTTTGTGTGTCTTTTGGTGGATGATGTGAGTGATCGTAATCAACCATTACAAGTGAAAGGCATGCACTTTGTTTTATTTATGTCAAATCAATTTTCCAAAATATTCACAATACCAAAATTCGATCAATTGAACAAAGCAAATGACTTTTGTATGAGCTTTTTTTAATTTTCAACATGAACAACGGCTACTACAACACAATAGACAGACAGAAGACTTGAAAGAACAAGCAGTCTTGTCTCCAGACAAAGCATTCTTCTTCACGGAGAGATCAAGATTTGTATACAAGTACATTTTAAATATTAACTGAAAATGAGGAGCAATATGTGAGTAAAACGAATATTTTCCCGAAAAATCGGGAAATTCATATAAATATTGATAAAGGCGTGTTTTAAATATAATTGTTTACCTGAGCTGTTCTGTTGAGCTGCTGGGTGACGATAAACTGCTTGATTGCTCTCTTAGGAGAATGTTTCCTTCTTGAAGATCGTTGTGGCAAAATACTACTGGAAACTCTTGTACTTCTACCGCGGATTTCAACCATACCAGCTCTTTTTTGAAATCAATTTTTCGTACTGTCTCCATTATTTTCAATTCGTGTGTATTTTTTGTTGTGTAATTTTTTAAAACATCTTCAACATTTTGAAGCCATCGATCCATCGTGATCCAAAGCCAATCAGGTTCCTTTTGATAACAAAAATACTCATTGTTTAATCAATTCATTTGCAATAAAAAAAAGAATTCTTTTCAGCTCATTTACCTTTGATACAGGTATACTTAATTTGTGTATTTTTGCCATCTTCTCCGCTATTTTACATGATATTTTTGCATCACTTAATTCATTCGTTGTTAATGGTCGTGCCTATTTACGAATACAATATAACAGTCATTATAATGCATAAACTTATACTCTATCATTTTCTGTAATTCACAATGGCAATTGCGAAATTCAAGTTAACGCGATGATTTTTTTTGCTTTCATTATTAATATTTGCAGCATATTTTCAAACATATTAAATGCGTTTCTTTAATTTTTTTCTTTATTCTTTATTTTTTCGTCGTTGTTACTGTAGTAGTGTACTAGACGATACGAGTTCAACAGCAATTTTCAATTTCCTTCGTCGTGGGGCAATAATAACTCAATCCGTATACTACTACAGGTACACTGACAAAGAAAGAAAGAAGAAAAAAATAAAGAGACAACCCAAACAGCGCTTTATGGATACAAAATATGTTACTAGCAAAAATATAAGTTAAAATGACAATACTCGAAAAAATCTGAAGAACGAGGCAATGAATTAATCTTCACGATTTAGAAGAATTCATATTTACCGGAATATATTGTTCAATTCTGCCACCAGGGAAAATGCCATGCAGTTTTGGACCCAATTTTCGTTCACTGAGCAAGGTAAATACAACTGTGTCAGTTAGTACCGTTTCAAGTTGCTGCTCACCATGCGTGCGACCGTAAATGCGTAATAGCACCTAAAATTGAATTAAAAAGAAATACATTTAGAAAATATAACAGTTTTTTTTTATTTGAAAAGAATTAAGCATGAACATACTTCTTTCGGTTCTTGTGGTGTTGTATCCTTTCTAGCACGTTTGATATTTTTTACCTTATGACAGGAATCAATATCATCGGGTAAACTTACGTAGTAGAGAAAATTTGAAAGACCACCACTAAAAGTATTCATAATATATTGAATTTATGTAAATTACTGGAATATTATAATTAGTTTAACTAACCTAATTCGTTTAATGTGTAAATCTGATGCTGATATTGTTTTCCATGCCCCAGTGAGGTAGTCTCGACAAATTCTAGATGCTAGTTCACGCATTTCGATTGAGTTTTTCGAAGCCTACTTCAAACAATATTTTGAATTAATTTTATTATTATATTTCTCAATAAAAAAAACATGCATATTGCACAATGAACAAAATTGAGATCATAAGTATGTATTTGATTTTGATGAAATCATGCAAATTTATGTCATCACTTGATAGGAAAAGTTAAAATCATTGGTTTATTGATATAGTAGTTGTATTAGTTGAATTTTCATTCTCTAGACCTTTAAGATTCTTTTCTATTGATACCGAATTGTAAATTTAGTTTCGTTTTTTTTTTGCTTATTCAACTGGTCGACAAATGTCAGGCAAATACTTGCAAATAAAAGTGCAATCAATTCATTCAAGTTGTAATTTAACATTGGGCATGCGCAGCATGAATAGTATGAAAATTAACCTTCTTTTCGAAAATATTGAAAAGTATGTGCTGTCAACATATCCAGTAAGATTGTATGTGTATAGGCCCAGTTCAACCGGTGTCTGTTAAAATGTACTGTATATTTAAAAAATATCTGTTATGCGAATATTCCATATGGATAAATTAAACAATTGAGTTCACTTTACCAATTAACATTGATTAACAGAATTAAGCATAGTGCTGTTTTAATTGTGCACTTTAAATAATACAAACGTCAGATTTGAAACTAAAATTCCAACAAATTTATGTTGAACATATTTTGAAATATACGAATATAACATGTTTTTATACTAAAATTTGTATATTTTATATGAGGTTTGTACTATAAAACGTTATAATAATGTCTTTAATTCTAGTGAAAACCTGGTAAGAGAATTGGAATTAAATGCTTTTAAATTTTTCGACATCACAAATTTGGAAACACAATAAATTGATGCATTGATTTTCGAAATATGCAGAGTTAAATCTGTTCCGTTTTCGTTAATCTGATTGCGTTGAATTCATATTAAGAAAAAAATGTAATTTTCATTGGGATTATTATTTTGGATTATATGATTTTTTCTAATTGTACAGAAAGTTTTTTCTTAATTCATTATTTGTTTTCTGTGATATGCTTTAATTAAAGATTTTATCATAATCGACATTATATTTGGGCGTAATTTTAAGAAGTTCACGATGGCAGTTTTCGTATTTATTTATTGAACAATAATATTTTTTTTAAGTTTATCATAACTTACAAATTCTGATTAAATTTTTGAAACCTGAAAACTAAAAAACAGATTTTACTTTAAATTGAAATGATGTTTTGAAATTAGACTTTGGATTAGTATGTTTTCCATACGCAAATACCATATTACGTCTTAATATTTTTTCATTAAGAATTTGGTCGTAAATAACATATTTGATGAATTTGAATCATTAAATTCAAATTAAGATATTAAATTATAATATTATCCGAAATAGCGGTTTCCACCGCACGTGCTATGTTTATTACGATATATTATATTATTTTATTATCGACCAATCTTAATTAAATTTGCACAGATGATAGTATATAGCTCGTTGTCAACTCATTAAATTCTGGTTTATCTAATCATTTCAAATTGAGTAGATTCAAAATGAAATTTTTCATAGCAGTTTACGGAAATGTGAATATTATTATGCATCATTTTATACACTAGCATTCAGTTATACAAAAATATGTTATTTTGTGCAAATAATGCTATCAAGCAATTTTCTAACTTCAACTTAATTCGATAGTGACTATAACAAAAAGAATTTACCCATATTTCAATCTCTTCCAAAGATTGTGCATATTTATTGAATCGATCTTTATTCTAAATAAAATAATATTGATTTTTTTTTTATTTTAACCCATGACTTAAAACATATTGAGCAAAGAGTATCAAAATAAAATAAAGAAGATAGAAAAGTCTAGAGCGATATGGATATCAAAATGAGTGAGTCATATTTTATTACTCAATCGATTGGTATTTTAACCCTAAATAAGCTGATGAAAACAAGACAAACGACATTTTACCCTTTAATTGTAGTTTGACGCATATATTCTTTCATTTTTTACATTCATAAAAATTCCACATAATATCTTATCAGTAGAGACTGAACTACGCACTTGATCACTCGATATGAAACTACAATTTTACCCAACAGATAATATTTGACGTAAACAAAACTTATTGTTGTTTACTTATAAAATTGATTGAAAAACTAAGATGACAATATAGGCAAAAAAAGTACAATGATAAAAATCGATAAAATTTGCATTGATCTATGAATATTTTTTTAGTTTTTGTCTAGCGCAATTTATTTTTGAAAGGTGTTTTTTTGATTGTGCAAAATGTGTAATAATATAATACATTTACGCATTTGACCGAAAAGTTATCAGTTCAAACAAGTTACTGTCATTTAAATGCCATATCAGCAATAAATTAACACATTGATACAAAATATTTCACAAAGTCTGTATGTGTGGATAAGAAAATGTTTAAAAATATCTTTATATAAAAAATTGTAATTTGGTATTTTTGTGTTTTTGGCAAATCTTCCTAAAATTTTAAAGTGAAATAAAATACTTTGTAGCATGTCTTATTATACTTTTGAAAATTCTTTTTTTATTCTTTATGAATAAATACCATTTATACATATTGAAACGGGTAGCGAGAAAAATTTGCTCAATTTTTTTCAAGACGAATAACATATACAAGAATGGATTGTTGTTTATGAATCTAAAAACAAATTATAACGAGACCATACCTTTATCATTGATGACATGATTTACGACGACTGGTTTAACTACGTTGGATATTCTCAGAAAAAAAGAGAAAATTCGTGTCACAGAATACAAAATATATATTAACTAATTACAAACACTGTAATACTTTTTATATGAATTATCACACGGTTACTTCGAAAACGTTGGTATAATTTTTCACAAATGAAGAGATGAAGTGCTACTGTACTTTGTACTGTCGACTCAATGCGAAAACTTCCTTTTATTCGTAACGATTTCAATAGAAAAAGAATTATAATTTCTCAAATTTTGGATTTTATTGAGAAATGTATCTCCAGGGAACAAGGAATAATTTTATTTCCTGATACTTTTTCTATGTATTGATGCGAAATTTACTACAATTTGTATATCAATGCTATGTGAAAAGAAAAAAAACTTGGAATGCGAATATAGATTACAGCTATCCGTGTAGTTTGCCTTTGCGGTGTGTATTTCAAGTAATTTCTTTGTAAGGCGTTAATTTGTTTTGTTTTGTGTTATTTCATTCGATATTCAGTATTCGATATTATTGTTGCAATAAAAACTTGCATAAAAGTTTATTATAGAAATGAATTCTAGATGTAAATTTTAAAACGTCTGTTCTACTCAATAGCTAAGTTTAAACTGATGTATATCGAGCCACAATATTTGGAAAATCGTATGATTTCTTTTATAAAAGAGTGTGAATGACGTTAGCCACCTTGTGGGAGAATGTGTAGTTATACATTGACATTTAAGGCCTATTCTTTTTGTTCATTTTACAGATGCAAGTTATGATTTTTGAATCATAAAGGCACAGGTGGTACAAAATGATATTTAACTGTGAATATTGTTTCAAGAGAAAAAAATAATAAGAAAATGATTAATTTATTAATTTTTTTTTATTATTAATGTACAATTGTACATATACTGTATGTTTTCTAATTAAATATCGTTCGAATAGTTTACGCAATCAATGTGCATAGATTTATAATTTTCATAACACATTTCTGTTCTAATCAATGTGTTTGTGTTTTTCAACTCATTTCTTCCATTTCCAATACATCATCTCTGGGTTCAATGGCTTAGCCGTCCGTTCAGTTGAAATTATTCAACTACAAGTATCCGTTGCAAAACCAATTTTTGTATCATATTTAAAATTGCAAATGCAAAATAATTCTGAATATCTTCAATACAGCTCATAGCTCAGAATGAATTGGAGCTCAAAATGTTAGCATCAGTTGCATTTTTACCATTCAAATTGTAAGTCATAAATATTTTAGGGTTATATCAACAATAAAGTTGAATAATTTGAGTCTTCAAATTAACAATTTGAATTACGTATATTTTATAAAGAAAATCCACTAAACTCAATAAACAAAAAGGTCTGCATATTTTTATTATTAGATATCGCATGTATTCATATATATGTATTTATATATATTCATATAAATTTTCGCAGCTGATTTAAGTGTTGTAAATTTCTTGTATTCAGTTGATTTTTTGTTAAAATAATTTAGCTGAAAATATTGCAGTGTGACGTTTCCATCTCTGATTGTATGAACTCAGTTAAATGTATTTCGAAATAGTCACACAACAGTGTGCAATGTATTTTATATATTGTATCATTCATTTTTTTTAAGTTAATAGATGTGAATTCATTTGCATTTTAATTGATACATTCTGTTTTTTGTTTCGGTAAGGTCTGTGGTGTGAACCCAGGTGGTAATGGGATTGTAAATTTATCATAATTATTTGAAAAGCCATTAGATATATTATGATTCATAAATAAATTGTTTTGACTTTGATCTGCACTAAGCCAGCTTGAATGGTTGAAATTTATCTGAAAAAAATCGTAAACGAAAAGAATTGAAATAACTTGTATGAGAGAGTAGTAAAAATATATCTTTTCGATGTAGTAAAATATATTAGAACAAACAGAGATATATTTTCTCTGGTAATTGCTAAATCATTTTGTAGTAATTTTATTTATTTTTTTGAATTACTCACTTGCTGTGAATTGGTTGGTTGTTGTTGGCCCATAATACCATAGTTCGATTGCATTAAATTGTTTCGATTGGAAAAGTCGCTCGACTTTTGAATCTGTTGCCCCAGGTGGGGTGGTGAAATAAACATTTCATTTTGAGATTGCTGCAGCGGTCCAGACATGAATGACTGATACGGGCGGAATGATACGATAGCTGGATCCATTAAACTCCAATCTGTTGTGTTGCCAAAGCCTAAATGTTTAAAGTTCAAAACGAAAATTATCACATGCAATGAAAGTGAAAAGCATGGAAGTGATGCAAATGTAGCTCTAATATATAACATCGACATTGAATAACAATCAACATCGACATTTCAGTAAATGTGTTCGCACTGAATTTGTAATTAACCCTACTACGTACAGTATGGGTCCATTGGAACCATCAAAAATTTCACTTTTGTACTTCTTTCAATTATTTTCATACATTTTGCACTACAGAATGGATCATGCCGTGTTTGTGTTCTTAAAATGAACTGTACGCAGGAGAGTTAACAGAATTAACTGAAAACATCAAATTCATTCACAACTCATGCTTGTGTGCTAACTTTGAAAAAGAAATGATTAAGCATACCCTTATTGGCCTGATGATTTGATTTGGGCAACAAATTACTCATCTGATCGTGTACGCCATAGTTTAAGTTCTGCTGACCAGTATGATGTGGCCAATTGTGTGATTGTTGTTGTGTCTGTGATGTATTTCCACTGTTACCTAGGGATGATAAAAAGTAATTAATCAATAAAAGAATCGAACGAATGGATCAGGAATTTTCGAGTAATAGAATAGTAATTTTTAAGTACCACTGTTACTCATGAAGGGTAAGATTTTGCTTGTACGAGGTACGCCCAATCCAAATGCGTTCATATGAGAGAATCCAGGAGGAGGTAATCGACAACGCTGAGCCGAATTATCTATCATTTTTGTTTGTTGATTTGATTGCGTTTGCTGCTGTTCATTTTCTATTAGCTCCGCCAAACCTTTTTGTGTCTCGAAGAATGGATCAAAATCTATGAAAAAATTAATATATTAGCAAACAAATATGTACCGTTTTTTATCTTTACTTCGACCCATTTAGAATTATCTACTTGCACTTTTACAATACAATTTCTTAAATTACCTAATTCGTCGTCGATTGAATTACTCTGTGATGGTGGTTGTTGTTGTTGATGTTGTTGTTGCTGCTGCTGTTGGAAAAAGCTTTGCAAGCGACTATTTTGCGGATTGTTACTCGTATGAAATAAATTCAAATTATTCAAGCTCTGCTGTTGAACTTGAGATGTATTTAGTCCTAATTGAGTATTTACCAAACGCTGCAAGTCTATGTTAAGTGTGTAAAAATTAAAAGTTTATAAATAACAAAAATATTGAATTTGAATGAAAAATCATAGGACTAAGACATTATAACTTACTGTTAGACGAATTTTGTTGATCCAAATATTGCGAGTTGAGTCGCCTAGCATCGATTAGACGTGATTGATCCATCAAATTGGACATATTAATTTGATCAGACATGAATAATTGTTGTTGTGGTGGTGCAAAAGGCTGTTGTTGTTGCTGCTGCTGCTGCTGTTGTTGTTGTTGTTGATTTTTATGGAAATCAAAGAACTTAGATAGACTATTTGCGTATACTTGATGGTTCATGGGATCTGTTTGATGTAAACTATTTTGTAGTTGTGTTCGCTGATTATGCAAATTCTGTGATTGTTGTGATATTTGATTGAAACGATTCTGTTCATTTCCTCCGCCGCTAAAGAAATCCAGTGTACTATCTTCTGAAAAAAAAAGTAATTTTTTTGTATGTTTTTTATATGTGTTATTAATTTCATTTTAAATTACCTGAGTTTATATTAAGACCACCTGAGTTTAGGTTAAATCCATTCATCATATTACGACGTTTCTGAAGTTCATCCAAACCTCCGAAACCATTTTGTAAATTATTTGGATAATCACTTAGACCTTTTAGAAGATTTAATTTTTCATGAAGATCTTGACGCTCTTTATCTGATTCAGTGCCACTGAGTAGGTCTGGCAATTGTGGTGAATTAGTTTGATTACTAGTTTCCATATTACGAAGCTGTGTAGTTTGCGATGATTCCAGTTTAAAGAAAGGCGATGGTTGAAACGTATTAGACGAAAAGAAACTATTATTGTCATCGAATAATCCCAATTTGGAAAAACGCGTCGTTGTATCAATTACATTACTGCTGATACTAGATGTTAACGGGTGACAATTAGTATTAATTTCTGCGCTGCTAACTGAAGTTCCAAAATTCTCATATGAATTTTTCTCTAAATTCGTCTTATTTTGTTGTTTGTCAACATCTTGCTGCGTTGAATGATTATTCTCAGTTGCATGTTCTGGAAAGTTTGCCGGTGAGCTCTTTCCACTGACACTATCACTAATGGTTCCACTATCACCACTAGTTGATAAACTAAAATAAAATGAACAAACAAAAATATTCATGTTGTCTTTGAGTGATGATTTAAAAAGAAAAATACCTGAGTGATGGTGTGTCGGCTTTTCCATCTAAATCATTTGAAGATGCATCATTTTCAATCTCAGATAATAAATTCAATTCTTCATCAGCACTCATTGTGTGATTTGGTGTTTCTCCAGTCGAACTGTCTTTGGTTATATTGAAGCCAGCATCTTTTACATTTGTTGATGTTCCGTTACTTTCCTTGCTATTCATGCTTGTTATGCTGCTTGTACTGTTCGTATTTGTGCTATTCGAACTACTACTGCTAATTGAATTAGTTGATGATTTTTTATTCTTTGTTTTTTCAGCTTTATTTTTCTTTCCGCCATTCTCTTTATTATTGCTGCTTTTGCTAGATTTTCCGGCATCTTTATTTGTTGGTGAAATTGATAGACTTGGCCATGCTTCTTTTGTTTTTTCCGGCCCATTTTGAGGCAAATTTTCCGTTGTTTGTTTATTGCTTTCACTTAATTTTCCACTTGGAGAAATATTGTTGTTGGTGACATTTGTTGTATTATTTGTTGTTGCTGTTTGAGCTATGAGTGCATCATGCAATCGTTTTTCATATTCCTGATGTTTGCCTTGATGCATTTCTTCCTTAGTGAAACTAGCTTCAAGATCACCCAATTCATGTAGATACATGCAGTCCGGTTTTGGACATTGTTGATTTTTCATGAAGTGACTACAATATTTCGTTGTCCCCAAGCTAGTTTTAATAAGTCTTCCATCGATCATGATATTATTGACACTTTGAATTGCTCGCAAAGCATCATTATTCGAACAGTATGTAACGTATGCTGATGCAGATGGACCCTGTACACCCGCATAAGTTGTACTAGGATTGATTACAACTTTATGAATTTTGCCATATTTCCCAAAGTATTCGTGTTTTTTAAGAATCTAAATGAAATAATATAAATAAATATTAGAAATTTATCTTGATAATATACTTTACAAAAACTCACTTCAGCATCTGCCAGTCTCGGTGGTAAGCCAACAACAAACACTAAATTCTTTTGAACCACTCTTACATTCGCCAAATGCTTACGATTTTCCGAGATTTTCTGCTTTCGTTGTTGATCCCGTTGTCGCTTCTCTGCTTTCAATGCCGAAATCTAAATATATTATCAAATCGTAGATTAAAATATTTAATTACAAACACATTTTCGATTCATTTTACCTGCTCTTGAGATAGAGGCTTAAAATCAGCCGGATTTTCGGGATAGGCTTTGCGACATGCAGGACATAATTCGTTTTCATCAGTTCGAATTCTATGCCAACAAAAGCGACAGATTTGATACCCACATGTACATGGATAGAAGTTAAGATCGTCCACTTCCAAGGGTTCCATACAAAGGGGACATTCCACCACATCATCATTGCTATTGTTTAAAACGCTCATTTTTGATCGCAAAAAACGTTAAGACAACGGAACGAGATTAAGTTGTTTATTGCAAGTGAATAAAATACAATAGAAACCGTGATGCTTCGGTTTCGGGTGTGGTTTACTTCGATTGTCGGTAGTGCTGCAACTTCGTTCAATTTATACGGTCTATATGCAGATATACTGAATATTTTTTTTAGAAAATAGTCAAATAATCAGCATACGAATGCAGATAGCCAAATTATCGAAAGAATTTTCGGAACTTCGCTTCGTTAAAAGTAAAAGATCAATAAAGACGACTTGCGTATAGCCAGAATTTGATTCTAGAAGAAAAAGATGAGAAAAAATGATATTATTTTCAAACAAATGGGTATAAAATTTAGTTTACGTGGAATCAAATTAAATTTCACTTTTAAAGTTAGTTTGAATAAAATAAACAAAACGTTCTATGTTTTATTAGCTGTAGAAAAAAGGAAAAGAAAAATATTCCCTTTAATTTCGCCGAAAATGGATTAAAAGTTTAAACTCTTAAAAATTTATCAATTTGATGTGTATGTATTTAAAAGAAATACCACTGATTAATAGCCTGTATAAACTTAATATTTATTTTGGATCAAGCATAATATACAAAATGTCCAAAAATAAATAAATACCATTACAAATAATACATATTATTAAATTAAAATAATGAATTGGTGATAATTGACTTTACAGATACAATACAATTTCAAAGGGTCAACAACTTTATGCTTCATCAAGTGAAATCTTAAATAAAAAAATATGGAATGAATTATATTTGTGTGTAAATTCGTTTAAAGAAAATCTCAAGCACGGAACGTTTACGTACGAATATCTTTGTAATTAAAATTTGAACATTATTTTGAAAACCATTCACGAAAAGTTCTGTTAGAATAGTTTTTCAATAAATTTTCTGTTTAATGTAGCAAAATTACGTGTTCATTTTGATTGCTTTGTTTTTTCGCACACAAATATACAAACGGTGCGTTCACATTATAACAAGCACCGACACATTTATACACAAACCAGTTTAAATCGAAAAATTATACTTTCCTACACATACACACAAACGAATCAAGCACATACGTCAATACGTAAGAAAACGTAGAAAAGACATCAATGGAATTTTTTCACAGGTTTATATTTTCGTTCTCTTTTCTTTGTGCATGTTGCTACAATTTTCTATGCAATTAAACGAACATTTATTTTTATAGTATCTGTTTTTTTATATGAAAAGTAATTTAAATAGTATAAAGAAAAGATACAAATATGAATGCAACATCATAGTTCATGTGTAGGTGTTGAAATTTTTGTACTATTGATAATTTAAATGCAAAAGCCAAAATATGAAAACTCAAAATATTTACGTTAAAGCAATAACCATAAATGGCATCATTTGAAATATTGACAGAAAATCCATAAACTTCGGAGCGCTATTATTGGATGTAAAAAATGAAACTCTTGTAAGAAGGCATAATGCTTCGAATACATACAAACAAATTGCAACACAACTGCACTGGTGAATTTAATGTAAATTTTATTGAATCCTTCTATCTGTCTATTTGTGTTCATACATTAAACAATCACTTTGTAAAAAATTGTAACGAAGTTACATTAAATTATAAGAGGTATATATCCATTCTATTGCAATTTATAGAATTTGATTGCACAATGTTTGCTTCATACATTCTATAATATTGGTAAAACACATTTACACATAGTTCAAATTGGAAATTTTCCCAGGAGTATATGATATGGCAAAAAAAATACATTTTTCAATTTTTTATATCCGAACTACACTCTCGACACATTTTTTTTATAAATACTCGTTTTTTTTTCTCATCACCACTTCTACTTTCGATTTTTTTATTATCAACACCGAGTTACCTCTTCTTAGCAAACTTGAATAAGCACAAGAATACACCAATTTTTTATTCTAATTTCTCTGTCGTCGTATCAATGCAAAAAAATATTTCATGAAATTGCAATTTGTATATTGCAATGTGATTGTATATAGTTGATCGAAACATAGACTTTTCGAATGCCCACATAATGTCTAAAGATATATACGTATACATTTACATATATTATTGTGCATCATTTTATTTTTTTGTTTTCCACTCAGTGGTTATTCACAGCTTTATATATGTGTAGAACTTTAGAAAATATTTTATATACTATGAATGCAAAGTGCTGCCTTTGGACAGTAATATAGTTTATAACTTGCGTTACTCTACCTCAACAGCGAAAGTCTTAGAAAAAAGTTTTTTTATACACATTCATATCATTAGGAAAAATAATGTTCACGCAGTATATTCTATTCACATATATGCTGCATTAAATATTAAAACAATAGCAGGCTCCACATACGAAAGCAGCTTTTTATGGCATACAAAAATACACTATCATATTATGAATCACACATATGGACACATACACGTACACTCAGGAAAATTCATACGAAATGGCGAAGAAAAAGGCAGACATACAATTTTCTAAAATATGATTCACGAATTCAGAAAAAAAAACTGAAACAAATGAAATCTATATTTTATTGAAATTTGGACTGAAATACTTGCAAATTGTATCCACCCTACATTTTTTTACATTTTCGTTCCGCTTTTGCTATATTAGCTATTCACCCAAACAAAATATATTTTTGCAACCTTAGATAATTACCTGATGATAAATATTATATTTTATGAAGAATTTTGTCTAAATTACATGGAAAGAATTGGACAATATGCAAAAAACTTTTTAATACAGTAAATGTGGAATTAAAGACGGTAGATGAGCTCACGAAAAATCGAATTTATACGATTGCAAGTTTTACTTTGTGTGTTAGATGTGACACAATAAATTACACAGTGAAATAGTTAGTCGACCGGATATTTCTTATTTCGATTATTGTTGAATATTACGAAAGTCTCAGACGCCATTTTGTGCTGTCGTTATTCAACGCTTCAAATGTCATACTTGGCTATAACTTCATGTCTTTCATAATTCGAAATAATGTCAATCAATTAAAATAAATACTTAATTTAAAATATATAACATCAAAATAAATATATATATATTCAAAAAAATCGAAGAGAAATTCAAGAATGTTAAATAAAAATTCAAATGAAGCGCCGGTTTGTCTATATTTTCTTTTATACAATTCATTTTTCAATATTTTTTGACATTCGAACTGTCAACAGTTAACAAGTTAAAAACAGACAGTAAGTTTCCCAGATGTGCATGCATACAGTTGCCAAAAATTAAAAAAAGAATTTTTTTTTATTGAAACATTTTTTTAAAATTATCTAGAAATGTTTGTGCAACGCCTATTCAATGTAGGGAGGCACTTCGTATCATCAAGCTTACCCAGTCTATCACAGAGTAAGTAGAAAAAAATCAAGTAAGAATTTAAGTTGAATACAAACATAACCTATTCTTCTTAAATACAGATTTATCGTTTGTGCAAAAAAACTATCTTTTTCAAAGCGCCAACAAGATAGAGTTTCTGAAAAGTCCGATTGTTGAGAAAAAAACATGTCAGTCTATCATTGAAAACGTAAATAATCTTCTTAATCAACAAACTGATGGACGTCTATTTGCTGTTGTACATCTTTGTGGAAAACAATACAAAGTAACCGACGGCGACATTGTTGTTATTGAGGGGTATTGGCCGCCCACAATTGGCGATAAAATACGATTGGACAAGGCAAATATTTCTTTGCTGTGTAGGCATTGGCAGGTGTTTTATTCATATTGGTGTTCTATTGCAGGTTTTACTTGCTGGTGGTGATAGTTTTACTTTGACAGGACGACCATTGATACAATCAAATCTTGTGGAAGTTCAAGCAACTGTAATTGAAAAAACAATTGCGCATACACGAACAACGTTCAAAAAAAAGAAGAGAAAGCAATACATGAGAATTAAATTTCATCGAAGCGCTCAATCCATGATTCGTATCAATTCGATTAAAATTAAAAATACACAGATTGATATGAACTCAACAAAGTTAGATGTTTTACATGAATTGTAATTAGAAAATTGAAATAAAACCATTTTATTCAGTCTAAATTATATTGGTTTTTCATGCCATAAAAATAAATTAGCGATAAGAAAAATGCTGTGTTAGACGAGAGAAAATTCGACACATGAATGGAATTCTACAGTTTATAGAACATCATTTATGTGGGTGAGATTAAAGAACTCAATGTACTGAAAACAACTCCATTAGAGAAGTTTCATTATAAGAATGTGTTAAGGACAGAATAGGTCAGCGTCAATTGTCGGTGTTAGTCTTGTGTTGTTGTTTTCTCGTTTTGTTTCATTATATTTTTTACTTCAATTTTAAGTTAGTTGTGTGTAATTTTGTCAGTTTTCTTGGTCTGTTTAATATTGTCGTCCATCAGCATAAATTTCAGGAGTTTGGTTCCATTATATGGCTTCTCAGAACCTGGAGGGAAGCGTCGCATCTAGAAAACAATAATGATAAAAATAAATATGGGCGCAATAAGATCAAACATTCATCCATAGAGCCATCAAATAGATGTTTTTTTTTTTTTAATTGAGATATCTTTTTTAATGAAGTATGTGCAACGGTGAGTTGTGTCAAAAGTTATTTTCAAAGTTGATTGAGTTAAATAATGGAGTTGGTCAAAGTAGGTCTGTGTGTCTGAAGTGTGGCAAACATACACATGTTAGGAAATTTTTATTTTTATTTTTAGTAAAAAATTTAATTATAATATAAAGTTATTGAGCCAAATTGGAAGTTGAAGACGATTTTTTTTAAATTTGTGATTCAGTACTATTATGCATATTGTTTAGTGTGTTGTTCGTGTGATTGCATTTTAATAGACAAAATGTCAGCGTGATGGAATGGAAACATCTGTGTTATTTGACGTATCCTCTTTGACGTATCTTTTCTGTAATTAATAAAATAATAATAATCGATCTGAAGAAATAAAAAAAAATACCACTAACATATCTGTGATACTTCCTGTATTGTAATACTACAGTACGACCTCGATTTTCCGTTGAGCACGCGACCAAAACTAAGATGTTTTCCCCAATCAAATGCAATATTATTGGTATTTGCATCAGATTGTAAGTGTTTATCTTAAAAATATCGTGCATTTTAATAGTTCAAATGATTTTCCTTTGACTTTGTGCGATACACATTAAATCTCGTGTTTTTGAGACTGATAAATAACTAAGATGACGGATAATTGAGGAACGGTCAATTTTAATCGAGGTAGCACTGTATTTTCTTGTATTTTATTTCATTTTCAAATATTCCTTATAGATGTATATTGATACTCACAAATATTCTGTATTTCTCTTTGCATGCATAATCTGATTCATCCACATCTTTATAGCAGTCCGGCTCATATTTTTCTGGAATATTTCCTTCGAACTCGCAAAGCTTAAATAAGGATAGCAATAAAAACTGGTTAGTAATGGTTAAACTGGTTAAATAATGGTTATAAAGCTTACTTTATGAATCGGCCGTGATCTGAAAAAAATCGAAAGAAAATTGTAAATTTATATGGATACATTTCGCAAATAGTTTTTCACAAATTAAAAGATTCATTGAGTCATACCTTACGATAATTTTATCTTCTTCTGTCGGTTTATTTGGGATGCAGTAAAAAACATCAGGTGTTTCTTTGTCAAATACTATACTTTTTCTTGTTAAGTCTTTTCCATTTACTTTAATCGTTCGATCGAATTTTTTCCCCTTTGATTTAGATTTACTGACTTCTGCGTTGACAAAACTTATAATGATCAAAAATATGGTCATATAAGCGAGAAGTGCTTTCACCTGCTTCATCTTGTTTAGCGATAGATTAAAAATACGAAAATGTTTCTTAAATGAAAAAAAAAGAAACATTAAGTGAAAAGTGCTTTACTTAATACAACACTTCATTTAGTTAGTATAACTATCATGGACTGTTGCAACAAATAAACTATGTGAAATAAAACTTTATGTTGCAGTATTATTCGGAACAAAATAAGATCTATTTTTTGCTGCAATGATTCATTTGTTGGTTACGTTTTATTTCTTTTGATTTTTAAACCAATTATTTATTTTGCTTAAAAGATATAATTCGTAAGAGAGATGTTTTTTGAATTGCGAAGGCGTATTCGAAAATTGTTTCACTCATTGACCACCTTATAAGATTCAATTAAGTTTTATCATGAACATGGCTACTTAAAAAATTCATACCATATACGATTATTCACTATTTATATAATATGAAGATTTCTTTTACAACCAAGAAAAACTTACATTTTTATTGTTGTTGTTTTTTTTTCGAAAAAAAACCTAATGAAAAAAAATAAGTAACCAACGAAAATGCTAAAAATAATGACGAACACGTCTTTTTTTTGCAATTATTTCAAGAAGACTGATGTTTTCGTCATTGAAGATTGATACAGAAGAAGTAGAGAAGAAAGAAACTGACAAAAATAGTATATGTATATGTGTATAGTTTACTTTGCAGGTATAGAGAATGGTGTGAATAACGCGAATGTTTGAACTTTATTATTTGTTTCTCCCCCCCCTCTTTCGTTAATTTTTAGCATCAATATCTCATACATGAATTCAGTTACGAACTTTGCAAACAAAGACGTCTCTGTGTGAGAATTGTAATGTATTTTCTTAAACAGTAAAAGAAAAGATTTGAATGCGTGATAGGAATGATAATTTTTTAGGTCATACGTTTTCATGAAAACTATTTGCATTTCTTCATAGCTTCAAAAGCGTTTTAAAGACAAATAAAGTGAAAAAGTTGAAATATGAATTTGAACGAAAATTCAACTTCAAATAAAACAAATAATATTCTATATATTGTTTATTGTTGTTTATTGTTTTTTTTTTTACAGATAAAATCGTTCTCTAAGAATTGAAATTCTTCTTTCCGTTCATAGCATACAAACATAAATGAAGCCAAGCTATTGAAAATGAATACTAACAGAAGTGTGCACAATGAATAAGCACACCAAATAAACTCGTTAACCAAATGAAGAATGTCGTTTTACTGCTCGCGAAGGAATGGAAATTTAAATATAACTTTAATAGTTTTTAAATCACACACCATTCGCTTCATATTTATGGAGATATTTATGTCTTAGATCTTAGATAAATGGAAATTGTACGGTGATTAAACTATTGCCGAACAACAAATGTTCGGTGTTTAAAATATAAATAATTTCAATACGTCATAAGTCAGGAAACCTATTGAAGAAGAAAACCAACAAGCAATATTTTAGAATTAAAAATTTATTGACCTATTGAAATAATGAAACTTACCGCATACTGTCTTCTGTGTAATTTTTCGGAATTTCAAACAATTCTGGCGATATGTTGTTTCGGAACTCAAACTGTGAAAAAGTTATTTTCGCTGAAACTGTTGGTAAAATGGGGATATCAATTTTGACGGGGAAACCATTTGGTAATTTCAATGTCACGAATTCACGAAGTTTTGTGAAATGTTTAAATGGCGCAATAACTTCTAAAACATTAAGCAACATTTCCACAGTCAGTGGAAATTCTTTGCTCTAGATAGGGAATAGATTTATTTTTATTGTATATATTTGATGATTTTTATATCAGATAAAAATGAATTTATTACCATTGCTACTGTTGCTCGAAATGTCTTACTTGATTCCTTATAAACTAATTGCCGTCCAAGGCAAGGATATTCTCCGGGTTCTGCATTTATATAGTCTTCCCAAGTGATATTACTCTCAGCTGGAGGAGTAAGCGATTCACGACGCAAAATCTAATGAAAGTATTGGTTATGGAATTATTGAAATTTCAAGTTGTCGTGTACTGGTAACAAAAAAAATGAAAAAGCAAAAAATACTTCTCCATTTTGATCTAGGCTTGGCGCGTGGTTGCCGCCTTTCAACGATTCCATAATGGCTTTGTTTTTTTGTAAATCATCTCGCGATAGATGCTCACGTCGTTTTCGTGACTCCAAAACCAGTCCATTGATCGAATATAAATCGCAATTGTATTGACCAGCAACCAATTCCTTTTTATCTTCTCGGAAAATCCAACCGCTTTGAGCTCTAACAAAATTTATACTTTTTGTTGACATTTGAGCGGCCAGAATGTCGCTGGACATGAGGATATCAACTTCATCCTCGATTTCAGTGTCAGTCTCTTCAATATTGCCGAATATCCACACGTAACCATTTATCGAAAAGACGCGAAAAAATCGAATATTAGCTATATTTTATTTTTAAGATTACCTAAGATTATTTTTAAGAAGTGTATTTTACCTTCGTAACGAACTCGTTGGTAGCATTGAAATTCATTATCTAGAACGGTAAGAGATTCACGTGGATTGTTGTCACCCCGAAAAATAAATGATATGTCACCGCGTTCCCATCGCATATCAGAGAAATCAACCAACGTCGTATCAAGTCGAATTGATGATCCACATTTATGAATTTTACATATATCTGATGGCAGAATGCGTGACACGAGCGGTACCCAAGATTGAAAGTCCCATTTCAATTCCATATAAAAATCTCCCATTTGCTTCAAAGCCTTCACTAAGTTTGGTCTTCTTTCTTCAATTTGCTCTTTGGCTTGTTGTTTCAATTTTTTTAACAGAGAACAAACTGAAACATATGATAATACATTCATCATTTACCAAATAGTCCGTCAAAAAATAATAATCTTCATGATTTAGTTTACTTGTCTGTCTATCTCCGTAGGAGATTGCTTCCGCTAAAGGGGACCATCCATTCAGATTTTTTACTTTTACAGGAGCTCCATGTGCCAATAATAGATGTGTACACACTGCAAATCGAACGTATTGATTATTTTTTCCATTTGTGTTGATTTTCATACAATGAAGCAATTTTTAGAGAAGGCGTCATAATTTTTTTTATTTTAACTTTGGGCAACTATCTCATTTCAACAACAAAAGAACTATCAAAACGCAAAGAAATTTCTTTATTTTGATAATCGCGATCGTGGAAAATTAAATTTCTGAATCGATTTGTTTGTCTATTGTTACAAAATGTATGTTTGCATAGAGATTGTTTCAATGTATGTTTGCATTATGTATATGTATAGTATACCTTTGCGACCAAGCATAACAGATAAATGAAGTGCGGTATTTCCTAAGTACGGTATTTCATTTATTTGAAGAGAGATAAAAAAACATAGAAATAATGTTATTAATTCAATTTGGATTTTAAAACAGTAATATTGACACCAATCAAATTATTCATGCATTTGTCATATAGAACATTGGAAAACCACTTTCTTCAGTATTAGAATAGACAGTCAAATGTAAATAATTTTAAAATTTATGGTTTTTATGAGGTTTTTTATAAAACAATTTAGTAAAATTTAATTAGATGTTCACCATGTTTATCCTTTTGGGCAACATTATGTGTACGAATTAATAGACTCAGTTTCCGATAGTCATCCTCGAAAATGCATTTATGCAACGAACAGTCAACAAGATTATCTTCATCCGTGTCTGCCATTTTTATGAATACTACTGGTCCTTTAATTTATGATTATTATTTTTTTTAAAGAAGTACGAAAAGTGTAAAAATGTAGTGAATTTGAACTGTCAAATTGTTTTCATCGACGCTTTTTTATGCTCATGCATAAATGTCAATTGTTTTCATTTAGAATAAACTACATAACCTCAATTGACAAAAGTCTCAATATTTTTATTTTATTTATTTCGTAATTATTATTTATTTGCTTAACAATTGAATTTTTTAAATTAAGCCCAACTTATTAAATAAATGTTCAAGGGGTGATTTAAGAAATGGCTCCAGTTAAAGCTCCTTTTTGGATTGTATGCTGTATCCAATGGTATTAATTGCATTTAAATCCAAATCGCCTTGATTCGACCGCAAACGGTCGCGAATTAATTCGCTAATGGCCCTTTGTGTTCTGCGTTCTAATATCTCCAATTTTTTTGCCACGTCTCTTTTTAAGTCCCAATCAGGTTTTCTTGGTGCCAAATTAGCAATATCTATTTCATCAATCACTATTGGCGTTTTCAACGTTTCTATTTCATTTGTTATCATGTTTATAACATCGTCATTTTTTGGTTGTATTTGGTTGTTTTCGGAGGCATCTTCAATCGGAATATTTTTTGTCAATTTTGTCGGTGGCGGCAAAACAATCTTTTCCGTATCAGTGGATTGTTTCGGTTCGGTTTCTTTCGTTTGGATCTTACGCTTTAAATTCTTGAGTCGTTCTTTTCGTTTCAATGCTTGTTCCTCCAACGAACCAATTGGAATTTCAAAGTCAGACATCTTTTGGTTTTTTTTTATATATATATATATCGGTATATTTATAATTAATTTTTATTTAAACTTATTTCTTTTAAGCTGTACTTTGTATTAAATGTTGTTCATAGTCGCTTGAACGTTTGGTTGATATAAGGCTGGATATTGTTTTGACATATGACATTTAACTCGGACAATACTAGTAGTATTAAAAGACTATTCAAACAACATTATTTTTTATAGATTAGATATCTAGTAATTTTAAGTGCTTTCTTTATTTATATGGAAAATGAACATATTTATGATAATATTAATGAATTTTATATGCTTTTTCCCAAATAATTAGATGGTGATGTCAATGTTCGCAAAATCGTTACAATCGAAGTAAGAATGAAATGTTGTTGATGTTGTAATTCTTCAATTCGAAATTTTACTTCAGTCAGTTCGCTGTTGGCCGCCTCAATATTTTTATCATTATACGATATTGTTCTATAAATTCCATTTAAAACGATTTTTTTTAAACGTTTAGACCTAAAGAAATACTGAAAGTATAAATACCTAATGAGCTCTTCAGTTAGCTCGTCAGAATTTGTTTGAACTTTGTCCACATATGCTTCTATTTGTTTGATTTTAGATAAAATGTTATCTTTATTTTCAATCAGAGCCTTCAATTTGGTTTTCAGTTCCATTATTTGTTGTTCTTCTCGCTTAATTGCCTTATCCGTTAAATCAAGATTTGAATCGATCAAGCTTAAAAAAGCAAATATGAATAGGTTATTAAAGGCGATATCAAAGTATATAACTGCAGTTGATGAGCACTTACATAAGTTCATCATAGTGTGCAAGTTTTTGTTGTTCCAATGCTTTATTCACAGTTTCCAATGTTTGCGAAAGTTCATTAATTCGTTGGCTTGATCCAACATTCGATGTTCTTACATGTTCAGCAACTTCTCGCAAGTCGTTCAATTGTTGTTTCAAAGTATTTATCAAGTCAATTCGTTTTTTGTATTCCTCTTCGCTTACAAGTGATTCACTTAATTCAGTTTGTTGAATTTCTACTTTGATAATAGTAGAATCAAAATTTTTTATGTCGGTGTTTTTTTGCGCAATTTCTTTATCCAATGATTGCACATCGGCTAAACAATTATTTACACGTTCCTGAATCAGAGGCAGTTTTTTTTCATATTCACACAATTGACGTTCCATCTTTGAAAAAAAAGGAGTAATTGATTAGATTGTAAACAATAAACATTGAGCAATTTATATCAACTAACTATATAATATAACTTACATTCGCAGCACGTGTTTTCGCAGTTTCATTTTTTATTTGAAGTGATTGATTATTGGCCAATGCTTCATCATACATTTGAAGGGCATCATTCGCGTTCTTGCATACTGTTTGTTTCACCATTTCGTAATACTTTAAATAGTTGAAAAGCATTTTCAATACATGACAACTCTTCTTTGATGCTGTGCAGATATTTAAAGAAAAACGATGTTATTCTACATTATGTATGAAAATGGAATAAATAATTAAAATAATTTCTTACTTGGATTAATCAAATCTAAGTAGAAAAAATTGAATGATTGATCGGCGTTATATAAGCGTTGCACAAAAGCACAAAATCGGACAAAATACAATCGTTCTGCATCTATGTTATTCACTGCTTCATTTTTTGCTGATTCAATGTTAAAATTTAATTTTCGCAACAGACATTCGAGTGCACCATAAAAGAACTGAAAGGTTGGTCGACGCAAACTGTTTTCATCAATTTTGAATTCCAACAAATCATTCCATTGAGAAATAAATTCCGCTTCTTTACTAGACATTTTTGCACGAAACGCTACCACACATTAAAATAAACAATACAATAGTCCTGAAACAATAACATATAAACTGTTACAACGTTACCCGAAATCGGTTTAATTTCACTTTGAGCAGTACCAACATAAAAAATTTGAGGATTTATTTGAACTTGAATGACGTTGTGAATATACGGAATAAATTATGGGATTTCTTTTAATTGTTAAATATGAAAATTATAAATATATATATATATATATATATATATATATATATATATATATATATATATATATAAAAACGAAACAAAACAAAAAACGAAATACTTGAAAATGAAAAATAAGAATCAAAGAATATTTTTTAATTTTCAAAAAAACAGCCTATTCAATCCAGTGCAGCAAATTGGTACTACTACCAATATAAAAAAATAAAATCGTTATTCGGTACAATAAAAACAAATACGAAATTTATATATTAATTTGAAATAATAATAACAAATTTAATAATTTTACTAAAAAAAAATAATAAATAAATAAAATAGAAGAAATCAGAATGAAATCACTTTAAGATCTCAAAATAACGGTCACAGCGAATTGGACATTTGCGGTTCACTTTTTGTTGACATTTTACCGCTTGTCAAACTGGTATGACGCTATTCTCAAACAGTCATTTGAATTCTGTACCGCTTGAAAACGACCGAATTCAATCGGAAGCAAACATTGACTATTGCTGGTAAAGGAAATTTTTCAGCAAACAATTCAACATTTTTTAAGATTTTTAATCGATTAATTTGTGCCTTTTCTTTCTGACAATAATTATTATATTTTCGACTATTGTTTTCAGAGCAAACTCTACAAAAATTAAAATGGACATCGAAACTATGTAAGAAAGATTATTTTAACTGAAAGAAAATCAATAAATCATTAGTTTTCTTGCTAAAGAAAATAAATATTCAATTTTTCCAATTATATTTTCATTTTAGATCACGCACACGTGAGGAAATGAATGCAACAACGCATGAATTTCTCACTGAATTAATTCCAAAACTGGACAATGTTTTTGATAAAAAACGTAGCCTCTTCTATTTGGAAAGCATGAGTGAAAATTTGAAACTTTTTTATAAGGACGTATTCACTGAATTGGAAAATAAACAAAACGAAGTATCGAAGGAAATTGAGGGTAAATATGATAATACAATCAAAATAATGGAGTAATATTTTCAGCACCATGTTTTTTTCAAATATAGAATTACACATAGAGGCATTGGAGCTTAAACGCAAGCTAAATATTGATTTTGAATTCAATTTGGATCGTAGTGATAAGATGCCATTGATGGTCTATCGGGACAAACTTGATATGGATTTGAATGAAATGCGTGAAAAATATCATGAGAAAATGAATAAGATTGAAAATTTTATGAAAACACAACATCAATTGTGTCTCGAACTCAATGAAAATATTCGTGAGCTATCAGTTGATCCATTGGCCAGTGATTCAGAAATTCACGAAGTTGAAAATTATCTGATTGAATTGAAAAGTGAAAAGACACGTCGTCTCAATGAAATTGAATGTCTTCAGAATGAAATTCATACACTTTGTAATGAATTAGGTACAGATATCAGTGATCTATTTCAACCGATGTAAGTACACATACATATTGTTCAATGTAGTATTCATTAAATTTGGTTTGATTATTATATTCTTAGACCCACCATGGAAAACATAAACTATTTGAAAACTAAACGTGACGATTATCAGAAGAAACAAACAGAAGTTATGCGTGAATGTGAAGAATTACTACAAAAGTTGGAAATTCTTTGGGAATGCCTTGAGGCACCATTCTCTATACGATCAAAATTCCGTAACATTGCTGAACAGTCAAAAATTTCTTCAGTTTCTGATTTAAATCGCGAACTTAAAGAATGTAAGGCTGCCAGACAGGAAAACATTAAATTTTTCATCGAAAAATTACGCTCAAAATTAATTGAGCAATGGGACAAGATATATAAATCACAAGAAGAGCGCGAAAATTTCGAGTTTCTACGTAGTGACACATATACAGAAGATTTGCTAATGCTGCATCAAATGGAACTAGAAGAATGTATAAAATTCTATAACGAAAACAAGTAAGAGAAACTACTCATACTGCTCATAATGATAAAAAGCCTTAATATTTTTCATACTAATTCGGTTCTTATGTTCATGCCAGGAATATATTTGAATTGTTCATCGCACGAAATCAGTGGTGGGAAAAAAAGAAGGCGTTGGAGGCCAAGCAAAATGAGCCAAATCGCTATAATAACAGAGGTGGACAACTACTAAAAGAGGAGAAAGAACGCAAGCAAACTGATATTGAGATTCCGAAAATTGAAAAACGTATCAAAGCCCTTGCGGAGGAATACCGACGTCAAAATAATCGCGACTTTTTGATAAATGGATCTTGTGTTATTCAATTGATGGAACAGGATTGGGAGACTTACAGAGACTCCAAAGAGTTGCAAAAAAGTGCAAGAAAAGCGGTTGCAACACCTGCTAAAGTTGGTATGACGCCAAAAACTCCGTTGCGTGGTCAAGTTACATTAAAACGAATGGCTTCCACAACCAAGTAAGACTTTTATCTAATTATTCAATAATTGAAAAAAAAAAAACAATCAAATTAACAGAATTCGTTTTTATTTTACATTGTCACAAGTTTGGGCATGACTACTGGAAATCTGGCTAAGAAACGTCATTTGGATATTCCATCACGAGAAGTGAATCGAACGGCATCTGTTCAAAAAGTTGCCACTGCACCATCCTATATGGTTCGTTCTCACACAAAGCGGAATTTACTAAATCAGTACAATGATGAAAATGTATCAGCGTTTATAAAGCCAAGTGGAAAATCGATACATCAAAGACGATTGGTTCCAACAAATAACAAGCAATCGGTAATTTGAAATGTATGACAGTAATGTGCGATAAACATATTTTCTGATCGAAATCACAATCACAGGGGGGTTAATCCCCATTCACACATTACTAATCTCTGAGTATATGAAATTTTATTCATTTTAAATTGTATAATGTTAAACTTATGTTTCAGACTCTCGTTAACCGTTCAGCAAATAAAATTCTCAAAAAGTACCGACTTTCATCTAACCGTCGTCAGTCTCATTGTAAGGGAATCGTTTCAGATGAATCGCTTGTAAATTATGACGCTTTCGAAGTTAGTAAAATATTTTTTTAATGTTAGAATATAAACTTAATTGCTTATAATTTAATAATTTACAGAACAATATTAAAACATCGCAAATCTCCAACTCATCAGTTGTGGAGCAAAGAGATCACTTCAAGGATGATGGAATGATTTCCAAGTCTACAAGAAATAATAATTATCCCCTTAAACTGTTAAATTAGTTCAGACTTCAGTATTGGGAACGTTGCAAGCTAACGACATTATTTAGATATACGTCAACAAGTATTTTTTTACCTTCAGTTTTCGTGAATCGCAAACTTGAAACATATGTATAATCTTTACGATAATAATCATGAAATAAAACACTTTTTTGCAAATAAAATTTAGTATTCATTATAAATTTATTTTAAATTCTAGATATGATGGTAAATGCAGTGTTGGTTAATTGTCAATCTGTTTCCAAAAAAATCTCTAAAAATCAATGGAAATAATCTTAAACTCCAAATGAAGTCATTATTTCGTCATTACTTTTTGATAGAGTCAATTTTCATTCCCTTGGCAACACATTGTGGAAACATCTTAAATACTATAAGTTTTTTATGGGTTGTAAGTTATTTTTTTTTTATTTTTTTTATTCATTAATTTAAATCATCAATTGATTATTGAATACACAGTTTTATTCCAAAAGCAATTCTCAAGATTGAATTGAAATATTTAAAATGCCCAAATGGTTTTTTTTAACTCTGCTCACTACCAATCTCTATCCGTTCATAATCTGTTGTATAATCTTTTCCTAAATCCGATTTCTTCGGTTTGTCTATTTATAGTAAATGTTTATGGTCTGAACATGGGAGTTTTTGCTTCAAATCATAAAGTGCCAAACATATCACATATTTATTCATCATTTGAATTTGAAAAGTGTCAATCAAGTGATATTTTGCACTTACTCAACAAGATGCAATGCAAAAAAACAGAAACTATGTCATTAAATTTACGTCGTAAATAAAATTGCTATAATAGAAAGCATTCATTCCATTTGTCTTCTGGTTTTCTTTGTCTAGTGTCTGAATTAGATTGTGTTTAAAAGCAAATGATTTTATGTTTAGATATTAATAGATTGAAATTTGCATAAAATTGCATTCATGAAATTTTGTTGCGCCACCAAGAAAAAAGTATCAGTGGCGAGTATTCATTGATATAGAAATGAAGAAACTGTATGCAATAGAGTAGATTTATCAAAATGTTAATAATAATATCAACATATTCATGTGATGCACTTTCAACCAGTAACTTTCGGAACTGTTCAGCTTTTGAAACAAGAAGTTTTTGATTGATGTGCGAAAAACTCAAATTTTTTGTTATTACAAACGGATAGTGATAGATAAATGAGATTATCAGTAACCCTCAGCTTGGAAATTTGGAATAGTGGGCATAAGTCAAATCGTAGCCTGGAAACCTGCAATATTGTATATCGCGTCGTTTCCACTCACCAATCGCTGTTTTATAGTCTAATTCATGTCCTGCATCAATTGATTTCGATGTCTGATGAAGAAAAGTGATAAAAATTATTAGTACAAAACCAATCACTCATGTTACATTCTTAACTCACCTTACTCACAAAGATGGTGACAAGAAACTTCGATGGTTGAAACAACTTAATAACACGGGAAATCAAATCTCCATAATTTGATGATGCAATATTGCTTTCGAAGCTGACGTATGAAAATTCGGTTTCCGGTGTTATATGTATTGTCATGTACTGACCCTGAAAGAATAATAATAATTAATAATGTCACATTAATCATATCAGAAATTTATAATTAAAATTGTGAAATCCAAAAATGAAAAAATATCCCATGCAATAAATCAAACTAAACATATACTGAACAATAACAATATTTCTAACATTTTCCATGCAACGGGACTTACTTCTTTATATTCTTCATTTCCAGTCAACTAACAAGCATTAAAATTAGTTACTTTTAAGCAATTTTTTCGAATATTGTTTTAAAACTATCTTTGTTTTACTTTCATAAGCAAATTCAATTGATATGTATGCAATTACCTCGTGTTTCGAAATACCGTTCATGGAATAACCACACGGCTCAAATTGATAATCGTCAATTATCATATCCGGAATTAGTTTCTCAATACCAGATCTCTGGAATTTTTATTAAGAGTATATCATTGACTGATCGAGGCAATGGTTATGAAAAGTGCTTACTTGTGTGGCTTCAGAAGCATTTTTGCACTCTTCCTTTGTAAATAATGCCATAACATCTGGATCAAGATCGGTCATTAGAATTTCAATAGTTTGATCAGGTTCAATTGATAGCACGTTCCCAATATTGTTATCATATTGTTGCTGTGCCGCGATTCCTCCCTCGCGGTTGTACGTGTATAAATACCAGCAATCACGGTTAAGCGAACCCAAACAGTATGCATGTCCGTTGTCAAAAAATGAATCCAAGAGGGCAACTTCTTCTTCAAAACTACGATGAGGAGTTACTTGCAAATCGGGACGCTTGAAATTTTTTCGCGAATAAAATAAATAATCAACATTGATGTAGCCGGCAAGTGTCTCAGCCATTTGCAAGAGCGGTTCAATGCATTCCAATGGTGTTGTTGAGCCGCAAGTTTTTAAAATCCAACGACGCCTCGAAACAAACATGCTGCTTTCGCTATAAACGTTAAACCAAAATATTCAACTATTTAAATATATAATCACCGATAAAAATAACATGAAATAAATTTCAATTTCAGCCGTTGTCAATTTTCTAAAATTATTGAAATCTTTGAAAAATCGAGGTGGAAATGTCCTCGATTTTTTTCTGTTCTGCAGTTGTATAATTTTCTTAAAATTGTCTCTGGAGTAAAGATAATGTAAGTAATCAAATAGCATTTTGTATCTTGAGAAAACATCAGACTTAAAAAAATGTGTCTATTGTATGAACGTTGCTATGGTTGTTATAGCAAATATTTTTATTATTGGAATTCCGCCAATGACCGATTCAATAAGAAGCAAACTATTTTGCACTTGAATTAATTTTTCATACACCTGCGATGAAAAAAAAACAAAACAAATGACATTCGAAAAAAGTAATAATCCATAGATTAAATTTTTTTAATTAAATTTCTATAACCTTATCAGTCTATGATCGGAAATCGGTCATAAAATAAATGCCAACAATATAATCTTCATGGGCATAAATGTGGTACACAAATTTGAAGTGGTGATTAGTATAACCTATTAATACGGACATAAAAAATGTAAGACAGAGTGATTAATCTTTGTCACTGGAAAACAACAAAGTTTTCTGAATGGATACAATACTTGTCTAGCTGTGAATTTTTGAAAAGAAAAAGATAAGCGAACTTTCCTCCCGAATCATCCGGTTGCGATGTGCTTACTGATAACACACAAGGCGCGTGCTGATGAATCGAACTTAATCGATTCTGCGCGATAATTATATTTTTTTAAATACTGAAACCAAAGCAGTTTCGTTATCATTCAATACATTTAATTTACGTATTTATTATTGCAAAAATCTTTGTTCCAAAGCAAAGGAAAAACTAGCACTTTGAAAGAAATGCATCTATTTATTGCATTAATTCCAATGATATTGCGGTATTTGATGTCGACGTAAAAAATACTATTGTTATATGATAGGTAAAATATTATACGGTAATAGAAAATCGCGTGAGTCAAAGTATATTATATAAAAAAATACATGAATATACATTAAAACTTTTACATGAATATTCCAATTATATTGTTCTAGAAATATTCATAAAATATGTGAGTTTAAATATTAGAGATTAAAGACACTCACCTCAAAACGTACGCATCGATTTGGTCATTTCGTTTGAAACTTATTATTTCACATCTAACTGATTTCAATAGAGCATCCCACATGGATCTGGAATTGATTGAAAACAGATATTTTAGAGCTTCTCTTATCAAAGCCGGCTGCCAACTTCTAAATTTGTATATTCCTCAAAAATAAATAATGATTTATGCTAATAATTAAATTCCAAAGAGAGTGCAATCATCAAGAGATATAAGTTTTTTTATTCTGACCACTATAAGTTTTAGATTTATCTATAATATGATTGAATTTTCAAACAAATTTCATATATTGAATTGTTTTTTCGGGAAATGTTCCAATCAATTTACATTATATTAATAAATGATTCTATCTGTGTTATAGACACAACAGTCCAATGGACATGTAGAGGTTGCTCTCTGTTTTATACTCTCCTGCAAATTTTCGTACAAAAAAGGGGAGAAATTATGTAATGTCCTCGCAAGGACACGAACATACGTCATCAATACCTTTCGGTTTTTACCGCTGCAAGAAGAAAGTCTTAAGATTGTTTTATTTTCGTTTGTAAAAAAAACTTATTTTGAAAATACACTGTTTGTTAGATGAAAAAAAAAAAAATAAATCTAATATGAGATTTCCTCACTTCTGTTTGCAGAAAAGTCAAATAAAAAAGAGGGGAAATTGCATATGAAAAAATCCCATTGTGCGTGCGACTGCTAGTTAGTAGTTTATGCACTGCTTCTTATTCTTTTTTCTTCTGTTTTTTTTACTTACTCTGAAATGTTCACATATTTGTCTTAAGCAATTTACATACCTCGGAATTTTCCTTAGATCGGCATTTTTGTTCGATGGATTTGGTGTAAACCAAATCTCAAGAAGTTTTTCTACGCCTTCAAAAAACTGGGGATTACTAATAGTTTCATTCTCAGCCATGATTATTGCTTAATGTTATTTTTTTATATTATTCTCCACTATATCATCTGTATCGACTGACGAATCTTTCTATTCTTTTTTGTTGATTAATTTAAAATTATTGAACAAAACCAACGAAAAATGTATTTTTCTCGAAAACAATGCTGTTTGATTCACTTTTATACTATTAATAACGCAAAGGTTACAAATCTTCAAAATCAACAAATTTTTAGCTAAATTTATGTTTACGAAGAACTGTCTTACTAAGTGTTTACCGCGAGAGAGGAAACCAAAGAGCAGAACAATATTTTTTTGAAACTGTTGCTACTTTGACGTTTCAAAATTGACTGATACAATACACATAACTTTGTAACAATATCTAGACTATTTAGATCTCATACACATACGTACACATTATACGGTACGGCAGTAATCCAATTTGAAAATATTGCAAATACATTGATAAAGTTATCCTGACAAAAACGTGCGCGCACTTGACAATTCAAAATACGATGTTTTCGATGTTTTATTCGTATGACAGTTATTTAAGGGGAAAATGACAACAAACTGATAGATGTAATTAGACAATTTAATAATCCAACACCACAATTACAACATTTTCCGTCGAAAGTGTTTTTTTTTAAATTCAATATGGTCAAAGTTTAAACGGAGGTTTCCATCCTCCGAAAGCTAACTCAAGTTCCTCAGCAACAGCCAAGCAATGTCTGTCACGATTTCTACTCGCAACAACTTGTACGCCTAATGGCAATCCCTTTGAATCCAATCCGAGCGGTACCTGAATTAAATCAAGTAAAACCATAATTCTAAAAGAAACAACATATGATATATTTATTTACCTGTGTTGCTGGAACGTGCAGTACATTAAATATAGACCAGTAACTGAAGTCACATACGTTGAAAAGAAGGGCGTAATGAAATGGTGCTGTCCGTGTCATATTATGATACAATAAGATTCCATCATCTCCCAAAATATTCTGAAAAAGAATGGATTTAATTTGGTACAAAATGAAAAAAATAAAAATAAATAAACAATACCGTTAGTTCTTCATCACATTTCCTTGTGATTTCTTTGATCTTGTCTGCTTTTTCCTTTGGTAATATCTCATCAATCAACGAATAAATTGCCCCTGGGGAAGAATCAGAAAAAATGGAAAATAATGCAAATGTAACCATAATAATAATAAACAAAATAATACCCATTGTCAAGTCGCTTTGGAATGTTAATTTTTTGATAAGTTCTATCATTGGATTCAGTCTAGTACCTAAGGGGAGAATCACAAAAGAAAAGAATAAAATTTAAAATAATCGATAAGTAATCGGAGAATAATCGAAAAATAATCGGAAACATATAATGAAAAAATTGCAAAGCAATAGCCACAACAACAATAATGTCCAGCAATTGCTTTAAATTGAGATTTGGTAGTTGTAATCAAAATGAAAATTTATGCGCAGCAATTTTAGTTCTTACACTGGCAATGGTTCGTCACGATGTGAATTGTTGCCGGCTTGTTGGTTTGAAATGTCACAGTCAAATACACTCTCACACCAACACATTCAAATCGGTTTGTCGTTGACAGTGGCCGATATTGAACAGCGAATTCGTTAGCTACTATGCAAAATATGACAATTGTTACCCCAATGTGATTTCTTGTTGCTGTTGATACAGTTTTCGTTTATCCGTTTGCATCGCCATGTTGTCGTTGTTGTGACGTTGTTCCGATGCAATGCTATTGTGTGTACAACATTGATTCTTTGTGTGTTGTTCTCTCCACTGCTACTACCAAATCTCAATTTTTCGTCAGCAATCTGTTATATGCTGTTGTGACTTTTGTTTCTTTTGTATGTTTTCTCTTACATTCTAATGGTTCCCCAATCATCTATCATTCACTTACTCACTCATCCACACACACACTCTCTCTCTCTCTTTTTATTTCAAATAGATTCAATTTCTATCACCTTCATTTGACAATCTCATACGTAATACATATATTACAATTAATGTGTGAATGACGATAATCGAAACTAATCGAAAAATAATCGTAAAACAATCAATAATAATTAATAAGTAATTTTTAAGTGATTTGCCCCCAGTCTAGTACCATTTCCTAAAAGGAGATTGAAATCAGATGGTTCCTGAGTCATCCAAAATCGCCACAATTTTGTGGCTCTATCGGTTCCATGTAATTTTATTTCAGTTGGCTTTGTATCCGCAATATTTTCAAAATGTTTAACTACATTTGTCATAGTCAATTGTAGTTCATTCGAAACTGGTTTGCATTTAAGCTCACCGCTTTCACGAATATAGTAGTATTTCAATTTGCGCACATCGACTTTGTCATTCAATTTTAGCAAACATTCTTTTTTTGGATCTGCCATAATCTGAAAATGCAGTATAAGTATGAAAATTGGTATGAATAATATATGCCAACATTTTCTCTTACCTTCAACAATGGCAAAAGATCTTTGGCATATCGACTCATCGGACCTGCGACCACCTATAGATAGATAGATGATAAATTCGCTAGTTAATCAATTATTATAGACAACCCATTTAATTGTGATAAATTCTTATAAGTCGAACCATTGTCGAAGGTTCCTTCCCCGTTCGGAACGTGCAGCCTCGTGTATTAATAGCTCCAACTGTAGGCTTATGTCCAAATATACCGCAATAGAAGGCGGGCATACGTATGCTGCCTCCAATGTCTGTTCCAATGCCAAATGTCGAAGCACATGATGAAATTAATGCTCCCTCCCCTATTTATTTTTTTTTTAAAATTTGATCTTTTAATATGTCATGCTTTTTTAGAAAAAAAATGAGCTTACCTCCACTGGATCCACCAACCGTTCTTCTGACATCATATGGATTATTTGTTGCACCGATTAAATTATTTCTAGTTTCTTGCCATTTATTGACCTCTATAAATTTTAATATGATGATTACTTCAATTCATATTTGCTTACATTAAGTACTTAAGTACCAGGGATGTTGGTGGTAGCCAAAATTAAACCTCCTGCATTTTTTACTAGAGCAATACATTCGGCATCTTCCTTGGAAGTTACCTGGATGGAGGTGAATCACATAAAAAAGAATGGAAATAATTGAAAAATTATCGAAATAATGGATAAAAATGAGAGTTACATTTTTTCGTGCGAGCAATCCCAGAGTGTGTAGGCGTCCACTCACACTTGTACTATCCTTTGTGGTGAAAGGAACACCAAGAAATGGTTTTGCAGCAAACTCATCTAAAAATACAATTTTATACCAATGAAATGAAAATCGTTCATTTACATACACAAAAATAGTCACCTTCGGATATTTGATTATTTGCAATGCGCTCATCAATTTTCTTTGCTTCTTCTATTGCGTCTTCAAATGGTCCATCCACTATTGCATTTAAGACATCATTGACTTCTTTCATACGATTTATGGTGGCCTCGACCAATTGTGTTGATGTGACTTTTCTGTTTCTTATTAATGCAGCCAATTCAATTGCACTTTTAGCCAGAAAACTATTTTCGCTATTTAACGGCGGACATGTTTTCTTTTCTCCAAAATAAAATTCCAGTATAATGTCTGTTATTTTATCTTTGATTATCAGAACCATTGATATGATATAATATAACAATTTCCATGAAAAATCGCGAAACAAACTGGATAGTTTGTTTGTATGTTTTTTCTATCAAAATAATAAAAAAAATACTAGTTAAACTTTCACCTGCAAATTCAAGGTAGCAAACCTTTATAACAAACCTTTTCTGTTCTTATGACGACTTTGGACTTTTCCACACACATTTTTGAATCGTTATTCTTCCGGATATCAACTAGTTATGGTTGTAATTTTAGCACATACTTTTTGGCAAAACCAAGGTTTTGAAGAACTAGACTTACAACTAAATTTGAATAATGACAATAGCAAATTTAACACAAATTCGATGATAAACATACGTCATCAATACATATATAAGATAATAAAGTTGCATGTATGAGAATAAAATTTAAAAGTTCAATGTTGGAACGAATGAAAAATGGAGAATGGTTTAAAAATATTTATTAATTTTTCACCCACTTGTGACAGCTGTCAATAGACCATTTGAAAAAATTGTGCATAAAAAACCGTTTTGAAATGCATATATAACTTATTTAGTGTGAGTGTATTTGAGACCCATAAAATATTCCATATCTTTTTTGCTGATCGATGGTACAAACTTGGATATTGCTTTATGAAAATCATCTAAACCGACATGTACATCATCAGCAGTTAATGTAATATTCTTCTCATCTTCAACGGTTTTATATGCTGTTATGCATCGTCTGACGGCATTCAACCAAGCATTCGAGCAAATTGAATAGATATCAGCGCCCGTCATGTCCTGTTTTAAAAGTTCAGCTATTGAATTTATTGTCAATCCATCTTTAAGTTTGAATTTTTGCATTTGAGACGATAGCACAGCTGCTTTATCTTCTCTTGTTATGTATGGCCCAACATACAAAAGTTTATCAAAGCGACCAGGTCGCAATAATGCTGGATCAATCAAATCGGGTCGATTAGTTGCTGCCAAAATGAATAATTGTTTTTGGTCATTATTTCCCATCATATCATCCATTTCTGCAAGTAATTGACTGACAACTCGATCCATGACTCCACCACTATCGCCGGCAGCCCCACGATTCGGTGCCAGACTATCCAATTCATCTAGGAAGATGACACAAGGCGCTGCCGATCGCGCTCTCATAAATACTAGAATTTGATAATGATAGCGATACAACCAATTAAGTTTTAAATGAACATAAATGTTTTAAAACAATTATACCTTCTCTGACGTTTTGTTCACTCTGGCCAACATACATATTAAGCAATTCGGGACCTTGCACAGAAAGAAAGCTCAAACTACATTCGGTTGCCACTGCTTTTGCGACCAGAGTTTTTCCCGTACCTGCATTAAGTTGATTTATTCAAGTAAAAGTATAATTAACAAAAGGAAGCAACATATCATATATTCTTTTTACCTGGTGGCCCAAATAATAGCACTCCGGAGCGTCTCAAATTTTTCCCCATCAAATGTCCATGTTTCAAGGGGAGGCCGATACTACTTTGTATTTCTTCTTTGAGTTTACTTAAGCCTCCGATATCTGACCAAAGTACTCGTGGTACTTTTGGTGCACCCAAACTGTCCGAAAATTCATTTTGCATTATGTTCAGCATTTTTTCAAACTGTTCGGCTTGTAAACATTTATCTTTTTGAAAAAGACTGTATGGCTTACGACAGGTAAGAAGGTTCTCCGTACTATTGTCGAATAATAATTTCAAATCAGCAAAATGAAATCCCTGTGTTTTCTCAGAAATTGATTCTAAAAGTTCATTATCTGCGTCGCAACACCGATTTCGAGATAAATGATATTTTGCTGCCTGCATAGTTCGACCATTCCATAGTGGTATATTAACATTGTCTTTAGCATTGAAAATTTCTTGCATAATAATTTCTCTGTGAAATAGCCATTGTAAATGATTCAATCGTTCAAACTTTGTTGGGACTTCTATTGATATAGTTTCCAAAAAGTGGCTTTGTATTATAGGTTTTGCAATCGTGCCATTTGCAATAGCAATCAAAATTACGGGATATAATCGGTCCTTGTTGAACAATCTTCGCAGTTCTGAAGTAAAAATCGTAAATGATCTTATATCTTCACGACCATCGCTATCAACTCCAAACAATTCAAAATTGTTCAAAGTAAAGATGATTGGTTCACAAACGCTTGCTTTGGCTATAGCCAGTTTCAATTTTGCTTCAGTCTGAGCTGGGATTGAATTTATAATTTCTGCACAATCAACGCTATATTCTTGAAATCCCATACTGCGTGCTAGGACACTGACCAGTCTCTTTTTGCCGGATCCCCTATCACCTTATATGAAAATGAAGAGATTAAAGTGAAATATTGATAATAAATATAATGATGTAGGTTTTAGCTTGTAGGTTGTACCTTGTAAGAGGAAAGTTGGAAAAATACGACTTTTAAAAATAGATTTAATCGATGTGTCCGATATCTGACTTGAAGATGAAGGGCTGCTAGTATTCGATGACGATGTAGAAAAGCTTGTTCCAACGAATGGTAGAATGCAAGATTTAAGGTAGTTATAATAACGCATCAAACCCCACGGACAAGCACTAACAAAACTATAATCATCCAGATATTGTCTGGGAATCGGATAATTTATGCTCGTCGATTGGTGTAAGGTCGTTGCTCCCTTCGCAACGACGGCAAAATTTTCAAATTGACATTCACTAGATTCCAAATGAATACATCGAAAATAGACTTTTTTCAATGGCATAAAAATGTGAAAATATTGCGAATACAATGCTGTTCCAACTTGTTGTTCGTCGAGTGAAATTTCGTATGTATGGTTGCGATAAAGAACTCGTGGTGTTGAGAAGAAATTTGAAATTATTTCATCAGTGATATCCAAAGGAATTTCATATGGATTCTTGATGAGAAATACGGTTGCACGACTTGCCAATTTCGGTAGACTTTGTTTATCATTCATGTATTGTAAATTAACTAATAGTGGCTGTGAATCACGAATTTTATTCTTCAGGCACCAATGATGGTATAAATTCTCACTAACGAAAATGCAGTTTTTTTGACATTTTTCAACAGCAACGACTGGAACCAAAACCGATGAATTCGGTTTTGCTAAAATTGTTTCTACAATATCTGGTGATAGTTTCGTGCGGCGATCTGATACATTTTCGATACTTCCAAATACAACATTCAACCAATTTTGTTTAGCATGCAAATCATATTTATCGAATGTTTCATCAGATACAAAACAAAAATGATCGCTTAAAAATGGCTCACTTCTTTTCGTTAGAGTGGCATAATATTTATTCGGTAATGCAATAACTCGGAACTTTGGATTTTTCTTCAATGCCACCAATTTATTGTAAGTCTGAATTAACAAAAAAGACGGAAAGAAATAGCAGGGATATGCTGGGTACAAAAGTTTTGATATATAAGCCAGAGTTTGATAGAACCGTTTCGTATTGTTTGTTTTAATTGCCATGTTAAGGGCCAATTACTTTTTTTCAAATAAGTAAAATTTTATTCTCACAATTTTTTCTTTCACTAGTTTACATGAAATTTTAGACTGAATGACTCGATTCTATTTATATATATATGACAGCCGTCAATGAAAATTCACATCTACGTAAAAATGAATGGAACGTAATAAAGAAAATTCACAACATTGATCTATTTTTAAAGCAAACGATTAATAAAAATCCAAATCTTTTAAGTGTGCTATGATGTTCACACAAAGCGAGCTATGAAATTGAATGGAATTTGAAAACTGTCATATGCATGACAGCTGTCATTATTTGTATACATTCATAATCAATGGACTTCTTAAAGTATTTCATATTTTTTTTAATCGTCTTTACGGCAAATTGTGATGGAAATGTTTCCATTAAAACAACAATCAGATCCGTTGACGTACAAAAAACAAAAGTTTGGGGACCCGGCCTCTCTCCTGAGAGAATTGTGCTGCCCGTACGTTTTTTCTATATACATGCATTTGACTCGCATGCAAATCCGTAAGTTGGTCTATTAAACTTCAATCGGTCGTTGAATGTCAATGTTTTTTTTTTAAATAAACTTCAGGTTCAATATATCCGTATCTAATGATTTCGACGTACAAATTCATGGAAATTCATACACCGGAAAATGTCGCGTTCAAATTGAAAAGTTGAATAGACGCGATGGTATTTATATTGTACGCTACAAAATATATGGAACGTGCTGGAATGTTGAAATTCATATTCAGTATAAAGAAAAACATGTAGCAAATTCGCCATATAAAATCTCAGGAAAAGTATTTTAAAAATTACTATTCCATTACTCCACAAATCCTGATCCATTCTTTCGATTATTTTTCTATCATCCCTAGGTATTTTCGGACAAATGTCGATGTCCACAAAAAATAGAACAATGGATTAGAACAATGGATTGTGAAGCTTCGTACGAGCAAATTGATTACGATTTGAAGCCATTCAATCGAGTTAATTTTACTGAAGTTCTCCCGAAAATATTGAAAACATTTGATAGGTAATTATTTTCAGTTAAATACGCGTTAAAATACGTAACGCTTTTACTCAGTTTGAAGATGCAAATGACATAGTACTTCTATAGAACGGTATACCGTTCATAACAGCCGAATTAAATCCATATTCGACAATAATAATATAGCTGTATTTTAATTAACATTTTTTTCTTGACTTAATTATTCTTTTCATTGTGACGCTGGAAATGACTGAAACTACATAGACCAGGCAGCATTTCGATTTGCAATTACATTGTGAAAAATAACGAAATCTACAGAAAATGCTATGGCCAACATACAGGGTTTAAAATGTTTGTCGATAAATTATTAAACGCACTCGTTCGACTTGTTGAAATTCCAGATTTGGAATTTGTAGTAAATTTGGGGGATTGGCCATTAGTAAAAAAGGGTGGTATTAGTAGAACATCCCGTCCGTTGCCAATTTTTTCGTGGTGCGGTAGTGATGAAAGTTTCGATATTGTTATGCCAACATATGATTTAATGGAGTCAGGATTAGAGGCAATGTCTCGTGTTTCTGTCGATATTTTGTCAGTTCAAAAGTCAAATACGGTCTGGAACGAAAAGCAACCAATTGCATTTTGGAGAGGAAGAGACGCACGACGCGAAAGATTGCATTTGATAGATATCGCAAGAAAAAATCCTGAATTGTTCAATGTATCGTTGACTAATTTTTTCTTCTTTCGCGATGAAGAGGCCAAATATGGACCAAAAACGTCTCATATTTCGTTTTTTGAATTTTTTAATGTATGTACTTCTTTGCCAAACACTCACTTATAGCCGGAAGTAAAGTCAAACCTTTGTTTTTTTTGTGATTCAAGTTTAAATATCAGATAAACATCGATGGAACCGTTGCAGCCTATCGATTTCCTTATTTGTTAGCTGGAAATTCGGTAGTTTTCAAACAGGAATCACCTTTCTATGAACATTTTTACAAACAATTAAGTCCAATGTACCATTTTATTCCCATAAAAAGGGACTTATCCGATTTGGTTGATAAAATTTACTGGGCACAGAATAATGATAAAGCCGCATATCGCATATCGCAACAAGCTCAAAATTTTGTAAATAATAATCTCACAGCCGATAAACTACTATGCTATTATGTTACACTATTTCAGGTAAAATTTAATACTATTAAACACATTTTTTGCTTAAAATTAATAACTGTATGATTGCAATCACAAATAATTTCATTAGAAATGGAGCGAACGACTAATAAATCCAATAAAAATTCGCGGAGATTTGGAAAAATTATTTATTGAAGACGATGATGTATGTGATTGTACTGTGAATGCTGAAACGTTACGAGACGAATTATAATTTTAAAATAAAGAATTTTATACAAAAAAAAAAACAAATGATTTCTTGTTTTAGCTATATCCACTATATCTTTTTTATTATTATTGAACGAGCTATTAGACAAAATAATAAAGTCCGAAAATTAATTGGAATATATGGAAGATTGTAAGTATATATATCTTTTTTATTATACCTATACTTATATAGTTATTATAGTGTTTTTCAATAGATGGCGCATTTATTGATTTGAATTGAATTCAAAAGTTGAAAATTAATCGAAGAGATAGAAGAAATAACAAAAGAATTGTAGGTTTTATGCATGCTGCATGATTGTAGAAGCCACCATAGACTTGAAGGTTTGCTGTATCAATGCTATAAAAGAATGTTATTTTTAAATAATAATTATTATTACAAGAATACGATATCACCCACCTATGTTTGCAGTAATCACCGTCGTAGTTCCAACCAACAAACTCATTATTTCGTAAATTCTCTTGACGCAACCATTCTTCAAGTGGTCGAAAGTATTCACGCAACGCTGTTCCATCAAGTCGGCCCTTTAAAAAAAACACAAGACATTTCATGGCAATAGCAAATCAAACAAATAGCACTTACTTCTCCTATAACTTCCTGCAATAACTCTTGCCATCTTTGTGATGCGCCCTTTTCCATGATTTGCCTGAATACATTCAAAAATATCTATGAAAAAATATGAATTTTGATATTTTGAACCGAATTTACTTCAAAATATTTCCAGCAACTGGTTGTCGATATATGTCACATTTATGCAATGGTTTGTTTTCATCGCTGGGATCATATTGTAAGGCGGCCTTGCACATTGCACGATGAATTTGAAATTGTAGAATTGTTGCAAAAAAATATCTGAAAAATAAAAAAATAAAATTTACACATTACTTAATAGTTATATATATATATTATTTTTTTTTTACTCTGGACATCTAATATAAAAGTAGTATTTTGGAACATAGAAACATTCAATTTATTAAGGTGGAAAAATAAAATGTTCGTAAATAGAAGAATGCTAGATAAATATTTCAGCTCAAGAGCTTTGTTGAATAACATAATTAAGGAAGCATTGCCATGTGATATACGCCATCCAATGAAGCATAGTTTACCACAAACAACAAATGCTTTTTTAAATTCAAACTTGTTTTAAACTATTGAAAATTACATAAAAACCACTTTCGTGGATTTTGCTTCTTCTTGTTAGATTTCACGTGGATTTTCTTCATTCATATGTGTTGCATTAAGATATTCACTATTGATTGAATCAAACACTTGAAACTTGAACATTGAGGAGTTTTGTGAATTTAAAAATTCGTAGTTTTACATATAAATATACACAGTCTCAAATATAATTTGTTTACAATTTTTATCTCGCTTCGATTCTAATGTCTTCAGACTTACGAGACAATGAATATTATAATATCTATAGAAAGATCACTTTTTTTTAAAAATAAAATGAAACATGTTTCTATATCAAACAAATCTGAAAAAGACGAGGAAACAGCAAAAAAGAAAAAATATCCCATTTCCATTTTGTGGTGATAATCAACTATTTAATTCAACAACAAATGACATTTGATCTGGTCCATATCTATTTTTCTTGAACAATATATACCAATAGAATTTAAAAAAAAAGTCTGCAGTTGGTAATCAATGCTGCTCTCTATGGTGTGAATATGCACATTACTAATATATTTTACATGAATTGCAGGTTCTCGAAATTACATCATTTGTATTACATACTGCACATTGATCAAAATTGAAATTGACATGAAGCGTAGATAACTTTTAAAGCATTTTTATATCAATTTCAGTCATACGGTTATTTAAAGTAAAGCAAAAAGTAGCATGAAATTAATGAGCTGAAAACGAATCTAAACCTTAGAAATGTTAGCATAACGTTTCATACAATAAGACAATTGAAGCAAGTTCTCTTTTGAATTTCACGTGGCATGTGAAATCGATTGAAATGAAACAATAAATAGTTCACAGGAAAATAAGACAAAACAAAGTCGACGTAAATTGTGACAAAAACTTGAATCAGAATCGTAAGTGAGAATGTGGAGCCATTGCACTCAATTGGTCTCAAAATGGATTGCAAAATTTTTTTCACACGTTCATGCAATTAAAACTAAACTGCAACCATTATAATGAAGCATAAAGAATGAGTGCGATACCAAATAACATTGAACCGACAGGGGATTTTCGTTATCTGCGAACAATCATCAGCTTCATCAAGCTACTGCGGATTTATGCATCAAACACAATGTTGGTTCGATTCAAATCTCTATCTCTATTAATTCGCATTGAACCACCGAATGTTTTTCGTTGTCATTCCTTGTTTCCATTATTTTTTGTTTTAAAACAACATACGCGAATTTATTGTATCGATTTTGGAATGCAAAATTGTTCGCATATAAAACGGAAGCGAAAGAATTTGATGATTCCACTAGTATGTATGATGTATATTAAGTATTTTTTTAAGATAGGATTGTGTTTTACAATCACAATAGTATTACTTTCATGAGTTCATTTCTTATAGCATGGATGATGGAATTGTATATTATTTGGATATCAAGTTTACAATCGGTGATGATTGCAGGTGCAAATGAAATGAATGTAGTTTTTTTAATTAAAATGTTTTTAAACGTACTAAACGAGTTTATTCATGTTTCCTTAACTTAATTTAGTTCAACAACAATACTCATCACCATTTGGTCACAGAGTGTCGAAAAAATTGCATGGGACCTTTTGCTATCAACTTAGGTTTTATTTCTTTCCTTTCCAATTATATTGATTAACCAGCATTGATATTGTGAAATAGTTTTGATTATCTACGATCGCAAGTTTGCGAATCACATTTTATGGACAATTAAGTTATTGAGTAAATTGGAGCATATTTTCAGACTAGGATACATGTGATTTGATTGCATTTGATTCCACATGTAATTTAGATGGCCAAGAAAAGATCAAGGTGAACAGACAATTCTACTTGTATAGTGTGGAGTTGTTTGACAACATTTTTATCCATAAATTGAAATTGGACTTAGTTAAGAGGTTGTATGCTATACACTGTTGATATATTTTCTCGATATAAAGTGAAAAGTATCTTTTATTTCTTACTTCCCTGAATCGAAGTCAAGGTTGGTCATGAAAGGAAAATGTAGAGCTAAAAGATGAAAGTGAAAAATGACATAAATGACTAAATTTGGTATTGAGGCTGTAAAATTGAGCATATATTGGATATTTTTCAAATTATAATATAATACTTTCAAAATTTATAAATTCGATTTATATACTTAGTACTTATGCACAATCAAATGATAACCATTGGAAATTGAAAATTGTGTTTGCTAAAGTTTATAGGTGTTTGTAACTATTTTATTCAAATGCCAAAGCATTTTGAATTCATTCATTCATACACATTTATATCGATATATTCATTCGCTACCGAATAATAGGTAATGAAGACCTCGCGATGATTTTCGATTTGCTCGACTCTCGGTTAAATAATTCGAATGTGCCGATTTGATAGATTTATGTTGTAATATTGTTTTCTTTTGCATTATGTGCACGTGCAACACAAAATACATGCCTAGGTATACATCAAGTAAACTACTGCTACTTTTACTTCTTGACTTGATCAGTGGCTTACAAAGAACAAGTCAGTTTACGTAATGCGTCTTCAGTGACATTTAATTGCATTAAACTGCAATGTAGATGGTATTAATGCCGTTTTTATAATGAATAAATATTACTGTAATTGCTATTTTATCATCGACGAAGTTGCACGCATTTTTCGTTGGCAATCTTTCAATGTGATTTTCTTCTCTTCCACTATTCAACGCATATCGAAAAGAATGTGGTCATGTTAATGTTTATTACTGGCCCCAAATATAAATATATATGTAACAATTCACTATCGCCACTATTTCTACTTTTTATTATGTTGAAGGATAGTATTGTAATTAAATCGGTCAAAAATGCGAGCAGTTATTAGGTAATTGAAATTTTTGACGTAGTAAGCGAAATCAAGTATCAAAATGAAAAAAATATTAAAATAAACAACAATTATAAATGACCAGTATAATAAAATGAATGAATATACGAATAATAATCTTTTATAGCGATAGCAAAGTGATAATGAAATCAACTGGGCCAATATTTTGAAAACTTCTGTACCTTAATAATAATAACAAAAGTAAACAAATACAACGTTATAATAAAATGCATGTAGTACAATATATCTGTGCGTGTTCTGTCCACTTTGGAAGACTGACATTTGCACAAAATGATGAAGAGAGAATTTACTTACTATATTAAATATGATTCAGGTAATTTCATTAAATCAAATTAACGGATATGTCTTTTCACATATTTGATGGCCTACTACTACGAATTAAAATTTAAACGTATTCTCCACGGCTATATCATCGACCCCATTGTCTTGAGTATTCATTACAGACATTTTCTTGACGATTATTGTAAAAATCTGATTTTTTTCGTATGTGAATATAACATCTTGTATTCACATTGTGGTATATATACCATTCCTCTTATCCATTCATCTTCTTGTTCTTGTGTCGCTATACTGCGAGTTTATGTTCACATTTAAAAAAAAAACGTTTCGCATACATTACACGCATATCCATGCATGCATATATCCCCCTATTTTGATTAAAACGAAAAGTGTTTCGTCGCGAATACAAAGCGTCAATTCAGTCTCAGCTTTTTTGTATAAAAGCACCATCAAATTACTTCTCAGCATCTAGTTCATCGAAAGAAATCGTCTAGATTGGAATTATTTCTTGAAAAACGATAATTTATAAATCGTAGTCATGAAAGCATTTGTGAGTAAAAAAATTTTTTTGTTTGTGTTGAAATTTGCATAAACAGTGATTCACAAATAAAGTGACTATTATATTTTTTGTGTGATTAATTGATTAAGCTTGTCAAATTAACATCTAATATTCTTGTGCATGAATATTTAATCTGTTAATAAAGTCATAAAAATGATGCATGAGAAAAAACCATTTTCTAACCATAAGTGATATTTTAACGACAATTTGATGCATGTATGAACAAAAATGTATAGAATGATGACTATGAATATATGAATCAGTGTGCATGTGTATGTGTGTGCGCGCGCTCTTTTTTAAAACATTATAATACGTGATATTGTTGTTTAATTTAATGATTATACGATTAATTCCGTCGAAGTCAATAAAAAACAAAAAGTGAAAAGATTATGTTCCGATTTCTTTTGAGCAATTTTTCTTTATTTGAATGTGAAATTACTTTCATTTTTAATGTCTAAATGTCGTAATAGTGAACTTCTTGTTTGTAGTGTTTCAAATTATTTGTGTTCATTTTATTGAATGTTAGACTTAAACTAATTTTAAATGTGTTTATTTAAAATATGTAGTTGTTTATCACCACACTTTTGGTTGTGTCCGCTATTGCTGAAGAAAAACCGAAAGATGACGAAAATAACAAAAAATTCGCCAAACGAGGAGTCTTTGGCTTGGGCTATGGTGGCGGCGGATATTCATTAGGTTATGGTGGCGCCGGATATTCTCACGGCGGATACAATTCGTTTGGCTATTCAAATCTTGGCCACACAAATTATATTGCAAGTGCACCACTAGCAGCTACGTATGTTCAACCACATACACATACTGTTGAAACGAAAATCGTTGCTCAGGTGAAAAAAAAAAATCAAAAAATCGCAAAAAAATCAGATCAAACAAGTAATTTTCCTAATTTGTTTTCTTTTTTTGTAGCCATATCCCGTTATCAAAACTCAAGTGGTTGAAAAACACGTCCCACAACCTTATCCAGTGGAAGTTATTAAGCATGTTGATCGTCCATATGTTAGTATCTTGATATTCTCTGATCGGTGTATATCTATCGAATTAACTTTTCCCAATTTCTTTTTTTTCTTAAAAAAGCCCTATCCGGTCGTCAAGACACAAGTGGTTGAAAAGCACGTGCCTTATCCAGTGGAAGTTATCAAGCACGTTGATCGTCCAATACCTCAAGTAAAGAAATTAGTTAAAGATTCCATACACACATGAATTCAAATTCGTTTCTATCTAATTAATTACTTTAACTTTTCATACAGCCATATCCAGTCTACAAGGAAATTATTAAAACGGTAGACCGGCCAGTCCCAATTGTAAAGACGCAATTCGTTGAAAAACACGTACCTTATCCAGTACAAGTTCCACAAGTGAGTTGTGTAAATTTCTGAAACTATATATAGTTCCATCATCAACTATATAATTTAAGATGAGATTTTCTAAAAATTATAAGATTTTACTTATCAATAACTTTCTTGGGAAAATATTTTAATCAACATATTTTTTTATAAATTTATCCAGCCATATCCTGTGGTAAAGCACGTTCCACAACCTTATCCAGTGGAAGTTATTAAGCACGTTGATCGTCCATATACTATTTTGCAAACACAAGTATGTTTGAATATTTTTTATTACTTTGAAGTTTTGTAAATTGTAAAAATATCATACATCTGCCAAATCAGGTTATTGATCGACCAGTAGTTGTTGAAAAAGAGAAGGCTTTTCCGGTCTTTCCAGTGGCAGCACACACAGCAGCACCCATAGCTTATTCAGGTCACGCAATTGCCGCAACTCCAGCTCCATTAATTGCATCTACCGTTGCGCCCGTGTATGGCTCGGCACCTGTTTACTCGTCTCACGGACCACATCCAAACGTTGAACACTTCCATCATTAAAATCCAAACTCGTACTATTTTAAGTAGTCTAATTGTTTTTCGATGATCACACATTGTAATTTTCAGTTTTGACTTTTATGGATTGTCAAAAAATAATAAAATAGCATAGTGTTTACGTTGCCCAAATGCGATATCTTACACATGCTTTCGAAATGCAAATAATAAAACAATGCAAGTTTTTTTATGTTTCACTTATGTTGTGACAACATCTGGTTAAAAATGTCTACTTGGTAAATTGCATAATTTTTTCGACGAATTGAATTAATATGTTAAACCTGTAACATACGAATCAATTAGCTAACATCCAAGTGAGTATTGAATTATTACACCAATAATATTTCTAATATTTTACTCCAATTAACTGATTTTGTATGTGATTATTTTCCATGAGAAAATAAATTGAACATTTCATCTTTTCACATTCAAATACAATACACTCTGTTAATTCATTTAATATTTATTAATTTTCGATAATAATATAAAAATCTCATTGTGATTTGACTATATTGAATGGATACATTTTGCTTAATGGCGTCCATTCTTTTATACAAAAAAACAAAAACAAAAAATGAATTGTATATGAATGCTCTAGAATAAAAACAACTTATTGTTTGTTCACATATCGAAACGCGACTCAAACGGTTGCATATCAAAGCGAGACAATATTTTGTTGACAAAGGAATAAAGAACATTGACTTTTTACACTAATGTGGTTTCGTCACTCGCGCGAACTGCCGTCCGCTGTGATTTGAGAATTACCGAGCCTGAAAGTGTGACATATTTATACCGTTAAACTGCGTCGCATATCAAAGCGAAACAAAATTCTGTTACTAAAACATGGCAGAACAGTAGCTAGTTATCAGCACAAAACGAAACTTACATATTTTGTATAATAAAAAGTCAATGTTCTTTATTCTTTTTTTAACAAAATATTGACTCGCTTTGATATGCAACCGTTTTGAGTCGCGTTTCGATATGCGACCAAACAATAAGTTGTTTTTATTCTGGAGCGTTCATACATAGCATGATTTTTCGATAAGCCAAGGTTAATCGTTAAAAGTTACGATTTTACAATTCTTTTCGTGTTTTTCTGAGAAGACTCTAAAATTTAGCTCAATTGTTTCTGACAAAACTACCATGTCCAAGGTTTATGACAAAAAAATTTGAAAGAAACAGCTGAGTTATAAATATGCAGACATGCATTTGAAACTACAAATTCATCGAAGCTATTGATCAACATTTTTGTAATCATAGTGACTTAGTATTTTAATCTCTTGAATAAATTATCTAAAATTTCACATTACTAAAAATCCAGAACATAGAAGTTCTATGATAGATCTGTTTTCAAACATCTATGATTCGATTTATGCCGATTAATATATTAATATATTGTATATATTACCACACTTCAACGAATCGACGTGAGGTGGAATTCTTTTCACCATTAACACGGGTACTATTTAAAATGACTACATTCCGGCGATAAAATGTAAGTTCCTCATATTTATTTCAAAGAAGTGGATGTTTCAAAAAAGCTAAAACTTAATTTAACTCTTGGGGTTTAACAATTTATAGCCAAATAATGGTTGTTATTTTGGTGAAATGAACTTTTTTAAATCAATAATAAAAATGAATGTATAAATTTGTGTAAACAAAAGATGTGCGTAACATGTTTCATTTTTATTGTGAAATACTTTTTATATCATTCACACATACATTGTTAAGAGACCCATTGTGGATGAAATGGTGCATTTAATTTTTAGCCGATTCAATTCGTGTAATCGCAAGTTAGTATCCATGTTTATATCAACATCGAAATTGATCGGTGTCATTCATTTTAAGCGTTATACAATGTAAAAAGTAAGGTTTTATCACCAAGAGTATCTTGATCTTTTTTATACTGAAACTACAATTGGAATGTTTTTGTGTGTAACGTTGGACCCATTTTTTTTTTTTTGCTAATATTGTTTGGATGTCTTATTTTGCAATTTTCTTCATGTTAAAAAAGATTCGGTGAATGGATTGTGCTGTTGTTTTTAACCTACTATTTTCACTTACTTTATTAACAGTATACATGATATCAGTATAATTTAACTGGCGATAACAATTTAATTGTGATCCGATTACTATACGTGAAGGTAAATTTTGCGATTAAGCATTTATGAATATGTTCAAGGGTAACTTTTCAAAACAAAAAAAAGAAAAGAAATCGTCATGTCATTTTTGTTGAATATTCTGAGATTTTAAAAGCAAAAATATAAATTTAAAATAGAACGGATGCATCCAACACAAATGAGCATATAAATCAACATAAGGCAACTAAACATGATGAAACAATTATATGTTCACCAATGTATCATTATTATAAATAAAACAATTTGCTAAATAAAAATCATCGAGCATGGTGCGGATTGATTGCTGTGAATATGCCTATAAAAATGCAATCAAAATGTATTTTTTGTAGAAAGAAAACTATTAGTAGAAACGCTTCGATCTAATTCACAATTACATAACTGCTCCACAACCGATTCAAATGCTATTAGCGGCACGCTTTGTGCAGTATTGTTATTAGTTTTGGTGAACTTCTGTGTTGTTATTGCTGTTGCTCTACTCTAAAACTAATATCTTGACTTATGGACTACAACATTATATTACGCGATTTTATATTGCATACAGTGAATAAACGTAATAAAATTGAGACTACAACCGAAAACCATCGCTCCAACGATGTTTCTGATTACTTGTGTTTGCAAAACAAACCTGCAGACAGTGAAAGTAATAATATGTGACGCTCGCTGTGTGTCTACATTTTTATTGTTCGAGACCTTTTTAGAGCGGTTAGTATTCAAAGTATATCAATGGAAGCTTTGCACTTCAATGACATCGACTAATATATAATGGTATATTGAATTTAAATGATTTTTAAGTCTTGGCAAAAGGGAAAAAACATATCAATTATTGTTTTAGAGAATTTCGCCACATTCATGTACTAAGTGTATACTATTCAAACTAAGCTCAAGAAATAAATAAATGTAAAGAACGTTTATAGTAAACAATTGTTTTAATTATGACAACGAATATCTTTCAACAAATGTTGAAGCTTTTGTTTTTTTTTTTATATTGTCAAAGTATGCGTCGCATAGTAATGTAGCAATAATTTTATACAATTTGATTATTATTAACTTTGTTTTACATCGGTTTGCTCAATCAAGGTAATTCGTCACAATAGTTAACGGTCAGGCAAATTCACTAAAATATTACGTTATAGCAAGTTTGCTCACTCACTAAAATAATCATGTTATATTTTTATTTATATTAACTCAAGTTTCAATTTCGATAAAAAAAAACCTGTTATATTATCCTATGTTTTGTGGACCTTTGTTTTTGATGATTTTTTTATAAATTCATATTATATTATGATTGGGCGTTAAGACAAAATCGAAAGAACAAATGTAAAAATGAGGTTCACTAGAAATTAAGGTCAATACTTTAAACTTATTTCAATTTTCAATAATATTGATTAAAAAACAACAACAAATATATACAGTTTATGAATTGAAAATTGTGAGTCATGATTTCTATTTTCGACATAACTTTCTTATACGGCATAGAGGTTTGAAAATAAAAAACAATTTGTTTATTTTTTGCATTGATCGGTCTATAGTGGCGTCTCAATGATGGTTGTCCGCGGGCTTTGCGTGATCACAAAACCTGACCTTCACACTGTCTATTACCCAATACTGTATTATTTTGATATTATGAGCCAAAGATGAATAGTTTTTATATTCACTTCGGCCATTATTATATTCAGTGTGCAGAATTTACTCTCATATTTTAGTACGGTCGCAAAAAACTTGATTTCATTTGACAAATGGAGAAAAAATCTTCCAATACGTGTCAAGTTCAAAGTCAAATCACACCTTTTTAGTAGTTTGAAATTCAATCAACTATGAAGCAAAGTGTGATTCATTATCATAAAAAGTTTGATGGAATTGATTTAGCACACAACGATGAAACAGAAAAGATGCCATATTGGTATTTTTTGCATTTAAATTGACTATAAAAAGATTTATTGAAACGGATTACAATCAGTACCGTTATGTCGATCTACTCAACTTTTTTTTAAATAAGAAATAACCTATACAAGACAATAAGAATTGAACACTTTCTCACATTTCGTAACCAACTATGCAAAATTTTTGTTTGGAAATAAAGAAAAAAGTAAGATCATGAAAAGATAAAATGTTGTTATATGTATGCAATCACTACAGCATAATTATAGATTTGAATGTGGGTAAAGAAAACATGTTATCTATAAACTCATTTTATTTTCTACTCATACTCATAGTATGTACGAAATTGTTCATCAAGAATAACACGCAATATTTGAAAATATACAAGATTACATAATGTTTTTTTTTTTTTTCAAAAGACTGACTGATTTAAAAAAAAAAGATTTTAAAATAAATGCGATTGATATTTTCAGTTTTCACATCGAAAAAGATAAGACACTGTAAGTTGCAAAATAATTTGAAATAAAAAAAGTAATCGTCTTGCTGTGGTAACGGAACAAACTTATGATTAGGTAAACTTGCTATTATTTACAAAAAGTAATGAATGAAATGTCTACCGACATAGTTATGTCGCATCCGCTGTGCTTCACCATCATTTTCAGTTAAAACACCAATTAATATACTAACATATATATATTCATGGTAAAATCGCGGACTCAACCAAAACCAGTCTTTCTTCATTTGTCTCGCGCCATAAATTTGAAAACTCTTTTATACAAAGCGGTGGATTTTACATTAAAATCTATTCATCGGTTACGATGATGAAAAAATTATTATCAATATTATCAAATGTCTGTCAATTTTCTTCTCTATAATCTCGTGAATTTAATGTTGACTTGTAATTTAAACATTCAGGTGAATAACGAAATAAGATATGAATAAGTTCTTTAACTCAAACAAAGAAATGTATGCTGATTTTCACTCCAAATTCACTAAAATATATATTCAGATATTTCTACTAATTATAACCACTTTCTCATTTAAGAATCATAAGTACATGCGTTCATTTATCTTTCTCGCTTCCTCGAGGTATATACCTCATTTCAGACGTTCATTGTCTTTGCTACGTTGATACAATAAGTGATGTAACAATAATATTGATGTTAATTTTTTTAAGCGAACACTGTATTCACTGTATTATGCCGACAAATAAAATTACACATACACATACACATACATAGAGTATATATAGTATACAAATGGAAATTGTATGTAATTCGAATGCATTTACATTATTATGTAATCGAAATAAAGAAGTGAAAGATCTTTTTCTGAATTATGCAGAAGCGACGCATATGGTGGTTTCGACTTAATAAATGAATACAGAAGAATTTTCGATAGAGAAATGATTGAATTGAAAGAAAATTTCACTGAAATGACGCTTATATCAGCAATAAAAATAAAGTGAACAAAATTTTGAAATACATGTAACACACGAAATATATTTTTCGACTTTTTTTCAGCGCACTCGGATACTGAATAGACCTAAATACTCTCCAAACCTCAATTTAATTGTTTGCTGCTATATTTGATTAGTTATCATAAATTTCAAATAGAATAATGGTTTATTGTATTGTGTACATCATGATTCATGGTAATACTCAAGACAAATAAACTATATTGAAAAGTAAGCATTTGTGTATTTTTCGAAAGAAAAAACAATCATTGACAAAATCGAGCAAAATAATATGGTTCCTTTCACGAATCATGTATTACTCTGTTCCCGTTAGTTTGCATCATTTGTGAAGAACGACGGTTGCAAAAATGTCAACCGAAAAAAGCAAAGATTAAAAATTAAGTTTTAATGGCAATGCACGCTATATTACAGCATTCGATTTTATTTGAATTACATTCGTCACTGCAATATCACGTTGGACTTTTTTTTAGTGAACATGTTGTGCTGCATTCATTTGCTTTGTTATGCTCGCTGACTATTTGCGACGGCAGCAAAAGACGCTCACTTTTGTGGCTATGTTCAAGATGCAGTGTTATACGTTCAATCGACTGACTATAAAGAGCCAAGCTTTTGTGTGTTTTTTTGAATTCGTGTATTCCTTCATATGTATGCACAGATTACCTCGCTTCAAATTTCATGTCGTTGGCTCTTATGATACAATATACATATACGAATGAAATGTAAACAAATCGAGGGGGAAAGTAAATCATATTGCCAATTTTTTGTGTTCGAAAACATATAAAAGGTGGTGACAGCGAAAAAATCGTAACTAGTATTTTTAGTGAGCTCGTTACATTCGTTTCGAGATTTTTTAAAAAGCAGAATCAACATAGTCATTCTCTAGGCCAGAGTTTTCGAAGAACTCGTTATGAAGTCCATGGTACGGATAATTTTTGAAAGTGTTTGAAATAATTATTTTGAACTAAAAATAATCAAATTTCTAAAATATATGCAAATAAGGAAGTTCAATTTAACAATGTGATTTTGGTGTGATTTAAAGTGCATATTATCGGTATATAAATGATGTGATTTAATAGATGAATTTCATTTATCTTTGAAGTGCTTTTTATCCACTTAAATTGTTCATTTTGTTGATAGAATTTTATAAATGCATATGTTTGTAAAATTACAAATAAATCGTTGAGGTGCAAAAATAGTTCTTATTTTGTTCCAAATAATATAACGTTTTTTTCACATAAAAATGTCATATTTTTGTATTACAACAAATAAACTGCCCACAAAAAAACTTTATATTGCATTATCATTTGAAGTAAAATAAGATCGATTTTTTCGCCGCAACGATTCAAATATAACTTCAAATGAAATTCAATAAAAACACGATTTGAAATCGAAAGTTATAAATCTCATACATAGTATATTATTGTTTCTTCTCATTCGAGACATTTTCAATAATATCTTTATTTAATATGTGGATAAAAATTTATGTAATATTATCACAATAGACATAATTTGACAGTGAATGATGAAACTAAAATTTCATGACATTAATACAATGGAATTGATATCTTTTGGTGTAATCGTTATGTGTTAATATTTTATTTTAATTTATATTTTGCAAGACTGTGTAATTTCTACTATTGCCTTATTTGTAGATTGTTTTAGCAGGGGTTTCCCTGTGCTTGATTTCAAGCGTGTTGGGTGAAAAACAAAAAACAACTGAAAATGTTGCTGAAAAGAAACATGAAAAACGTGGAATTTTCGACGAAGGATATGGTGACTTCGGTGGTGGGTTCGGACATGATTTCGGAGAAGATCACCATCACGTTCATCACCATCATGAAAAGACGATTGTCGATGTGAAAAAGGTAATTAGTATTGTTAAAACAATGAGTGGTTATTTTTATTTCTATGTTTTTTTTTTGTTTATTAGATCCCAGTGCCTGTGGCTCATGTAAAAACTGTGGCTGTTCCTCATTATAAAACTGTTAAATATCCAGGTATTTTTTTAAAAATAAAAATGATGTGGTACGGTTATTTTCATATCATTTGTTTATTATTTTTTTTCAGTAAAAGTGGGAGTGCCTCATCCTTATCCAAGTCAGTGACCCATCTGTCAAATTATATTAACTTATTTGAAGATTGATTTTGATTGTATATATTTTTATTTTTATTCAGTTGTAAAACACACACATTATCCCGTCAAGGAAATCGTTAAAGTGCCCCAACACATTGCAGCACCTTATCCTGTCGAAAAAATCCAACACTACACAGTTCATGTACCCGGTAAGACGCGTTATTTTTATTTCTATCATATTAAAACAAAATACAGAAACCTGATGAAAAATAACTGTAATGATACCATTTCATTCGCACAATCGAATCAATTAAATCCCGCACTCATTGGACAAATAATAGACATGAAGCTAATTGCTCTTCATTTGAAATAAAAAATAATAAATTGTCTCTCTTTTCTTGTTTTTCTTATTAGTCGATCGGCCAGTGCCAGTTAAGGTATATTGTACAACGGAAATTTTGGATTTCTTGCATAACATTAATAAACCTTCGTTTGTGTAACTTTGTGTGTGTTTTTTCTCTTTTATAAAAGGTATTCGTGCCGCAACCGTATCCCGTAGAGAAGGAGGTCCATGTCAAAGTACCCGTGCACGTACCCACCCCAGTACATGTCGAAAAAAAAGTTCATTATCCAGTAAAAGGTCCGCCTGCCGTTAAAATTAGTATTGCTTTGGGTTAACAGTTCACGAAATTTCATAGGAATTTTTTTTTACTACTCTATTTAGAATACATCGCTGTAGACAGGCCGTATCCAGTTGAAAAGGTTTTTGAAATTATTATAGATTAAAGTTAAAAATCAACGAAATTTCATAACAATTTTCTTGTTCTTTCGAATCTTAATAGATTGTTCATTATCCGATTAAAGAATATGTTGATCGACCCATTGCAGGTACGAATTTGTTAGAATAGTTCACTTCTAGTGTTGCAAATAAGAATAAGGGCCGTGAATAGTGAATTTTGACAGCAAACATAAATTTCCTGATATTTCTGTTGACTCAAATCCATAACAAGATGCCTATACCTAAGACTACTCGAAGGATGAATCATTAGTTGGCGCGTGAGCAACGATCGAAAATTGTAAAAAAATTGTGCACACTTCAGTTATTTCTTTTTACTATCCGATCACAAATTTGTTAAAAAATGTCAAATTCTATGGACCTGAAAAGACTTTTTCATTTGCAATACTGGAAGTGCCTGAAAACTTATCGTATTTTCTATTTTTTAATTTGAAATTATTTATGTCATATAGTACCAGTTGAAAAACCTGTTGCCGTACACGGTAATTATGTTGCTGCAAAAATGTTAATTTATTCAAATCTATCTTCACATAGACTGTTGTATTGCCTCAAAATTCTGATTGATAAAAAGTTACATGTTTTTTTTTTTGGTGTTGACCGAAAAAAAATATGTGACTTTTTATTAATCAGAACTTTTAAGCAATACAACAGTATATGTGAATTTCTACACGTATTTGAATAAAAAAAATCTTCATACATTTTTTTCATAACCCCAAAATAAAATTTCAGTTGAAAAGAAGGTTCCTGTGACAGTTATTAAGAAGGTAAGATATACATTCTACAATCAAAACAAATCAATTTAAATCAAATCATAATACATATTTTTATGTTTTTCATCTGACAGACAACATATCCCGTCCATGTTCATGTCGATAAACCGTAAGTGATCCCTTTGACTACATTAGGGTGAACGTAGAAAGAAGTGATAAATTTTCAACATTCCCGGTCGGCTTTATCATAATCGAGGTCAAAAACTACCATATAGATTTTTATTTTGTTCGATTGGGTTACCCAGGCTGCCTGGGCCAGGCACTACAAATCCATTTTTCTCATTTTCCTCGTGGAGCCATTTTGGTTGCATTACAAAGAGTTGATTGCTCTAGAATAAAAACATCATATTAAATGTTTGCATATCAAAGCGAAACCAGAGGTAACCCAATGGAACAAAACAAAGGTCCACATGGTGTTTATAGGTCCTGAATATGATTTATCAACCTGGAATTATTTATTTTTTTATGATTTTATTTTTACCACCTGGAATGTTTAAACATAAATACTTCTTTATTTTAGACCACCCTAGTATACTTACTAATATTGATTGCAATTTCTATTCCCTAGTTATCCTGTCGAGGTTGCCAATCCAGTACCTTATACAGTTAAAGTTAGTAATGAACTATTTAAATTATTTGTTAATAATTTATTTTTATAAATTATTCTTATTTAATCTTTGAAGGTTCCTCATGAAGTGCCTGTGCCGGTTGAGGTATGATTGGTTGAGTTCAAAATTATTTTAGCTAAAGGTTACAAGTTGACGAAATTTCATACCAATTTTATTATTATTCTTTATCATTAGAAAACCGTTCACATCCCTATCGTCAAAAACGTTCCATATCCAGGTAAAACAAGGAGCAGAATGTTCGATCATACCGAAGTCATAAAAGTTATACTATATCACTCATCGTGTGTACATTAATTTAATGGTTAAATCGGAATAGCAAAACTAATATTGCAGCTGATACAATTATTCAGTGTACTCAACGTATTGTACCACTCATATTTGTCAATCAGAATTGCTTGTCTGTTTTGGCTTTATACAGGCATACATTTTTCGGATGTCTGTATATAGTTAAAACAGATATATGCAATCCAAACTTTGATATAATTCTCATATTTTTCTGCTGCATATGTCAATGGCCGTTATTGTCGTTGTATGTTGACAAAATAAGATTTGTAAATGAACAACTTATTTAACGATTCTAACGATTTTTTTTATCGCACGCGTCAACACTTTCTCAGGGCAAAAAATTAATTATATCCACACGAAAATAATGTTAGAATTTTGACTCTACTTATGTCTGCATATATAGTCAAAACGGACATATGCACATTTTCCCTTTACATATGTATATCAATGGCCATTGCTTCTGCACATGCTTTCAGTCATAATCAACCGAATTCCATTTTCATTTCAGAATGAGTTTATTATTTTAAGTTAATCAAACAGATTCGTCCAATTATAGTAAATTCAATACGATATTTTGTTTAAAAGCTCGTATATTCTATTTCTTTTTTTTTTTGTTTTAACCCAAAAAGTAAAAGTTCCAGTCGCAATTCCAAAACCTGTCGAGATTGATGTCCATCAACCATATCATTTGACGAAACCACTTCATTATTCGGAAAAAGAGTTTGTCCCTGTGGCGGAACACCATCACGAACATCACGAACATCACGAACATCACGGATTTGAACATCATGACGGGTATTAAAGGTGCTGAGAGTTAATAAATTTACTCTGAATTATTCAAGCAAAACATACTCGTATTGTGATATTTCATTGTTTCCGCAAGAAAATGAGAACAAATAATTATTTAATATAATGTGTTTTTTACAACAAACAAATTTTGACACATGCATATTGTTCATTTTCTTTTAAGATGAACGTATTACATCAAAATAAATACTCTAGCTATTCATTCAGCTGCTGACGTACATATAACATTTATTTACATATGTAATAAATACCGTCTTTCAACTTCGATGTTTATAGTTATTAAGTATCGAGATCAAAATTAAAATAAAAAATAAAATATGACGATTGATTGTTTTTTTTTTATCTTCTACTCATAAAAAATATGTTTTTGAAAATTTTCAAGCTTGCAGAAATGTGTGAGCTTTTTGTTAACATAACTTCGGGCTATTTTTGAAACAAGTCTCGTAAAAGAAAATCTTTCATCAACATTTTTCTAGATGATATGGCAATGAAGACATATTTTCAATAGCTGTGTATCCATTTCCTTTTATATATCGTAAGCAACTCATATTACTTGTCCGCACACACCTAGTGAAACTATTGCAATGGATCAAAATTTACGACACCTCAAAAATGTGTTTTCTGGATCTTATTATTGCTGTAGATAGCTATAGAGGAGCTAAATAAGATAGGCCCGTCACAAGAATGTATTTTGGATTTGGTGGGAAATATTTTGTACCCTTATTTTTGATTAAAATTTCTTCAAACTCTCCGAATGTTATTTTTTTGTAAAAAAATAAGCTGTGCAAAGTTTCACACCATAACGATAGCAAATAAGGATTTCTTTTGACTTCCAATTTGTTTAAGCATAGAGGAAGACGGGGCGAACTGACGCACTTTTAATTTTCTTCAAATATCTCGTGACTCATTCAAGTATTCGGGCTATTTATTGTACCATACTGTAGTTAGTTAAAATGCGCATCTTTGATATAGCACTTTAATGGTATGCTATCATCCAGAAAACATATTACCATTTTTTTTGAACACTTGATTTTCGGGGTAAACCGACGCACCATACATACGGGCAAACCGACGCAGCTCAATTTTCATTTTATTTAATTGTTACAAATACACGCAGTCATAACCATGTAAACATACTGCTATAACATACTGCTATACTGTTTTCAGCTATTTTTTTTTATTATTATGGCATTAAAATATCAATTGAAAATAGATAGAAATGTGAAAAGAAGTACAAAATGAGAAGAATAATTTTTTTTAAAGAAATAGAATCATTCTTCTTCTGAATCGGAGTGTAATGCTTTAGTATAGTTAACATGGTCAATTGTCTTTCACTGCTGATATTTTTTTATCACTTAAGAGATTATATTGAGATATTTTCAGTGAGCTGAATCAGCGCAGAGATCTAATATAAGGCGAAATGAAGTGCAAACAATAGAAGTGATTGATATAGTGTTTGAGCAATATAAGTGTTTTTATAACCATAACAATCACTTCTATTGTTTTCACTCCATTTTCGCCCATCATTTTTGCTTCCTAAACTGAATCAGCTGCATAAAAATATCTCAATATAATATCTGGCTTCTCCACTAGAGCGGCCCCTTTCTTTGCTGTACAGCTTTTTTCTTTCCTCAGCTGCTGGCTAATATTTTTACATCATTCTCACTGAATTTCTTCAGAAATCACAAACTAAACAGAAAAAGAACACGATAAAATTCAAAATATAACAAAAAACAATGAACTTCGAACTTCGATATCACAAAACTCACAAATAAAATCAAAAATTGTATTTGTAATTGTTCGAAAATTTAGTGCTGAAACGTAAGGTTAATCTCCATTACTTTGCTCTATTATCAACCAAATATTGTTGAAATCGATAGAATTTGTTGAGAACTATCTGATTAAAGACAAAATTATGCTTTGCAAGCAGAAAAAACCACAATAATGTCTCACTTCTTGAGAAATAGCATTTCCATGAAAAAAGGACCATCTTTTTAACTTCAGAAAAAAACACCAAATTAATTATTTCTAGTCTGTTATAGGCGAAGGTCCAAAATACTTGAAACGTGCAACAATTGGTTGGATGGATTGAGAGAAAGTTGATAGAAATCGACAAATCGGTTGTCCAGAACATAATTTTGATGGTTCGACGCATACTGAGAAAAATCTAAGATAATGGTCCGTTCAGTGTGAAGTGAATGTGCTATTCGATAGCCTATGAATAAAGGTTTATACCAATAAAAACGAATTTAATATTGTGTGTTTGTTGTTCAAATGGCAACGTCTGAATTTATTCCAAAGACTTTCCATGTTATTACCGCGAATGTATACGACATCAACTGTGGAAAACACATATCTTCAGCTGAGATCAGTGATGAAATGATCACGATAATCGAAATTCTGTGAGTGCGAAATATTGTAACACGAGTGGCTAAAAACATATTTTTCGCTGTGTAGCGTTCATGTAATACTGAAAATGAAAAGTTTCTCATGCCCAATATGGAGGATCAAATGAATCGTTGCGGAGACAAAGTGGCTCTTATTTTTCTCCAAATAATACTGCAACATAAAGTTTTTTTCACACGGTTTATTTGTTGTAATAATAAAACTTGAGATATTGGCATTGTCGCTTTCGAGATATTTTGAGTACGTCGGTCTGCCCCATGTGTCGGTTTACCCCGTCTTCCCCTACCAACCGGCGCTCCGCTTGCGAAAATATCCCAATATAATGTCTGGCTGTAGTACAGCAAACTAAATTTCTGTGTGTTCTTAAAAAATTTCAAGCAAACGTCGGTATAACTCGAATTCAATTGGCAATTTTTCTGCGTGCCCCTGAAGTATAGATATATTTTTAAGATTCATCAAATTTACAAAAAACAAAGATTAAATTTTTTTTTATTAACAGGTTTTTTCCCAACTGTTAACGGTTATCCGCCTTCGCCCATCTCTGTCTAATATTTTTCAAGCAGGCGGATATTCATCATGTCCGCCTCCGCTCATCTCCGTCTGACATTTTTCAGGCGGGCGGATATTCATTTTGGGCGGACATGCGAGTGTGTTACAATACGGATAGAAATATTTTTATAGACGGATAAGCATGTATCCGTGTCCGTCAAAATAGAAGCGGAGAATGCACGGATATGAGTGTGAACTTACTCTGTATCCGCCCAATATCCGGGCGGATATAAACGGATACGGAGAAAGAATATATCCGTCTCCGTAGGGATATTGGCGGATATGGGCGGATATAGGCGGAGGTCGACGGACACTGGCGAACACGGATACGGGCGGATTAGTGCGAGCAATGTCAGTTACCCAATAAATATAATTGTTTTTTTTTTATATTTTCAATATTTCTGTTCGATAATTTAATTAAACTATCTACAATTCGCAGACATATTTTTTTTCCAAATTAGCTATTTTTAGCATATAAAAAATGCATTTTATCGGCTTGTCACAAAATGACATAGTTTTACTTTTGACGTGAAAAAGTGATAAAAATGCCGATTTTTTTTAACGTAATATGTGAAAGCAATAATAGATTTTTGATTAAAATGTGGATTATAATAAAGAGATTTGATATTGATCTTTCATAATTTACTTTTAAAAATGCAATTAAAATGAATTTTCAATTTTTAATTTCAATTCACCTCTCGGTATTCCGACATTTGGTCGTGTGTCGACATTTGGCAAAGTACTGTAATTCTATTAATATCGAAAGAAAATACATCAAATTATGTGAATAGTTCCCGAGCCCAATTTAACAATTTAATGAAACAATTTTTATTTATTGAAAACATTGGAAATTAAATATTTTTTGTTATAATTGGTATCAAATTTATGAATTAAAATTATAATTTCAATGTATTAATTGTTGTACGACTTGGTAATATATGCAGGGCTATGCACTAGAGGATTAATAAAATACCCATCTACCACCGTGCGAAAAAGTTCGTCTTACTCTTGTAAGACTCTTTATTCCTTTTAACTCCCATCTTGGGAAGAACACTTGAGAACGCTATCTAAATAACTGTCTTATGTCAGAATACAGTGATAAAATCAATATTGTTTTTATAGAAGTTGAAACCAAATAATTAAAATCAATATGAGCCATAAGCTCGCTCCATTTGCCGCACTGCTTAATGTGAAATACGGTACCAAACTACTAAGAGGTGTTTTTCTTTCTCGTTTCTCAATTACTTTGGAATCAGTTAAAAAAAATTGAAAAAAAAAATAAGGCAATTTTCGAAACTTCAAAAAACCATTACCAGATATGAAATCTGTGGATTTAGTGCTGAAGAGAACCAAATTTATGGACTTTGTGCCGAAAAGTAATTAGAGACCGGGGCTAAGTTGGCCGGATTCGGGTTTTTGGCTAAAAAGTCAGTCTGAAATATATTCAAGCCATTTGAAAGCTTGTTCCTTTGGCTATAAAATGGATCCATATGCTTTCGAAAATAAACACTAGTATTAACGCTACATCGCTCGGAAGGTGACTACCTCGAAATCGAAAATCACAAAAATGGTGGGGCTAGGTTGGCCACGCAAATTTCAGACAAAAATTACAAAAAACTTATATTTTAAGTGAGTTTAATTTACATAGACAATAGAAATGACAAAAGAAAATATGTTGATTTTTCGAAAAAAATATTTTGAAGATAATATTATTCTACCAATTCCAAGTCATCTTCTGATTTTTCATCTTCGTCAGAGATACAGTTTGGGCATGTGAATACAACGTCTGTGTTGCGTACACAATCGACGTGTGCTTTGAGACGTTATGCAAATTTTTAGTCCTTGCGTTTTCAGTATTATGTTTTGTGCCCATGATTCATCACTATGCTTGTTCATCGGATGTTTTCTTTATACAGTTTGCTAATGTGTTTCGATTGACACCATGTAATGAAGCTGCATTTCGAAATGACATTTTGTCACGACGAACTGAAAAAACAGCCGCTTTCATCTTTGATTTGTATACTCCAGCCGTTTGAAATTTGTACGTGCGAACCATTTTGCTTTAATAACACACTGAATTGAAAAGAAAATGATCAGTGTTCAGAATATTTTACAAACATCAAAATCGATGAAAATTCAAAAATGAAGTGGCCAACTTAGCCCACAAATTTTTGGACAACTTAGCCCCATGTGAGCATTTTGATTTCATGAACTCCATTTTTTTATTTCTAATTTTATCGAAGAAACAATAATATCATTCAATTCAGCTCGTCTTAAGCTTCAAAAATCACTCATCATATTTTCCGTGCGATTGAATTTCAACGATAAAATCCAAAAAATCTGAGATTTTTTTTCTACTTTGAGAGAAA